ACATGAAACATCTTCCATTCGGCGGCAAGGTTATCATTCTCAGCGGAGACTTCAAGCAATCACTTCCAGTGGTTGCTGGAGGTGGTATGCGAGATCAGGTAAATGCCTGCATACAGTCTTCACAATTGTGGCCGCTTTTTAGAAATAATATAATTACGCTGAATATCAACATGCGTCAGGGACAAAATGAACGTCAGTTCACCGATTGGTTGCGAAGAATTGGAAATGGGAATTTTAATAAGGAAGTGGAGATTGAAAGTAGGAATTTGGTTACATCGCGCCAAGAACTGATGAATTTTATAACTGACAATGGTCAAGCTCTTTCAAACCCGAAAGAGCTCATTAACAGACTTATATTAGCGCCACATAATGACACAGCAAATATGATTAATGAAGACATGCTCAATAAAATAAAGACCAATGAAAGAATATATTTCTCAACGGATGAATCGAATGTTGAGACGCCAATGGATTTTGATGAATGCGACCATGATGTTGAAGCTTTAAATTTACTAAATCCTCCGTCAATTCCACCACACCGGTTACACCTTAAAGAAGGATGTATTATAATTCTTTTGAAGAATTTGGGAGTAAGTAGAGGGCTTGTGAATGGCACAAGAATGATTGTAAAAGAATTAGGGGATGATATTCTGAAGGTTGAGGTTGTAACCGGGTCTGTGGCTGGCTCAGGACATGTTATCTGCCTTTCACGAGTGTGGTGTGATTACGAAGATAATAGAGAAGATGGAGTTAATTTTCGACGGTTGCAGTTTCCTGTTCGTCTTGCATATGCAATGACGATCATGAAGGCCCAAGGCCAAACTGCAACAAGAGTTGGACTCGACCTCACACATCAAGTGTTTGGTCATGGTAATCTATATACAGCTCTTTCGAGAGTTCGTACTGCTGATTCCTTTAAAGTTTTTGCACCACATGTTAATGAAAAGCAAACAAATAAGAGTAAAATGATAAAGAATGTAGTCGCCGATGGCTTAGAATTCTTCTAATGCCTTATTGAATTACACACGGACATGAATTACACACGGACATGCTTACACAACGCTATTCCACTGGCCTGGACATTAATGTCCTGAGCCTTCGCCAATTTATGCTTCTAAGTCGCCAAGGGCGAATATGTTACTTGATCCTAGCCTCTAAGACGCCTTTGGCGTATGTAACTTTATCTTAGCCTCTAAGACGCCTTTGGCGTATGTTTACTTGATCTTCAGCCTCTCGGTCGCCGATGGCGGTAGGAATACTTGTAAATATTTAAAAAACAAAAAATACAAAAAAATTTTAAAAATCAAAAATCCTAAAAATGTAAAAATCCCTAAAAAATACAAAAAAATTTCTTATCCCAAAAAAAACAAAAAAATATAAAAAAATTTCTTAAGAGACAGAATTCCAAAAATAAAATTACAAAAACTCAAAAAAAATTTAAAAATTAAAAATCCTAAAAATGTAAAAATAAAAACAAAAATAACAAAAACATTTCTTATCCCCAAAAAATAAAAAAATAAAAAAAATTTCTTATACCAGATAAAGAAAAAATGGTGTACAAGGTCTTCCACACCTGACAGGCCTCCCCGTGGCCGTACACCGGTAACTCCTGCTATAAAGGCTGTTGTGAGCCATGCAGTTGAGGCTAACTATAATAGTCACAACACTATTATGGAGTCAAAGTGGTCAACCCATAATATCCAACCCCTGTAACTTTGTCAAATTTGCCCCTAAATTTGAACAAAAAATATTTTTAGACTCAGCTCGATAAGGGCTTTCAAATGATATATAATTTGTCCCACTTATCTTTCTTTTTGGAGAAATAATTTTTTGGCCAAAATTTTTTGCCGAAAAAATCACCAAAATATTTAAAATTTCATATCTTTTTTAATCTGTAACCTATTTACACGTTTTAAAGTCCTATTCTATGTAAAAATATCTGCGCTATCTGAGAAAAATACTTCCATACTCAAACGCTATCGAAAATCCGATAAAATTTTCGAAAAACCGAAAATTTTTGAAATTTTTGAAAATCGATCCCTACATCCCCAGCTCTGGGGTTACGTGAATTTTTTTCATTTGTAAAAATTTCTAATTTTTAGTATTATTTTATAAAAGAAACCCCACACAGAAATCCCAATCCTTTATAAAGTTATGATTATTTAAAGATTTCTAAATATTTTTCATAAGGGGTACCCCTTTGGAAAAAACCGGGGGTACAAAATTTTCTAATTTTGACTAAAAAAATATATTATATAGTGGATTATCATGCGCTGAGGACGAATCCGGTGTCGAAAAAGTTCTAAAAAATTTCCTGGGGCAATTTGAGTCTCAAACACATCTCATTCCCAGACAAATTTTGGTAACTTTTGACGAAGACCCAACTGGAACCCCAATAAAGTATATATTTTTTGAACAATCAGAAGACGCTCTACAAGAATCTACATAGATTTAACGTACATCTCCCAGCAAAAAACAAATCTAGCGTGCTTTTAAAGCCGCAGGCTTTCCACTCGCGTCCCTGGACGCGCCCCCAAACAATCAAAACCTAATAGTATTGTAACCAAACGCAGCCCCCGATGTATTTAACCGCCAGAGTGTCCTGATATGCACCCAGCTACTCACCCTGCAGCTGGTTTTAAATAAAAAATACCTAATTATTTTTATTTAATTAGTTTTACATTTAAATACAATAAGTTCACACAGCCAAATCTCATTTCAGTATCACCGCACGTGTAAAACATCCTCACATTAACGTCAGCTTTTCCTGTAGGCTTTTTCTGTAAATTTGCTACACTCTTGCCTCATCTGACATCCACTTATGTACATATATGTACTCGTATTATAATGTCAGCTTTTGTCCCTGAGCGGTGACACTATAAGGGAACACTATATATAAAAAGGTCCGACTTTACTAGGGGTCTTGTAGGTCCCAACCTCGAACCTTGACATTATAAGAAAATCAGGGTTTCAGGTTGCATCCATGAAACATGGCTTGGTCCATGTAAGAATAAAAACTTGTTCTCATGAATTTATAAATGTTGAACATTTCCATTAATTTTTTTAACTTTTTAAATAAAAAATCCTTTTTTAATAATTTTTTACAAATCAAAAACCAAATAATTAATATTTTTTAATTTTATTGTGTTAATAGAATAACCCTTCGCGTAAATGATGAATTGCCACAATTTTGTTTTATCAAGGACAAACTTTTGGGTAATCGAATAAATTAATATTATTACCAGTTTTGAATACTCTTTTCTCTCTTTCTTTTCTAAAACTTTTACTGATTTTTAATTAAATATATTTATTTTAATTTAATAATTATTTAAATGTTCCACTTTATTAAAATATTTTCTCACTGCAAAAATATTTTTAAAAAATTTTTTACAACATTTACCCTTATTTGTTAGAATAACTGTTTTATCAACTCGTGGTCAAAGCTGTTTCTAACCAAAAAATTTTTGAAAATCGGGAATCTAAGTTTCAAAGGGACTCTGCTTGTGGTCTAATACATATATCACGACTTTCCGCCTTTCAAAAAAAAATTAGGAAGCCAAGGAACCAGCTCTGCATTTGATTATCAATCTGATCGTTAATCGAGGCCTTATCAAGCCTGTCCGCATTTCAACAGAAAAATTTTTAACGCCGCAAGACGCATAGAAAAACTGAAATTTACTCAAGAAAATTTTAATTAGAATACGGTATTTTCTTGACCCTCTGGGTAATGGCATTTATTCAAGTTTTGAATATGTGGTAGGATGTTTGAGAGGGAGAGGGCAATAATTGTTTATTAATCATGTTAATTGATCGAGGGCAGCTAATTAATACTGCAAATTTTTAATTAACTAACCACGAGTTACTTATAAAGGCAGCCCTTCTACATACATACAGCCCTCTTCAGTTTCCCTCAATTAATTCAATTAAAAAATTTAAACCCAACTATTTATGTCAAATTAAATTTTTAAAAGAAAATTAGTGCAAATACCTCTTTACTTTTAAAGAAAAATATTTAATTAAATAAAAACAAATCATTCAGCAAGTTTTTAAAAAAAATTCATTACTTCCGTTGTTAAAATGGGAAAAAAATATTTTATTTAGTAATCTATCCTCTCCTTTAAATTCCTTTTACACACACAGGGCCGCGCAATTTTTTTATAAAATGCAACGAGTTTTTTCTTCTTTTTTTCTAATTATTTTAAAAAATATTGGGTTCGGATATTTCTTAATTAATTTTAAAAAAATTTTCATTAATACTATGTTACAAACTTTATTCCTACACATTAAACTATATGTAGTTTTAGATACCCTCCAATTTTATAATTATTTTAGTTATGACTTTTTTAATTAATAGGCCATTATGTCCTTAAGCTAAGGGCATTGGATACTAGAGATCGAAATTTTTGAAAAACCTAGGCTTGGGCCTGTTTCTGGGTTTGATTTATTAACCTGGGCTGGATCCTGGGCCTGTAGTTCAGGAAAAGCTCAGGCCCAAGAAAACCCCAGGAAGGTCAAAAAATGCCTGGACCCCTGGACTCTGGGTACAAGAAAACCCCAGGCCTTGGTCCAGACCAAGCTCGATCTCTATTGGATACCATCTTTAGTATACCCCTAAGATACGCGATATACACCTAAGCACTACTCCAAATTTTGGATGCACTTCTCGCTTAGCTATCATTATTTAGCTGAAAATAGAACTTACCCTATGTATAGGTTTTTATTCTCTAAAAAATTTTTTCTAAATTTTATTTTGCCAAAAAATTCCTTCCTCTTCAATTTCAATGCTTTGCCGCATTCCAAATATTTATATAAAATATTTATTAAAAACCAGTTTTTTTTCAATATTTTTTTATTATTGCAATTTATATTTTTAGTTTAATTTTTTTCTCACTTTTATTTACTTTCCCCATTTTTTAAAAATAATAAAAATATTATTTTGATTTGTTTATCATAAAAGTAGAAAGAAATTGCCTAATTAATAATAAAAAATAATAATTTTATTTTTGGGGGTGGTTTGGGTGTTGCGCTTTCATCAATCAAGCCCTCACCTCTTTTAATTATTTTTCCTTATTTTTGCTTATTTTTGCTTATTTTTTAATAAAAAATTTTTTTAGATTTCATAGACCACTTTTATGCAGTTTTGTGACCTCATTCAGTGAAAATGATAATTTAATAACTTAATTTTTTCAATGTTTTAGGTAGATTTAAGTAGGTTTGTACCACAAACTCCGACACCGTTCCCGAACGATTTTTTCACACCTCTTCCCGATCCGAACCCCGACCATATTTCTCCCCCGACCCGAACCCAGCTCCGAAACAATTCGAAAACCCCATACTCCGACATGCCCACCCCGAGCGTTCTGGGGTACAACCTTAGATTCAAGTTAGGACTGGTTTTCATGGACAAATTTCCTTTTTCCAATACTAGGTTCAATTCATGCTTCGAAAAGGGATCTGGGATCGTTTAGGATTTTTTTCTAACAAAAGAAACTAAATTTTTCTCAATATCCGGCATTTTAAGTACTCTTTCTCCTTTACTTTTTATTAATTTCTTCTTCCGTTTTGGTTACTTGAAAGTTAAAATAAAATGTGAAATAAAAATAATTTTTAGGAATTTTAGATTTTTTTCTTTAAAGGAATCTCTCATCAAATAAAAAATTTCATCTAATTTACTTCCAATTTTCTATCAAAAAAATTTTTATTTGGCAAAAAACAAATAAAAATAATAAACTAGAAATAAAATTAACCTAATTTTTTTTTAAATTTTTTCATGGAAATTGATCTTTTCTTTTATTGTTTTCATTTTTCTCCTTCTACACTACCACAATTTTCTTATAAATTCTTTATTATTTTTTTCCCGAAACAAAAACATCATTTCCGCCCTATTCTCGCCGATGTATTCACTGGAGATTCCTTTAAAAATAAAATTAATGTTCTGATATTTATTTATTCCTTCGAAAATAAATTCTGAACTCTAAATAACTACCTAAATAAACTTGAAATCAGAATTATATTTAACTTTCAGGGAAGATTAACAGAAAAAGAATAACAGAATTTCCGGAAAATACACTTCTGAAAATTACCAGAATTATTTATTCATATTAATTAAAAATGTACCGGAAAATACACACTCTTTCCGGAAAAATTAACAACTTTCCGGAACACCAGAATTATTTATAATCATTCCGGAAAACGTTTATCCTACCAGAATTTGTATTTTCTCTGAATATATCAGAAAATACATTTCCGGAAACTACCATAATTATTAATTCTGATTTATTAGGAAAAATACACACTCTTTCCAGAAAAATTAACAACTTTCCGAAACACCAGAATTATTAATAAACATTCCGGAAAAAGTTTATTCATACCAGAATTTGTGTTTTTCGAATATTGTATTTTTCCGGAAAACACCAGAATTAGTAATTCTGGTTTTATTCATTTGTATCAGAATTTGTATTTTCTTTTAATATATCAGAAAATACATTTCCGGAAATACCAGAATTATTAATTCTGATTTATCAAAAAAGTATTTTCGCCTTTTTTTATTATTTTCTTCTCTCTTTTATTTATACTAGAGAGAGTTGATTAAGTGTTTGTTTAGATTTTTATATATTTTTTTGTTTGTCTGCCTATCAAACCAATAAATCATTTCAATTCATTGCGCGTATTTTAATCAGTTTTCATTTTCTTTTTTTTCTCTCTCTATTATTTTTATTTCCCACCTGCTAATAATAAACAATTGCCAAAAAGTACTAGAACTGAACTTGTTAAAACCTCGAAAAGATAAAAAAATATTTTTTTTGATGATTTAAATTAAATGAGAAAATTTAAAAAAAAAAGATGTTAAATTTTAAAAAAAATTGAAAATTTTGTCACGCGCAATTGTTTTCTTTTTAGTCTTTTCAACTCTTTTTTAAATTAACAAAATTTTATGAGGGAAAGACATTGAATGATCGAAAAAACAAATTATGATGACAAAATTTTAATTTATAAAAAAAAGTTAAAAATTAAATTTAATGTATTTTGTCTGTTCTTTTTTTAAGTTTTTTTGTTTAATTGTTTGAATTTTGGCTAGGAAATTTAAAAATAGAAAAAATAGCAACTTTCCGGAAAGATCAGAATTTATTTCAGAATTATTTCAACTTTCTGGAAAATCAGAATTATTTAAAAACCTTCCGGAAACCCCAAAGTTATTTTTCAGAAATTCCGGAAAGACCAGAATTTATTTAAAACTTTCTGAAAACTAAACAGCCTATTTTAAAAGAATTTATATTTTATTCGGAAAATACATTTCCGGAAATTATTCTTCTGATTTTTTAAAAATATTTGTAGAATTAATATTAAAAATGATTGAGGAAAAATTACAAAATGGAGAGATTATTGCAGATAATTCAACACCAACAATAAATTATCAACAGCAACAACCAGGCACTTCCTCCAATTCATTTGAAGATGGAAATATACCTTCAAATCAACTTAAAGTAAAAAACTTTGTTCAAATCAAAACCTGAGACCTGAGAAATCAAAAATTGAGACCTGACCCGTCTAGAATTTATTTAGAGTTAAATAACTGGTTAAATATTATGAGAAAATGACACTTGCGATCAAGAGGAAGGCCCCTCTCTTATTCCTAACATATTCTAAAACATTGTTGTCAGGAGCTCTGCTAACCACAGTTTGGGATTGTTTGTTAACTGAGCTACTCTGACTTTTTTTCAAATCCTAATTTTTAAATTTTTTTCTAACAGACTACACCTTCGTTTAAATCAGTTTATGATGAGGATATTGATGATATAGAAGCCCCTTTACGTTGTGGTGTAGGGTCTTGCACCCCTGACTGGCTTCAAAAATTACATACGGCTAAATGGCTTTTATTATTTCTTGGAATGTTTGTTTAGACATATTCATCAAAATTTATTAATTAATTAAAGATGTGCATTTAACCAGTCCTTTGTTATTAATGCTATTTTCCCTGTGGATCTTTCTACCTTAGAAAAACGTTTTCATATGACTAGGTTAATAATTAAATTATAAATTTGCGGACGACATTTGCGAACAAAACTGGGATTGGGGCATATGTCAACTTATTTTTTAATGCGATAAACCTAATCGTACAGAGAATCGGAGAGGACAAGATTAAGATAAAATCTGTCGTATATCGAGATTGGGATTTGTCGAGACCTTGAATCTCGACCTGTCTCCAAGGAATCTCGACCTGTCCTCTCTAATGAAAATACCGTTACTTAATGTCCGTAGATGTCGTGCTAGCCTTAAGCGTATGTATTTTTAAAGAAATTGTTTACAGTACTCAAACTGGTATAATATCTAGTTGGTATGATTTGGCTGTCCTTCTTGTTGTATTTCCTGTTTGCCATTGGGGAAATATTGGTAAAATAATTTTTAAATTTATAGAAAATTTTAAAAAATTATTTTTAGGCCATAAAGGCCGTTGGATTGGAATAGGCTCTTTAATTATGGGTTTTGGCTCTTTTATTTCTGCAATGCCTCATTTTATTTCCTCTCCATGGCCTATTGATAATTTAAATTCTAGTGATTATGGACAGTGTACTAACAGGTGAATTCTAGCTAGATCTTTACCCCTCCCCCCCCCCCCCAATGCTTATTTTCTCAATTACAAAATGCGACATGTGAGGATTACGATAAGTCCAAGGAAATGATCATTCCCTTGAGTACGACTATAATGACTAAAAACCGGACCGAGATCTTGATCGAAAATCTCGGTTATCGAGATCAATTATTTTTCGAGATCTCAATTCTCGTACGACACTTCCATTTGGTCTCTAATAATGAGTTTACCTTGAAAAAAATTTTTGGAAAATTTTTTAAATTTTTTTTCGATTTTTTTAACGAATAAAAATAAATATAGGGTTGAACTAAACGAACACTGTGAAAGTAGAAGAAGAGGATTATTAGATGCCTGGTATATGAACCCTTATTTCCTCATATTTTTGCTTGGCCAAACATTCCACGGATTTGGAGCTACACCTTTATTCTCCCTCGGAACGGCTTATCTGGACGAAAATGTTTCACAAAAATCATCGCCTGTTTACCTTGGTAATTAAAAAAATAACTGACAAGTAAAAAAATTTTCTCTTAGCCATTCACTCAATGTTAACAAGCATTGGCCCAATTTTTGGTTTATTTATTGGTGGCAGACTTTTACAAGTTTATGAAGACTTTGATAGAGTAGATTTAAGCACGTTAGATTTTTTTGGAAATTTTTTAAAAAAATTCTTCCCCCCTTTTCTAGTGTGCCAATGAAAAACTCTCGTGATCCCCGCTGGGTAGGTGCTTGGTGGGTAGGCTTTCTTTGTTGTGCTATTGCTTCAGGATTTATTTCAATACCTATAATGGTTAGAAAATTTGTTCATTTATCTATTGAACTCTTCTAAATTTCAGTTGTTTGCCAGGGAATTGCCTGAGGCAAAGAAACATAGATTAAAGGATGTTAACCAGGTAAAGGGCTTAATCTTAGGAGATCATAGTGAGACTAAAACAAAGCTAAATGCAATGTCCTAGAGATAGAGACTATCTTTTAGTTTTGGGTTCTAAGGTTCCCGACTTCTAGGAGAACCACTAGAACGAGGTTTCGAGGGAGAGGATAGCTTTCCCGCCTATAAGAATTCAAGACCCAAAAATTTATGCGGGTCTGAAAAATTTTTGTGAATCGTGAAGTTAGTAGGCATTATTCCTTGATAATAGATACTACCGTTTTTTCTCGATTAATTCCCCTCTCTCAAATAATTCCCCACCCTCTATTAATTCCCCATGCCACGGAGGGTTGAAAAAATAATTCCTCGGGGGAATCAATCGAGTAAATACGGTATTTTAATTTAATTTTTGTAACTCTAATACTACTTATGCAGGTTCATGCAAACTCTCAAATGGACACAAATGATCACCTTTTAAAAGAAAAAAAGAATTTTTCTCAACTTATGAAAGGATGCTTGGTAAACCCAAAAATATATTTTTTAAAAATTTAAAAATTCTTCCTAAAAAGAATATCCTTCGGAACCCAACATTTGTTGCTGTAATGGCAATTGGCAACTTTGAAGCAATCATTTTAAATGGGTTTTCTGCCTTTATGCCTAAAATATTAGAAACGATACTTTCAACAACACCAACTATTGGGTCCTATCTTTCATGTAAAACGTCTTGAAAATTTTTTAAAAATTTTTAAATTTAAAGCTGTTGTTATATTTGCTGCAGCAGGTGGTGTAATGATTGGAGGAATGGTTGTTAGGCAAATGAATTTACAAGTAATAAAAAATTTTTTGGGTGTTAAAATTTATTTTAAAAATTTTTAAAAAATATATGGAAATTTTAAAAATAAAAAAATATTTTTTACATAAAAATACCCATTTGATCAACACCATATATTAGGTCAAATAATTAACTTTCAATAAGATCATCATTAAATTCCAATGATGATCTCTAGTAGTGATGCTCGGGTATCCCGCTCCCGACTCGGAAAAATTTCACGAGTTTTTGGCCTCCCGATCCCGACTTACGATGGCATTTCCCGACCCGACTCCTATTTCCCGATTCACGGGTTTTTTTACGAACATCACTAACCTCTAGATTTGTACTTGATTTTTATTATGAAACCTTAAATTATCTAAAATAATTTTTTAATAAAAAGGTTGGTGGAATGTTGAAAATGATTTTAATTTGCCATCTTGTAGCCCTAGTTTTAATCACTTGCCTTTTGGTTCAATGCCCTTCGAGAGAATTTGTTGGGATTACACTTGGCTATGATAGACAGTAATCGAGAATTTTTTTAAAGTTCAAAATTTTTTTTTGAGGAAACCAAAGCCAGGAGTTACTCCTTCCTTAATTGCTCAGTGTAATTCTCAATGTCATTGCACTAATAAATGGAACCCTGTTTGCGACAAAAGTACAGGTACTAAATTGTAGGGATTAGATGGGAATTTGGAACCCAATCCTTCCTTTCCGGGTCTATGTCTTTTTTTTACAAGAGGATGCTTGAAACTTGTTCTTCTCACCTTCAGTCCCTTTCGGTGCTTCTAAAAATTAATAATCAATTTAGGTCTAACATACTTTTCTGCATGTTATGCTGGTTGTGAATATAAAGAAGAGATTCATTCTTTGGTGAATTTTTTATTTATCCTTAACTAAAAAACTCATTTGGTCTGGAAAGTTATATCTTATAATTATGTTTATTGTTAGCCTAAAGTGAGGGTATTGTTTTAGCCGTTCTCCCCCTCCCTCCCTCCCTCCCCCTCCACCTCTCTCCACCTCTCCTCCCTCCCTCCCTCCCTCCCTCCCTCGCTCGCTCCCTCCCTCCCTCCCTCCACCTCTCTCCACCTCTCCTCCCTCCACCTCTCTCTCCTCCACCTAATCGCTAACCAGATTTTTCCAGAGGTATCTTCCTTACTTCAAGTTCTCCCCCTCCCCTTCCACCTAATGCTGACCAAATTTTTTCCAAAAACATACACTGCGGTGCAAAAGTTTATCTACACTGCCTGAAAATTTCTTTAAAACAATATATCTCGAGAAAAATTCGTTTAGATAAAATGGATTATTTTTATTATTATTAAGTGAAAAGTGCTCTTTCTAATAAGCTATAGTTTTAAAAATAACCCCCAGTACTTATTAAAGTATAACCCAGTTTTAACCCCCCAGGGCTTATATAAAAATTTTCTTTTGAGCTCATTAGAAAGCCCATAAAATTTACTATAAGATAGCCCAGGCTCAATTTTTCCGATAAAAAATTCATGGAGATAAGTGTCAAGGAATTTAATAACTTAACATTTTTAGTCAAATCCTCCCAAAATACCCCACATTTTACTCATTTTTAATTTCACAGTAAGTAACCCACACGTAAATATTATACAGATTTTTTTACAAATACGAGACCAATGGTATTTTGTAGCAAATTTTATGGGCTTTCTAATGAGCTCAAAAGAAAATTTTTATATAAGCCCTGGGGGGTTAAAATGATTTTTAAAGTACTGTACCCCGTTTTCCCGTTGATTTTTGTGATTTAAGATCTCGATGATGAAAACAATTACGGACTTGATTCTTTTTTATTTTTAACTCAATATCAATGGAAATGACCACAGAATTTTTTTGTATTTTTTCTGCCATTTGTTTTTCTAAAAATTCAATTTTTGCAAAGTGTAGATAAACTTTTGCACCGGCAAAAGACGAATTAGTTTGGGAAAAAGGAGCATATCATAAAAAGTTCTGGTCCCTATTTTTAACACAAGAGCTTATTAGAAAGAGCACTTTTCGCTTAATAATAGTGAAAAAAAACATTCCATGAAAACAAATTTTCCCCGAGATATATCGTTCTAAAAAATTTTTTGGTAGGTGTAGATAAACTTTTGCACCGCAGTGTATTTTAAATTGTTTTTATTATTGGGTACATTTTATGGAGAAATCCGATTTTATAAATATTCTTTTTTAAATTTAAAAATTAATTTTAAAAATAGGGAACAGTCTGGAGGAATTGCCATTGTATTGCTGATATTAACAGACCTTTAATAACCACAACAACCCCAAGAAATATTACTACTAGCTTTAATTTAACTGAAAATCCTTTTTCGGATTCAAGTCCTTCAATGGCTAGCGGGTTTTGTACCAAAGATTGTGGATGGTCTTTATATTTGTTTTTGGTACTTTTATTCTTTTCTGTTGTGGCTAGTTTTGCGGCTGGTATTCCTAATCAACAGGTGAATAATTTTAAAATTTAATTTTTTCGAATAATTTTGGTAATGTGACAATTCATCCCAAAAGATGACATTTTATCCCAATTTTTCCCCAACTCCAAAATTCAAAATTTTGCTTTTATATTTTCAACAAGAGACCGGACTAAGAGTTTGTATGTCGATCGGACTCTTGTTCGAAGTCCTGTCTCGGCCCGGTCTCTATTTAAAAAGGATAATCTTGATCTTTAAAGTCCATGACAATAATAACCCAATAATTCTTTGCTTATTTAGATCATGCTTCGAGTTATCCCCTTCCATCAAAGAACTCTTGGTATTGCTGTTAATTGGACATTCCACAGACTTTTGGGTTTTATACCTGGAGGTATACTTTTCGGTTTTATGATAGACACTACCTGTCAGAAATGGCAACATTCTGATTGTGGAACAAGGCAGTCCTGTTTGGTAAATAAATAAATTATTTTATGCAATCAAAAGGTTGGGGTTCTGATATTCAGAAGTGAGAAAAGGCTGGTTATCCCAAATTTCTGTTCGAATATCAGTTCCGGATCTGGATATTTTAAGATTTCTAAAGATCCGGCACCCTTTAATTAGATGCCTTTATTAAGGGAGGTTAAACAGACCCCTTTTTTATCTTTCAAAATTTATTTTAAAATTTAGGTACATGATCAATACAGACTAGCATGGACTATAATGGCTGTAGCTGTTGTTTGCAAATTAATGGCTGTATTAGCAACGATTATTGGTTATGTTACTTACAGGCCAAATGACCTCGACAGGCAAAATATTTATCAATTTTTATATTTTAAATTAAAATTCTGATTTTTTAGTGCAATGTCTGTACAAACAACAGATTCTAGAGGTCCCCTCTCTTTGGTAAATTTATTCTTTTTTAAATTTTTTTTAATTATTAATTTAGGTGGTTAACGATGACAGGCCAAAACAAGCATCTTTACACACAACAGCCCTTTCTACAGATTCCACAGCCTCAGCACTTCATAAAGAATAAAAAATTAATTAAAATTATCAAATTGTTTATTTTAATATATTTTGTATTTTTTGAAAAATTTTAATAATTAAATTTTTATTTGAAATTTTTAATTAAAAATATAAGCACATATTTACCGTATTTACTCGATTAATTCCCCCGAGGAATTATTTTTTCAACCCATGCGTGGCATGGGGAATTATTAGGGGGTGGGGAATTATTCGAGTTTTGAAATTTGAACGTGTATTAGGGAATTTGGGGGTGGGGAATTATTGTTTCAATTCACCCCTGGCATGGGGAATTAATAGGGGGTGGGGAATTATTCGAGGGTGGGGAATTAATCGAGTAAATACGGTAGGTGTCTTTTTAGTGATATGTAACTATAAAATTCTGATTTTAATTTCTGGTTTTAAATTACAAAATTCTGATTATTTTTAAATAAGCTTATTCTGTCAAGTTTTAATAATCTTCTGATTTTATATACATAATCAAAATTCTGGTTTAATTTTTTATTTAATTTAAGAATCAGAATTATCTTCTGATTTTTAATTAATAAATTCTGATTCTGACTTTATTTTTTATTAAAATATATATTCTGATTCAAGTTTATTTAAAATAAATTCTGATTCATGTTTATTTAATATAAATTCTGATTCAAGTTTACTTTTTAAAATACAAATTCTGATTCAAATTAATTATAAAATAAGTTTATTAAAAAATAAGTTTATTTATTTCATACTATTTAAAAGCATTAATTTAAAAAGTTGTATTCTTCCCTATTAATAAAAAATCATAATTCCTGTATTTTTCTCTTAAATTCTTAGAAACACGGCTCGCATTGTTCTTCACATTTTTGACATTTAGGTCCACACTCACGACATTGTTCTCCAAATTGATAACATTTTTTACATTCCTCTGTTTCATAACAGTTCTTTTGGACACATTTTGTGCATGTTTGTTTGCTACAGACAATACCAGAATAAGCCTTAAAAAATAATTTTTTTCTCATTTAATTAATCCTTTTTTACTTCAACACAATCCTCACAATCATCTTCACATTCTTTGCAGTCTTTAGAAGTTGCGCATTGTACACAGCTAGTCCCTCCATACTTTAAAAATTATTTTTAAAAATATTTTTCTTCAAAATATTGCCTTAGCACAGCGAGAGCATTGTTCTTGTTCATTACATTTTTGGCCTGCACATTTTGTGCATTTTGAGTTTGGTGCCTGGCAACTTGTTGGACAAGTCATACACTCAACATTGCAATATTCACAGTCTTGGGCACATCTGTCACATTCTTTTCCCTTAAACAAACTTTTTTAAATATTTTTAATTAAATTCTACCGTGGAAGCACAACTTTGACAAGCTGCAATGGTTTTGCATTTTTGCTGTTTCTCTATGCAGTCCGTGCATGTTTGTGTACTACAGGGTTGCCCGCCTGTTGTTTTTGTATTTGTTTTGGTTTTAGTTCCAACCTTTTTGTCAGTGTCTTTATTTTCTGTATCTGAAATTAATTCTGATTTTAATTTGCTTTTATAGTTTATTTATTCCAAGTTTATTTATTCCAAGTTTATTTTAATTCTGATTTTGTTTATTCCAAGTTTTAAGCTTGTATTCCAAGTTTATCTATTCTAGGTTTATTTTTTAATTAATTCTGATTTTTAATTCTGATTTTATTTCAAGTTTAATTTATGATTTTATTTCAAGTTTAATTTCTGATTTTATTTCAAGTTTAATTTCTGATTTTATTTCAAGTTTAATTTCTGATTTTATTTCAAATTTATTTCTGATTTTATTTCATGTTTAATTTCTGATTTTTTTCTTTATTGTCTATCACATTTACATTATCTTTCTTATCTTACCATGCATATCCTTTCCAACATGTTGTGTATCCTTGCTAATAGTAATATCCTTTCTCGTATCCTTTCCAACTTGTTTCTCATCATCTCTATCAGTTGTATCAACACCAGGTTGTGCGCCAAAAACAACAAACAACAGAATATGAAAAATTAAAAAACCAAAAAAGAAAGAGGAAAATCTTTGGGAAATCATTATTTATTTTTTATTTTAATATAAAATAAAATTTTATTTTAATAAAAAATTTAAGAAAATATTTTTTTAAAATTAAAGTGAGAAATCTTTCAGCCTTGAGTTGCTTTTAAATGGCTATTTTTTAAACTTTTTTTAAATTAGTCCTTATTTTTGAAGGACATTTTTTCTTTTAATATGTACAAAATACCTCACAAGATTAAACATTATATTTTTAATTTTTAATTTTTGTTTTCACTTTTTTAAATTATTTATTTAATTAATTTGACATTTTTTGAAGAAATTTTGAAAAAAATTTTTTTGAAGGCCGTTCTTTTTCTTTCATCATCTGTATTATTGCATTAACGCAAACTAAAGAAGATATCAGACCAAAGTTTATATTCTAAATAAATAAAATTAAGAAAAAGATATAAAATCATGAAGATGCATATCAAAATAGAAAATAAATATTTAAATATTAAAAAAATTTAAAAAAATAAAAAAAAATAAAAACAAATATCATTGCCCTTTTTGCGGTTCAGTTGAACAAATAACAAAAATAATTCAGTTAAACAAAATAAATTTTCCATGTTGAGCAGTCATCAAAAATCGCTCAGGATTGGATTTCGAGGTACAAACTAAATAATACAAAATACTAAAATTTTTATTTGTTTTTATCTCCAATGAAAAAGTCATTTTTGTTTCATTTCCTGCCAGCTCTTAATTAATCAAATTTTGTATTTAATTAAAAATAATTTTTTTCTGGATTTCTTTATGCTGGAAAAATCATTTTTTATTCTCGCGCACCATAAATTCTATCGATTGCCCTAATTTTATAAAATATTTTTTTCGCCATAGGAGGATTTTATTTATTTTTAAATCACCCTTCTTTTAAGCTATTTTACTATTTTAATTTTAAAATCAAAAAAATATTTTCTGAAAAAATTAAAAATGAGAGTTTGTGTGATAGGTGCTGGAGTTAGTGGATTGCCTTCAATTAAAGTTTAAAAAAATAATTAATTAATTAATTTAAAAATTAAATAAAAGGCTTGTCTTGAACAAAACCTAGAGGTTGATTGTTATGAAAAAACTTCGAGTATTGGGGGACTTTGGAATTATAGACCAAATGAGGATAATGTTGGGGCTAATGTTATGGCATCAACTGTTGTAAGATTTAATTTTTATAGTCAACACTCTCTATATTCCGAAGTTGAGGAAGAGTTTGTAGTAGGGTGTTGGTATATAGAGATTAACAACATACTGGATTATCTTTCTGAAAGATACCCATAGAGTATTTTTTTACATGGATATTGAAATCGGGCCTGTGGACCTCCTAAAGTAGGAAAGCCTGATCCGAAATATTTTAAAACATAACCGAGATTTTCGAACGATATCTTACCATTCAGGTTCTCATTCGATCCCTAGAGATTAACGACATACTGGATAATCCTTTTGAAAGATAACCCTCCGATAAAGTATTTTTTCACATGAATATTGAATTTATTGAGCCTGTGGACCTCCTAAGTAGATAAAGCCTGATCCGAAATAATTTTTAATAAAATATCATATCTCGATAACCGAGATTTTTGAACAATATCTTGCTATTCAAGTTACCATCCAATCCCCTTTACACCAATTTAATCACCAAATATTTTTTTAATTTTAAAGGTGAACACCTCTAAGGAATTGATGGCTTACTCAGATTTTGTAATTTTAAAATTTATTACATTAAACCTAATTAAATAGCCACCTCCTCCCGAATGGCCCAATTTCATGCATCATAGTTATGTACAAAAATATTTAGAAATGTATGCTAAACATTTTGATTTGATTAAATATATTCATTTTAATACTGAAGTGATCGAGGTTTCAAAAAAATTTCATCAAAATTTTTTTTAACAAAAAAAAATTTTTTAAGGTCCGTAGGGTTGAAGGGGATGATCAAACCAGCTTAACAAAATGGAGTGTTTCCCTCTCCAATGGAATTACAAAAATATATTCTGCTGTGCTAATATGTACCGGCCATCATTGTGAACCGCGTATTCCTACCGAAATTAATGGTTTTTTCAATTTAAAAAATTTTTTTCAAAAAAATTCTTAAGGCCTAACCACATTCAAAGGAAGAGTTTTACACTCTAAGCATTATCATGATTATAAAGGTTTTGAAAACAAACGTGTTATGTTGGTTGGTATAGGAAATTCTTCGTTGGATATAGCTGTGGAGTTGGCTGGGATTGCTAAGAATGTTTGAAGCTTTATTATAAGGGGATACCAAGGCCTAATAAATAATGACCGGGATGGTTAACTAGAGATATTTAATATAGACTAGATACCTCGAACAATAATTTTGGTTATCGAGATTAAGGTTTTTCGAGATGTTGATCTCGATTTTTCGTATGATCCCCCAGCCGGTCTCTATATATGAGACTGCGACAGAACTCGCAACCTGTGAACTGTCACCTCCAAATCTTTACACAATAACAAGTCTCTAAAAGAAATTTTCTATCAAGGTTGTAATTTCTACACGTCGAGGTACCTGGCTATTTAATAGAATAACTCAAAAAGGATTACCCTATGATGTGGTTTATCAAAGTCGATTTTATGATTGGTTAATGAGAACAGTTCCTTGGAGTATTGCAAATGATTTTCATGAATGGAGAATGCAGCAGAGAACGTTAAAAATATTTTTTATAGAGAATTATTATACTAGCTTATAGTGTCCAAAGAGTTTAATAATTTATCAGACCAATCAGGGACAGGCTTTCGAACTTTTCTTCGGATCGGGATTCAGATAACCGTCCCATACTGGTACCAGTGGCTTTAGTGTATGTATGTTGATTAGGATGTGAAGGAACAGATAACTGAATACGAAAAAGTCCGGATATAATTCTCGGTTCGGCTATCGGATCCGAGTCCGATACCAGGGGTTTTCCAGGTTCACCTAACTCTAGGTGTCATGGGTTTAAAATAAATTTAATATGTTTTAAAATTTAAGTGATCACGATTTATATGGCCTACGACCTCCACATCGTTTTTTCCAACAACACCCAGCTGTTAACGATGCTCTAACAAATTTATTAGCCAGTGGCCGCGTCAAAATTACAATTTGAGAAATTCAATATAAATATAAAAATTAATTTTTTAAACAATTTTTAGGACGATATAAATTATATTGATAAATATTGTGTTTATACAAAGGATGGGCGTTGTTATCAAATGGATGTGATTATTTTGTGTACTGGATATTCTTTTGGATTTCCTTTTATTAAACCGTCTGGACTTATACCTGTGACGGTTAGATGAAAAAATTAAAAAGAAATAAGTGAAACCCTGAAACCCTCTATATAGTGAATCTCTTCATAGGAGACCGTCTTCTTACTTTGTCCGTTCGTGAGATTGAGGGAATTTGCTGGTCTCTGTATAGTGAACATCATTTAAACGGCCTAACAAAAGATCTATTATAAAGGAATAAACCCTCTATATAATGGACCTCTTTCCATAAGCGACCGACCCTTGCATTTTTGCCCGTTCATGAAATAGAGAGTTTGACTTGTTATAATAAATACATTTTTTAATAGGAAGACAATCAAGTTGATCTTTATAAACTCATCCTACCACCCTCACCAGCAGCAAAAGGCTTAGCTGTTATTGGATTAGTACAGCCAAGTAATTCTAGCAGTAATTCCTTTGAGAAAATAAAATTTCAGTTGGAAGTGTTTCTCCTATAGCAGAAATGCAAGCTCGTTGGGTAACCTCAATCCTTGCTAAAGGGCTTAATTCTTTACCGGGTGAAACGAAAATGAGAGAGGAAATAGCCTATAGACGTGAGAGAATGCGCAGACAATATTTCGAGTCAGCTAAACATACAATACAGGTGAATACCTATAATATTTTCCATAGAAATATGAACCTGAAATCAGAACTTGAATTAAATCAGAATTATGCATTATTATATCATTTATAATAAGCGGAATTATTAATAAACTTGGAACAAATCAGAATTTTAATATAATTAAACTTTAAATAAACCAGAATTATGCAACATAAATAAACATTAAATCAGAATTATTAATACATATAAATAAACCTTAGATAAATCAGAATTATTAATTAATAATCTTGAAATAAATCAGAATTATGAATCATTATAAAAATAAACTTGAAATCAGAATTTATTCAAAATCAGAACTTGAATAAAACTTAAAAATCAGAATTTAATCAGAATATAATTAAAGGTTCAATATTTGCCTTACATGGACGAATTAGCAGAACAAATTGGTTGTAGTCCACCAAATATTAAAAAGGCTAGGAATTAATTAAAATTTAACCAAAAAAATTTTCTTAAAGATTTTATGGAAAGAACCCAGCTTTGCTCTACGTCTACTATTTGGTCCAAATGTTCCCTACATTTATCGACTACAAGGGCCGAATCTGTGGGCAGGTGCGCGTAAAGCTATTGAGGGTGTTCCCTATCGTGTTAAGACACCTTTAAAGCAGAGGTTCCAAATAATTAAAAAGTATGGCCAAAATATATTTTTTAATTAAAAAATATTTTTAGTAAAAATACAAAGAAAGGAATTGCAGACAATCTTTTTGATTATTCTTTAACTAAATGTTTGGCACTCTATTTTACTATAATTTTTGGTGTGGGAGCTTGGCTATTTGGAAACCAAACATTTTCTTTCATTCTTCATAGTGTTGCGATTATTTTTGTAGCATTTATGGGTTATATTTTTTATTTTGATATTTCTTGGCTGTAATTCTGATTTTGTTTTATTTAAATTCTAATTTTGTAAATTCTGATTTTTATTTAATAGTTAAGTTTATTTGCTAATAATAATTCAGATATGTATGTATATTTATATTCTGATTATAAATAATTCTGATTTAAAGTTTATTTATTCAATAATTCTGATTCAAAGTTTATATTAATTCTGATTTAAAGTTTATTTATATTAATTCTGATTTTAAGTTCTTTTATTCAATGATTCTGATTTAAAATAATTCTGATTAATTTAAGGTTTATTTATGTTATAGTTCTGATCAAAGTTTATTTAATATATAATTCTGATTCCAAGTTTTTTATTAATAGTTCTGATTTATTTCAAGTTTATTTAATTAATTCTGTTTTAAAGTTTATTTACTAATTCTGAAAAATAAAATTCTGATTTTTAAACAAATAAGTGTAACGATTCAAATTAAAAGCTTTTTGTTAAATAATTCAAATGCTTCCTTTGTAGAAACGGAAAATAATTTTGACTGTTCTGATAATAATAAATGTCCAATTTCATCTGCTAACATTAATTTAATATTTTTTAACATTTTTGTTTTTTTCTCCAAATCCACGTTTTCAAAATTTGAATTAATATAATTATTGTCTTCTAATAAAGTTAATAATTTTGTAAGTGCCAAATTCAGAATATTTTCTTCTTTTATTTTATGTTGTTTTTCCTCGTTATTTCCACCTAATCTTTTCAATAATTTAATTATTTGTTTTATATGAGATTTATCTTTTAAATTTTCTTCTTTTTCCTCTTTCATTAGCTCATTTAATGTCTGATTTATTTCTATCTTAATTAATGAATCTATTGTAGATAAATATATATTCCATAGGTTAGCAGGTGATGGGAGATCTTAATAAATTATTTCTGATTTAAAGTTTAATTAATAGGTAATTCTGATTTATTTAAAGTTTATTTATTGTAATAATTCTGATTATAATTATTCTGATATATTTAATAATTCTGAAAATTCTAATATAATTTTGATTTATTTAAGGTTTAATAATTCTGATTTGTTTAAAGTTTAATTATGCATTAATTCTGATTTCAAGTTTATTTATAATTGATAATTCTGGTTTATTTAAAGCTTATATTAATTCTGATTTTAATTCTGATTTAAAGTTTAATTAATAATTAACCAGTTAATTTCTGTAAAAGATTCCCCAATCCTTTACGTTCTTCAAATTGTTCACAAATTTCCACTGTAACATTTAAACAACTTAAAATCAAAGTTTTCAATAATTCATTGTTATTTTCAAATAATATTAATTCTGTAGATATTTGAATAATTAATTGATGACATAATAAACTATCCAATAATTCATCCAAGCCCATAGACAGCTTCCCCCCATTCTTATTATTTTCGAGTAAAAATAAATAGGCAAATTTTCCAGGGAAATTTGGACTGATTGGGCTATTTTCTTCTTCATTTTTTGAAGAAATTTGGTTTTGGAATTGAAATAACTGAAAAATTTAATTTAAAAAATTTTTTCCGGGCAGTTACTTGATTGGCCAGTTGTCTAACTTTATTAACACTTTCCTCCACCTCTTCAGGAGTAAGTCCAAGGCGATAGGAAACACGCATATCACCCTCATTCGAATTTATATTAAATTTAGAAATTAGGATTCTAACAGGAAAAAGTGAATAACAACTAAAAAATAATTTTAATTTAATTTTAAAAATTGGTGAGGTTCAATTACCTAGCTAGCCAAATATTTGTAGCAAGAATTTCTTCAATAGAAATGGTAATATTAGAATTTTTTTTAATTTTTAAATTTTTTAAATACACAAAAAGTTTTTGTAAAATAGCACAACCAGTTAAAGATAGAGCCTTTAAATATTTTATTTCTTTTAAATATTTAACGAAAATTTTTCTAGACTCAAGGCCTAACCACAACCTCAAGACTTGAGACTATTTTAAGGCCCCAAAGACAGATTTTGGGTTTCAAACCAGTTTTGACCTAAAAATTGTTCTGACCTCAAAACATGAGAGTTGTTCCCCTCCTAATGGAAATGGAGAGCCTTGGAGAAAATTTTCGAGGTGTCACTGGAAAGGGGACGGATCCCAACTCTAAATACACAAAATTATGAGTCACGGTCTCAGTAAAAATTTTAAACTAAATATTTATTTACCCCTCCCTTTGCCACACATTTTACAGATAAATTAGCCATTCCTTTAAATAAACTAGAAAGCCATAAATCTTCATTTTTTGATAACAAATTAAATAATAAATTATTAATAAAAGGGTGTGAACAGATCAGTATTCCTAAGGATTGTTTGATTGCTCTTGTTGAATTGTTTGTTAGGGAAAAAGAAATACAAAGTTCAAATTTGGATAAAATAATAGATATGATACAAAATGAGGCAAAGGTTAAACCTGGAATTAAAATAATTTTAAAAAATTAATAGGTATGTAATAGTATCCCCTCAAGGTATAAATCACCTCCTGTCTATAAGTTTTAAGGCCCCACAAACAGCTTTGGGTTCAAGACCACTTTTGACCTTAAAAATTGTTCTGACCTCAAGACTTGGGAGTTATTCCCCGATAGTTGAAGGGGAGAGCCTTGGAAAAAAAGGGAGAGCCTATTTTATTTTATATGAAAGCTATCTCCCTAATAAAAAAGAGAAGGGAAGGGTGCCACGGAAAATTTTTCGAAAAGGTGACTAAAGGAGGATGACTAGGTTTCCTCTTGAATTTAACACTAAGTATACAACCTACCAATTTCGTTAGAAATACGTTCAAGAAAATCAGCTATATTCTCTGCTAATATAACACATAAATCAGAATTGGCAAATAAAAATAAATTTTCATTTGAAATTTTAGGAAGTATAGAAGATATTAGCATTTCCAAAATATTTAACACATTGGACAACAAAATTTGATCTATTGGGGGTTTTTCAAACCATGGCGGTTTTTGTTTTATTAAATCTAAAATGAAAAAAAATATTTATTGTTCAACTAAAATTATTATTATATATAGTCTTTCCGGAAAAGAATAACTTCCCTGAACCCTTCTATGCATAGGATAACAAAAATAGTTTCCGGAAAAGGTTTATTCAATATGCAATAGTAACAATAGAAAATATAAGATTTCCGGAAAATATAATAATTTCCGGAATATTATATTCTTTCCGGAAAGTTTATTTTATATGAAAGCTAGACATAGGAAAAATTCCGGAAAATATAATAATTTCCGGAATGTTATATTCCTTCCGGAAAAATAACTTCCGTAAAAACTTTTAAACATAATAAATAGAATAGTTTCCGGAAAAAGTTTATTTTATATGTAAGCTGGTGACATTAGGAAAAATTCCGGAAAATATATGTTCTTTACAGAAATAGTTTCCGGAAAAGATTTATTATGTATGGAAACAGCTAGTTTTTGCAATATTCTTAAAATTAAAAAATTTTCTTAAATTACCAAATTCAATTGTTCTATCATTAATTTTCTCCAACAATTTCCTTTTATCTAACCAATTTTTTAAAATTAATTTACAACCACAATCATCATCATTTTCTTCTTTTAAATTAATTTCTTCACTTAAATCAGGCAATAAATTTAAGTAATTATCTTTATTTTTATTTTTGTTTAACAAAAACTGATTAAATAATTCCCATTTTTCTTTTAATTTATTTTTTATTTGAAAATTAAATCCTCTAGGAAATGTTGAGGTGATTACTGAAGAATCTAATAAATATTCAAATAATATTTTTTCAGAATTTTCTAATGATAAAAGGTATTGTTGTTTCTCTTTTTCTTTTATTTGTTTTTGTTGTTCTACTAAATATTTAAATAAAAATTATAATTTTATTTATTTTTATATTTTTTAATATTAGCTCTTATAAGGAGAGTTATTATTCTTTCCGGAAATATGTATATAACTTTCCGGAAAACTTTCAGGGAACTTAAAGAAATAAAAGAAATAAAGAAAATATACTTTCCGGAAAGTTTATAGGTATATTTTATAATTATTGTTATTTCCGGAAATATATAACTTTCCGGAAAGATTATAAGATACCTATTTAATAATTATTGTTATTTCCGGAAATATGTATATAACTTTCCGGAAAATATAAACATAGAATAATCGAAGAAAAATTTCCGGAAGAAGTTTATTTAATATAGGTAGATTGCAGTAGTAGTATAATAATAATCTCCGGAATTATTTCCGGAAGAGATAAGTATAACTCTCTAAATACTATTTAACCCTTTTCTCTAACCTTTCCAAGCAAAACTTCCATTAACTTCCAAAGCAAAAAGTAACAAATCACAAAATTCATTAAACATTAACAAAAATAATGTGGGCCTTTTTGTGTGATTAAACAAAAATTTATTACAAATTTCAATTATTATAGAGGTTAATGCTGGGAATGGTGGTGTAGGTATTGATATATCTTCCTCTTTTAATGATATATTTGTTGATATTGGAGATAAGGATATGTCTATGTTGTGTTGACGTTGAGTGAGTAACTAAGGGAAATTGGGAAATTATATTATCGAAATTATGTATGATAGAGTTCGAACACCCCCTCCCCCATTCTTCTGCTCGTTCTAAAAAAGCAAAACTTCAAAAAACAATGGTACGCGTATTACGACCTTCAAGCAATGACAGAAACACAGTATAGCTCAAATAAAGTCTCTTGTATCAATGGAGACTTCGATATATCAAGAGAGACTTTTTCCTCTTGAAGAATCGAAACATTATCGAGATTATGTATAATAGAGAGTTATCGGGTTCATGGAAAATTCTCGGATACCCGGAAGCGAACCGAAGAACTTTACCAAAAATCCTAGGTTCTTCGCTTCGGCTCGGAGCTTATAAATCTATCAGAGATCGGGATGAGAGACCATATTTATTATTTACCTTCAAGGAAGCAAATAATTCTGTCCACCCAGTTCCAATTAAATCGAAATTGTTTTGCTCCACAAAATTCAAAAAAATATTTCCAATTTGAATACAAGTTTCTAAAGTACAATTTCTTTCTTCTTTTTCCTCTTGAAGAATAAAAGTAAAAATAGAAAATAAAAAAGAATTCCATCCATTTAAAGAATTTTCTAATTCTGATGGATATAGTAAATTATTTAAAATTTCTTGAATAACATCTATAGCTCTACGATTAATTTCTGTTGGAATTGTTTTTGTTGGAGAGGTTGTGCTACACTAAATTTGATTTAAGAAAAGACTTTTAGTAATTAAAATCAAAAACATGAAACATGTCTAAGGGTTGATCTTTTACCTAGGCTACGGTTTTATCTAAAGGTATCTGGATCTCAACTAACGGTATTGTTCAGTAGAATTCCGACTTTCCTGAATCCATGTACCGAGTCACTTGATAATGTAAAGCATATAGCTATTTAATTCCTAAGGCTGAGCAGTAGGCGGCGTGGTGTAATGGCTAACACACCAGTCCGGTCTTCTGAAGATGCTGGTTCGCTCCCAGCCGCCGAATAACCTTTTGTCCTAGCTAAAGGAGAGAATTAGCTATAGCCCAGCTGCTTTACTATAATTACAAAGTCGGTATCTCTATTGGATGTATATCAAAACCCGATAACAATTTTAGTTCAAGATCAGGCCTGTCCCTAATAGCTCCAACAGTGCCGTGTATTAAGTGTTTGTGGGGCTCCTCGTCAAAGTTTGGCTCCAACTCCTATTCCGGGCATTTCAAAATCATATCTAGTTTCCGGAGTCATACCCTAGCAATGGTCTCGCTATGATAATTTTACTTTTCAAGCTAGTATAAAATCCATTTAGTTAAACTTAACTAACCAAAATAAAATGTTTTTTAATAGTTAACCAAATACACAATTTTTGTAAAAATGTTTGATTATTATTACAGGTAACTTGACATATTTTTTGTAAAAATAATGCTGTAGTTTCTGTCTGTGTTGTTGATGAATAAAGCAAATTATTTTCATTTGCAGTACAAATTTCAGAAAGGAAAACACAAAAAGAATCCATAGGGAGAATTTTTGGAGCAGAAATAAACAGACTTTTTTAAAAGAAAAATTTTGTTAAGCAATTAAAATTTAAAAATTTTCAAGATTATAAAAGGACACGGGAAGGATGCCCTCTAGGAGTTAGTTGACATAAACGGAATTGGATCGGCAGAACCCTAAGGTTGAATCTTTTCTTGACTCTCAACGAAAGACCAGTTCATTCCACTCATGTAAGGGAGAGGATGATAGAGGGACTTAGGTTCCTAGCGTTTCGGTTGGAAACTGAGTTAGCTAGACTTCTAGGACTTGGTTAAGTATAGAATAAACTTAGTGTGTTAATTGAAGATTTTTTAGGAAAAATGTATGGCTATTCTAGAATAAGAAAGGACACGGACAGTTTCCTGCTGGTCATAAATTTATGTATCTCTCGTAAAGTGCCAAATGGGGAAAAATTTTAATTAAAAAATTTTCTAATGTTAAAAAGGCATACTTGTCAATTAATCCAAGAAATTGATCCATAATTTTGACAATTTCTGAATTATTAAATTCTTTTCTAACTTTTGAATTAATTAATTGTCCGAGAGGTGAATTACTTCCTTGAGATGTTGTTGAAACAGTTGGGAGAGGGGGAGGGGGCTCGTAAATTGATTCAATTGTTGATTTTGCTAATTTAAAATGTAGACGTTCAAGTTCCCAAATAAATTGAATACATCGAAAATAGAAAAAAATTTAGGCCATATTTAGAGGCCCCAATTCTCGATTTTTGTTCAGATATCGAATTTATTTTGAGGACAATATAAGTTGGATGAAGGCACATCTGGGTTGAGGAACCTTCCACAATGGTTTTATTTAGAAATACCAGACAATTCATCCCACCAAAAATGACATTTCATCCCATATTTTCCCCAACTCCAAAATTCAAAATTTTTTCTTGTATTTTTAACTAGAAACCGGACTGGAGGTTAGTACAAGAATATATGAGATATCCGAAAAATATCGAACTCGATAACCGAGATTTTCGTTCGAGTTCTCGTTTCGATCTGATCTCTAGTTGTATTTTATTCCATAGTTGCTGGGACCTTTAATAATTTTCAGATGGATATAGGGAGACAATCAAATGTTCACCGATAAATTTATAAAAATAAATATTCACCTAACAACATGTTTAGCAACATTCGGAACAATTTTTAAAGCTTGAATCGAATTCTCAACAATTCCCTGCATAGCCAATAGTTCAGGTCTATTAATAAAGCGTCTTACACATTTAATATCTTGTCCTCCTATAATATTTTTATTTGAGGAATTTGTCTTCTGAGTTAATTCTCTCAAGTCTTCCAACACACAAACACGTTCAGATATTTGTTCAAATATCCAATTTAATTCTGGAATCAGTCCTTTAAATTAAAAAAAATTTTTTCTGACTTTCTCCAACGTTCCCTCGAAAATTTACCCAATTTAATAGCCAACGGAATAAAAGAATTTAATGCCTCCACCGTTGCAATCCTCACATCTTCTCCTATTGCTAAACCTGTTGCTTCACCTTTACCTACTGGAAACTGATTTAATATTCGTTGTATTGAACTCCAACAGGAGCGTAAACGGAGACGGAGCCAGCGAGAAACTAACAACTTTAGAAAAAATTTTAATTTAGCCATATTACAGTCGAACATCACTAGAATACGCCCATGGAGATGAATCTTATTTTATAATTAGAGTTGTCTTAAGTAGGAGCTATCCCTTAGGCAACCCATCCAAACTACCCAAAAATTTATTATAAATGGACCTTTAATTATATATTAAGAGAATGGAAGTGCATCTTTTAAGATAGAAAAAACGGAGTTCAAGTGTAAATGTTTTAACCTTCTTTAACCTATTATCTCTATAATTAGTCACTCTTAGATGCCCTACCACACGTTCAAATTTCAAAACCTGAATAATTGCCCTCCCTCGATTAATTACCACCTCTAGCGAGTGATTGAAACAATAATTACCCATGGTAACTATTCAAAAAATACGTTAACTAACATTATTTATTTTTTGTTCACTATCTTCTGATTTTTGTTTAATTGGATCTTCTTCAAATAAATTTAATATTGAATTAATTTTTAGTTTATTTCCTTTAACATTTTTGTTTTGTTTTAATTTGTTCAAAATTTGTTTAATTAATTGTTGATTAATTGAAGAATTTGTTTGGACAAATTCTAAGATTGGAAAATGTTGAATTTTAGTTGAGCTATTTATTTCTTGAGTTAAATTCTGTAAAAAAAATAAATTCTCATAATTTTAAGGAAAGAAGGAAGATCCAGCTAGCTAACATTTAGAATACTTATTAGGTCAAGTGTAGGATGTAGTATTAAAAGCAGGCTGGCCCTTTAAAAATATCCAAAAGGGGGTAAAAAGGTCTCAAAAAGGCGGTAAAAAGAGGGTGAAATCGGTCAAAAGGCGGCAAATGCCTCCCAAATGAAGCAAAAGAACCACGCTGATTAGGGAATGGTGAAGCATTTTCATGGTAGGTTCAGTCAGCAGCTTTACCGGTGACTAGCAAAGTGACTAGAATGAACTGCCACGGGTGTTTGCTATGCCGGTGCTTAACTTTAATTCTCTCTCTTATTCTATATTAATTTTCAAAAATAATTTTTTTAAATTACCATTCTTGTTCTAATCCAATTTTCATCCTCCGACATTAAATTCAATTCATAAATTAAAGCAACCAAAAACATGTATTCCTGTATTTCAGTCCTTGTAATATTGCAATCCTTATCTTCACTTTCATCCCTTTCAGTGTCACTATCCTCTGGGGTTGAGGCTGGACTTGATCTTCTTGAATTTTCAAATTCTTCTTCCTTTATAGCCTCACAAATATTTTCTTGATTAATTTCAATAGCAAATTCCCTCAGTTTTGAGTCCAATTCCAAGTTTGTCGAGCATTTTAACCACAAAGGGAATTGCTCAACAAATTTGGTTACAAAATTGTTGTTAGTCTTGTAGTCTTCAAAATTCTCTTTTTTATTAGCTACATCTTCATTTTCATCTTTATTCTCTTCCTTTTGACTCAACAATGAATAAAAACTTGAAGGAAACGTTATAGTTTCTATTTGATTCATTGCACAAAACTGTTTTGGAAAAAATTTTTTTTTATTAAAATTGTATGATTAAATATTTACTAATTTATTTTTTGATTTAATTAAATCAAAAAACAGCCAAAAACTATCTATAGGCATCGAACCCGGCTCACCCATAAGCGCAAGTCGAGCGTACTACCCACTACACTACAAGTGTCGAGCTAACCCTTCTCTGCAAATAATCGGACCTCGCTTCCGATACACTCTTGGGTCTGATAATTTGTATCTTATAATGAGAGTATCTTAAATAGAGGTTGGCTTATAGTGAGAGGTCTCTTAAATAGAGAGTGGCTTATAGTGAGCTGTCTCTTAAATAGAGAGTGGCTTATAGTGAGAGGTCTCTTAAATAGGAGGTGGCTTATAGTGAGAGTATCCTAAATAGAGAGTGGCTTATAGTGAGAGGTCTCTTAAATAGAGGGTGTCGCTTGAACACTACCCCCAACCTCCATGTCCAACCAAACAAAAACTATCTATTGGGGGTATCTTATAGTGAATCCAACTATAAATTCCTACCAACGCAGCAAGTGTTCTCAAAACTTCAATAGCCATTTTATCGTTATTAGAACAACAACAACATTCTTCCAAACACTCAATTAAGTATAGCCAAAAAGAGTCTTTTCCAGAAGCACAATTTAACTGTAAAAATTCCCCAAAAGAATTCTGATCTATACAGCGACGTTTAATTAATCGGATAGCTTCCGTTCTTCGAGATATTGGAGGGACGAGTAATGCAGATCTCCACAATTCTTCAGTTAAAACGAAAATTTCATTTGGGTCAGAATTAAATGGGGAAAGGGCCAAGGGAGTGAACAAGCGTAAAAGTTGCTCAACAACACTTTAAAAAATTTATAAACTGATTAAGTGATAAAAATTTCAAAGAATTTACTGATTAAATGATCGTGCACTCTCCGCCCCTTCCAACGCAATTTTTGCTGTAGGCGATATAATTGCTGAAGAAGGAGAATTTGTGTTTGAATTGTCTGAACTAAGTTGTTTGCGCCCTACACGTGAAAGCAGAGAAGTTTTTGGAATAGGTGTAGGATCTGAACATTCTGGATTTGGAGAGCTTTTTCTTCCACTTGCGTGAAGATAACAAATTATTGCTGGTAACAATTCACCTCTTTAAAATAAAAATTTTTACTGGATCTACAATCAAAACCTCACTCATAGATACACCCAATAATGGATACACTTCTATTTAAAATACGGTTTTTATAAAATGTGGTAGGGCATTGGGTAGGGGGGAGGGTGTCTAAGTGATAACCTCTAGTTAAGGGACACCTCATTAAAGTACCTCGTTATAAACCAACCTCTATTTAATAACCTCACATTATGAATCCTCTCATTATGAGCCACCCTCTATTTAAGGTAGCTCACATTATAAGATATCCTTTATTTAAGATACCCCACTATAAGCCCCCCTCTATTTAAGTTACCCCCATTAAGAGATACTGATTTCGGACCCATGGGTGTGTTCATAAATGAGGTTTTTAACTTGCTTTTACTTTATAGAATTAAAAAGCGGTCTGTGCCTCTCCAAGATTGAAGGTTCCAAAGCACTCAAAATACTGATTAAAGCATCCAATGGAAGCAGCAGAGGTTGTTGTTTTTGTACCAAATCATTTTCTTTATTATTCCCCAAAGCCCTTTCCACAGTTGATCTCCCAACCATTCTAGCAACCAATTCGCTAATTAATGCTGTTATATCCATTCGAGCCCCAATATGTTCTGTACATTCCTCTTCTTCAAATGAAACTGCTAAACGATTCTGAACGTAAGAATTGAGAAATTGAGTAAGGGCTGCTCGAGCTGCTGGCCGGACACTGTTGGCATGTGCAGCAGCTACGGAAAAAACTTGCTCGCAAATCTAAAAAGAGTTCTTGATATGGATAACTCAGAAAGTTAAATAAGAGCCCTCATATCCTAGCAAATAAATCAAAGTGGAATATTTGAGGTTAATAGCCTTGCATCGGAGAGCTCTCAAGACCATGTCCCAGGTGATCTTTTGATATTTCCTAAGATAGGGTCGGCTGCTTTTTAAAAAAAAAGTTTAAGAACGAGAGAAGTCACTTGATCAGAGAGAGTGACTTATCATCACCTCTCTGATCAAGTCGCTTGATCAGAGAGGCTTGGATAAAAAAATCGAAAAGTTCAACGGTTCCAGGGTTAGTTCAACTTATAGATGGTTCCACGGTTTCAAAAACTAGCTCCAAAACACTTCTCAGACCCATAAAAACGCTGAAAAACGATCTCGATTGTTTCCCAATTTTTCCTTGAATTTATTTCCTCACCTCAATACCATTCAATACATCCTTCAAGCCTATTGATATTTCTGTTGACGAGAGTAATTGAACTAAAACTGTTAATGCTTGACATTGATTAGAAGGCGATTCATGCCATTGAGGTATATCGAAAAGAAGTGAGATTAGCTGTTCGGCGCGACTCTGCCCCTCCGGTGTATGATCTTCTGAGCCAAAATCGGCATTATCTCGAAGAATAATCTTTAAAAGAGAAGAAATGAGGAGGACTAAATTTTAAGTTTTTTACTTGTATTCCTTCAAAAGAAATCGCCGCTAATTTTGATCGTTTTGAAGCTAATGCAATGCTGAAACAATTAATGCAGTTTTGACGTTTTTCAAACTGATGGCATTGTGAAGGTGGTTCTTTTAAATTTTCTGAAGAAAAATTAAGTGAAAATTCCTTATATTTTTTTATTAGAGTTGAATTTTTCAAGGTTCCAGGCATGACATCAGGGTTTTACTTTTAAAATGAGCTGGAGCGGGTTTTTTGGGTTAAAACCCTGAAATCCCAAAAGATTCGAATTTTATCTTAATATTCGGTTTCGGAGCTCCGACTCGGGTCCGAACTATATTTATGTTAGTAGTGACCGTGCAAGATCATTTTTCCGGACCCGGAAACCGGATTTTGGATTTCACTCGTGTCGGACCGCATCCTGCCGGATTTTTGCGAATGTCCGGTACGGTTTTAGACCGAAAATCTCAAAAAACCCGAGGGTTTGGGATAAAGACTTCGGAAAATCCGGCCGGAGTCCAGTTTTGTAAAAAGGCAATTCATAGTATTCATTTAGCCAAAACCTATCCAGAGGTGAATCGTCCTGTTTTTGGCTACACTCTAAATAGGCTGCCCTGAATAGTCCCTTACTCTGATTTTTAAAAATTCTTTCCCAGCTGATTTTTTTTATTTTTCTTTTTTAATTAAACAAACTTTTTGCTTGTTGAATAGCTTCTAAAAGGCCGTTTATCGATTTCAAGTCAGGCTTTTAAAAGAAATTTTTTTTCGGAAAAATTTTTAAAATTTTTTACCTGATTTCCAAGTTTATTTAGCACCGTTTCCATTTAAATTTTAGAAGGAATAAATTTATTTATTTAAAGCTTTTAGTCGGGTAAGTGGCACACTTTCACTTAAAAATATTTGTAACATTGGCATGTCCTTTCCTTTTTAGAAAAAAGTGAAAGGATAGAGAAAGAGATGTGGAGAGATATGGAGGGATATTGCCTTTGGGTTTTTCCTTTTTGGAAATTGTTTTTTTTCTATTTAACGAGAAAAGTAAAGAGGGGATATTGTATATACACGTTGTTATTTTTAATGAGAAAGGCTTGTTTGAGGTTCTATATTTTTTTATTTTTTTCTAAGCAATTTTTATTTGGATACCTTGCAGGCTGACCGAAATAAAAAATATTTATTTCGAATCAATCGAAATAAACGAAATTTCATGTTGGAGCAAAGCGAAACGAAATTTCGATCAGTCCTGATACCTCGGGATTTTGAGGTTCAGTCTTGAGTCTTGAAAAAATTAGGCTCTTGGACAGCTCTAATTTACACGTTTTTAATGAGAAAATGCTTGTTTTTAGTTGTCTAAGGATTAAAAAATTTTTAAGGCTTTTTTTGTTTTTTTTTTTAATTTTTTTGTCCTCATTTGAGCTTTCAAAATATTTATTTTCTCTTTTTTTCCATTTTCAAGCTCTACAATTAAAAATATTTTTTCCAATTTTATTTTAGATATCCTACCCAAATAATTTAATCAAAAAAATTTAATCAAGAAAATGTTGGATTCTCAAAATTTAGAAGAAACGATTAAACAACTCCAAAGCAGTGGCATTCTGTTTTGTGTTGAGGTAAATAATTTAGAAATTGGAAAAAATCTGTTTTTATTTTTTAAAGTTTGTTGGATCAGTTATTGTAGAGAAATCAATTAATTCATTATCTGGTGATAAACAAACACAATTTGCGAGGTTTTTAATTTAAATTTTGTATTTTTTTGTTCAAAAATGGGGTTGCAATTTATTTTGACAAAAAATTTTGTCCGCAAATTAATGAAAAAATTTATTTTTTCGCTGAATTTAGATTTTTTCTTGTTTTACCTGTTATAAATTTAAATTATTTTTCTTCACATTCTCTCCTAAATATTTTAAAATTTGACATTTTTTATCATTTCTTTATCCTTCCAAAAGTCCGCAATTTTCATTCACAAGTTTTATTCCCATTTGAGCTTCTAAAATATTTATTCTCGCTTTTTCTTCCATTCCCAAATTTATTTTGGAGTTTATTTGGCCCCCTTAGGGCTTTTTGACATATAATTTTTTTATAATTTCCAATTATTGTCAGTGTATAACTTGCGGACATAACTTGCGGATTTTTTGTAGCCTAAACAAAAAAAATCTTCACTTTTTTCAGGGCTTGTATGAAATTTGTAATTAACAATGTAGTCTCTTCTGCTAAACTTGTTGAAGATGATAATGTAGATTTTGCTAAGGTTTTTTTTTGTTTAAAAATTAAAAAAGTTTAATTTTTCAAAGTATCTCAATCTGCAAGTGCAATCCTTCAAAAACGATGTTGAATTAAACATTTCTTCTTCTGCTTTTATTATTATTGATACAACAAATATGCGGCCTCTGCATCGATTTAATATTCAAGATATTTCTTTGTTTTCGCCGGGGTTTGAGGTAAAAATTAAATTTTTTTAATATTTTGGGACATTTTGTCCACTTTGGGGGTTTTGACCTTTTTGGGGGATTTTTTGATAATTTTCATTTTTACATATTTCCGGGTTCTAAAGCTTCCCAAAAAATAATTTTAAATGACCTAAACTTTATTTAGAAAAGTTTTTTTTCACATTTTTTCACGTTTTGTCTATATGGGATCAAATGTCGCTCTCCAATCTCTTAAAAATTTTTGCCTTTGTTTTAATTTATTATTTAAGAGATTTTCGATTCTTTTGTTTGAGAAGCATTTTCAATAATAATTAAAGAAAGAAAAAATCATTTTAGGAATTCTCTACCTTCTTTTGTTTTTTCGCGAAAGACCATATTGGTGATCAACCCCCTTTGCGAAGATGTTTTGTTTTTAAGGCTCAAGAAGAATTGGAAGATGTTCGGGATGCTATCTATTTTGCTTTTAAATTAAATGAACACAACAAAAAGAATTTGGTGGAAATTGGAAATAATTGTTTAAACGGCAGCAGAAAATCTTCTAATGATTTTGGTAATGAATGTCCAGTTAGGGAAGATGATTCAAAAACACCAATTCCTTGTCAAACGGTTTTTTTTACTTTTTTGTTTAATAACTTACATGTCAAGGGAGGGATATCACAAATTGAGAAAAAAAGTCGGGCTTGGGTAATTTTTCTGATCGGGTTCGTGACGAAAAAAGTCCGGCTGTCGTGTTGATGTCCCTTGTGAACGTGTGGAGTGTTAACAATTTTATCTATTTGTTAATAGTAGGTAAGTTAATATACCTTTATGTCTGATTATTTACAAACGAAGCTAGAATAGACCCGATTGCTTCCCTTACATTGATTAGGTGTTAAACAGGAACTAAAATAAGGCACATTTCACCAACTACCGCCAGACATAAAATCTGATTTTCCGGATGGTTGTTAAGAAATAGTAAGAAATTTCGTTTTTTTTCAGCCTCCAACGCCAATTTGCAATGAACAAAAATTTTTTGATACAAATTATTTAAATGGAAATAGTGAAGATAATGCAATTAGTAATTTAAAATTAGCACCAGAATTACCTCCTCGTAAAAGCAGACATTCCTTAAGTGCTGATGTTTCTGGTTTGGTAAAAGTGTCAAAACGTGGAAGAAGCGGTTTGTTTTTTTTATATTTTTTAGATCATACGAGGGTGCAACGGTTTGTAGGATTAGGAGGAAGTTGTTAAGAGAGTCTGTACAGGGGGTGTCCGAAAGTGAAAAAAATTTTCCGCGGCCGCTGTCCACAGTCCGCAATTTTGATTTTATAATACGGAGCCGCAGTCCGTAAGTTAAAAAACCACACAATCCGAAATTGCGGACAACCCTGGTTGATACCTTTCCGCGCTTGACAGTGATATTTAGGCTAACCTTGGACTTGTATCCGGGATTTGCTATTTTCAGACATCCCCTGTTTCCCAACTCTAAAAATTAAAAATATTTTTATTAGAATCCAATTTTGCCGACGGTTCTTCTTTTCGTCTATCAATAGATCGCCTTCAAGAATTAACAACCGATTTGTCAAAACAAAAATGGTTTCATGGATTATTAACTCGAGAAGAATCAGATTCTCTTTTATGTGAAAATGGCCAATTTTTTGTTCGAAATAGTCCGTCAAATCCAAACAGATTTGTTTTGGTTGGAATGCATAATGAAAAAGTTGTTCATATTCGTTTACTTAATAATGAAGGGAAGGTTTGTGGAAATTTTTTTTTGGGAAAATTAATTTGAGAAAAATGGGCGTTAATTGGAATTAAAGGGAAAGGAAGGTTTTTTGGGTCATATTTTTTGTTTCTTGGGTCCTCAAAAATTTTTTGTTGATACTGGTTTTATTTTTAATTCTTTTTTCTTATCATCCACAAAATAAAAATTGTTTTCCGCCAAAAGGGTTCGAACCCTCGACCTGTTGGTTAGTGAACTAAAAATTATCCCACTACACCAAAGCAACAACTAGTTAAAAATTTAATTGACGATGGGTAGTTTAAGTTGTTTTTCATTCACTTCCTTTTTAAAAAATTTTTTAGCTTTTTAATTTAAATAAAAATTATTTTTTTAATTTTTTTTAAAGTTACAAACAACAGCTGGAGAATTTAAAAATATTGTTAATTTTATTAATTATTTTTATCATTCTCAATTACCTGTAATTGTTGATGAAAAATCGTCTCCAATTCTTTTACATTTTCCTATTAATCGACGTTGAAAAGAATTTATTTTTTTAATTTTTTAGAATTTTGTGATATTTATATATATTTAAGGGTATATTTTACCTCTAAAGAAGAACAAAAAAATTTTTCTAAATCTACCTAATTTTACAATTTTTTTGTTGCTCAATTTATATTATATTTAATAGTACTAAATAAAATAAATTTAATTTAAATATCGTTATTCATTAAATAAACATTAATTTTTTAATTATGTATTATTTTCTATTTTATTTATTAATAATACTTTTAAAAAAATTATTTAAAGTTTTTGGGTTCAGTCGTGGGACTATGTGAGAGAGGTCGTTTGAAAATGCTGGAGTTGTGTTGTGTGGAACACTGAAACTACTTAAATGTAAAAGAGACTACCTAATTAAATTGAAAAAGAAAAACTACGTGCTTTAATGTTGGAACAGCAAAAAAATTTTTGGAACTTTAGAATTGGAAATTAATAACAAAAATGCAAAGGATGAGAAATTCTGGGCAGGATGGCAATTGTGGTGGGTTTTACTTTTTAGATTAATATAAAAAATAAATTTTGGGATTTGGCGTGGACTTTAGTTTTCGGTTTTAGTTCTCCGAATATATTTTTTCTTCCAGGCATATTTTTTCTCCTGGCCTTTCAAAAAATAAATTTTTTTTGTTTTCACAAAAATTTTCAAAAACGCTATTTTTTACGAGATTGGAGGGTCACCGTTAATTTTTGTTTAAATAATGTCAAAAAAATTTTCTATTTTAAAAACCTGTGGGCGTCAAATAAATATGCATGACAGTAAAAATAGCTTTAAACCACAAATTCATTACAAATATCCTATTTATTTTAATATTATTTTTACAAAAGTTAATTTTTACTAAATCTCTCTTTGTTGCAGACATAAGGAATGTGTCTTTTTATTAAAAAAGAATTTCCCCTCTTCATAAAAAATTTTTTTTCTTCTTCAATTTTTCAAAAACACTTTATTTTTATTAAAAAATGATGCTTACACATATTCTCTCACTCATCTTATTAAAAAAATAAGAAAATCTCTTCTAGTCTTTTTTCCATCTTTTTTAATTTAAAAAACTAAATGACTATATTTTACAAATATTTTTTAATATGTTATATATTGGTTGGGGTTTTTTTTAATTTAAAAACTGTTAAACATATTTACGTTGAGCGTTTATTATTTTCGTTCTGTTTGCTATAAATGACTTTTTTTTGTATTTTATATAAAAATTACAAATTTAAATTCCTGGTTGTTTATTAGATATTAATTTATTTTTGGCTTCCTTACACGTTTTTTGATTAAATTTATATTTGTTAAAATCTTTCTCGTATGATAGAAATTATTTGGAAGCTTGTACCAAAAACCATATCCGTAAAGATATCGGAATTCCGACCCACCTCTGACTTTAAGGAACGTTTTTAATTAAATTGGGGGTACTCAGATATGCCGCTAGGCCAATGTACCGCAGAGCTATAACTTTATTCAAAATTATAAGTATCAAATTCGGAACACTTTGGTATGCTTGGATTCAACTCTCTTTACAACGTCCCAAAATTCGATAATTTTGAACCAAGTTATAGCTCTGCGGTACATTGGCTTGCTCCCGAAATTCTTACACTTAAAAATCAATTTTTGTTTATAATTTTTTTAATTCAATTGCCCTTTTTAGTTCTCTCCAAAAAAATTATTCTAATTTTTTATTCATGTTTTTTTCTATTTTCTATTTTATATAAAATACAGACATATTTTTACTAAAAATTAAATTAAATATTTAAATTAATTATGCATTTATTTTATTTGCCTGTTTAGTTTAATTTGTGTGTGTTTCTTTGTTTGTCAAATTATATTATAAATACTAAATTATTTATTCCTTATTTTTGTTTATTTAATTTTTTTCTAATTTACTATGTTAAATTAACAATTAAATTAATTATTTATGTACTTATATAAATACTAATTTAAATTTATTTACATACAAAATGTGGCAAATTAATTAGGAGAAACTTTTTAACTTTTTAACTTTTAAGAATTTTTTGGTGCCAAAAATAAAAAAAATTTGGTTTACAGATAGTAAAGATCAGACCTGCTCATGGATATGGATTTTGCTATCCGTTTTCGGATATATCTGTGAGGTCCATATCCGTATCCTTCTGTATCCATTTAACTTTTGAGTCATACCCATCCGAGGGTATCCGGATATTATCCGTATCCGTGAGCAGGTCCGGTAAAGACTAACATAAAAAACAATTTTCATTGACTTTGAATCAAGTTATGACAAAAAGGTTAAAAGTGTTTCTAATTTTGCAGTCCCTTTGTGTATTTTTTGTAAAAATTTTTTTTTAAATATTTATACAAAGTTTCCAATTTTTTAATTATTTATTTATGCCTTTGCTAATTTCTTTTTTTTTCTATTTTTTAATCGGATAAATTTTTTAAAAATATTTTTTAAAGAAAATAAGGCTTTTTAATTTAAATATAAATAAATAATTTTTTTCTGCATTTTATATTTTTTATCGAAAATTCTTTTTTCTGGCATGTGACAATTCCAGAAAAATTTATAATTTATTTTAGTAACACATTTTTTCTATTTGGAAGGGAATTAGTAAAACTTGAAACCTATACTTTTCTATTTATTATTTATAGTAGGTATTTTTAATGGTTTTAATAATCTTTGATTAGTTGTTAATTAGTTTTTTAATTCAAAGATTCCTTTTAAATTTTGTTTTCTTAAAAAAATGTTTTTTAATTTTCTATATTTTTCTGTTTTGCCTTAAAAATTTTTTTTACTTTAGATTTCTTTTGATATATTTAATTTACAATCTAAAACATTTTAAGACAGCCAAAACTCGAGTTTGTTTAGGTTCTCTCAAAATTTTTATTGAGTAAAAATGATCAGGGAAGGAAACATACATACTAGGGTTGTTCACTTCCGATTATTAACTGGTACCTCCGGTTTTCGGTTTTGGTCTATTGGTTAAAAACACCGGTTTTCGGGACGGTTAACCGATCGTGGACAACCCTGATACTTACACATTATGGTCGAAGTATAAATTTTTTCTGATTTTTTTTTCTGTCTTAGTTTTGAGAGATCAAGTCTTGATCTTACCTGTCTCAGAATGTTTTGGCGTTCGGACGTCTCTTTGAAACGTATCTATTATTTTGTTAATTCCAAAAATTTTTTTTTAATTTTATACTTATACATCTTTTGAATGACGTTATTCAAGCAAAAAAATAATTTTTTAAATATGTACAAATGACTTTTTCCTTCAAAATTTATGTTTTTTAAAAAACAATTGTTATTATATAAACAAATATTATATAGTATTTATTTTCTTTAAAAAATAAACTTTAAAAAAAATAATAATAATATTTTTAAGTGTTCTTTTTTAAAAAATAATACACAATATTTTTTAAGAGGAAGTTTTTTTTTACTATAATTATTTTTATTTCCTTTTTAATTTTTGTTTACTTTGTTTTTAAATAAATTGCTTTTATCTTCTAACAAAGCCTTAATATTTATATTTAATATTTATTTATTTTTTTAAAAATTTGTATTTATTATATAAACACATACATGGCTAACGGAAACACGCAAAAAAGAAACAAGTTATGTGTTTTGTATCCGGATATGCCCAAAAAAGAAAATTTCAAAAATAAGATTTTTATGTTGGTCCAAGTTGTTTTTTGTTCTTTACTATATTTTACATATTCTCAACTTCCTGTCATATTTGCATATTCTTTAGCTTTTTTTGCATATTTTGGCATTTATTTGAATTTTTTTACATTTTTCAGACTAGCTAGAAGAACCTCCATATAAGAATAATTGTGTTTAGAAAATTTTCTTTTATTTTTAGGGGTTTTTTGTAAAATTCGGGCTTTTACGTTGGTTCTTTTCTTGTTCCTAATTCTATTTTTGGCTATTTTCCTCTTTCGTGTATATTTTGGGGGTTTTACTAAGGTTAGGGTTTTCGAGCCGGGCCGACGTTTGAGTCATCTTTTCGTTCTTCATTTTTATCAGGCGGCCCGACCTAGTCTTTTTCAAGCCAAAATTCGATGCCCGACTCGATCTTTCGGACCGGACCGGGCTCCCCCAACCCTAATTCTTGTGCATATTTTCTGCATATTTTGACATATTTTACTTAATTTTGAATATTTCTTCAAACTAACTTTAAAAAATCTCTCCAAAATAAATCCAATTGAGTTTCTAAAAACTTTTTTGTGTTTTGTTGTTTTTATATTTTTAGTAACTTCCTTTTTTAATACATACTTATGTTTGTATGTATTTTTTTTGTTTCCTTTTACATTTATTAAAAACTTCTACAAAGTAATTTGATATATTTTTTTTTGTTTTTTATTCTCGAATTATAATATAAAATATATGTAAGTAAATTTTTGCCCGACCAACTAACTCTCTATAATATAGTGAACACTAAGGGCTCGGAAAAGTGTTCATTATTATAGAGGTGTTATTTTTATCTTATGATAAATTTTCTATATTAGATGGACCTCACTATAAGATAGACCCTTAGGACTGAAAATTGTACTTTATAGTAGGTACCAGGGGTGTACCGAAAGTGATTTTAAAAAGCGAAAGTCGAAAGTCCAAAAAAGACGAAAATCGGCGAAAGGCGAAACTCGCACACCCCCGGTAGGTACATCTTAAATAGAAGTATATTGCTTAGATAAAGGTATTACCCAGTGGACGACTAACGCTTGAAAATCGTATCCTAAATTGGGGTGTATCTTATAGTGGACGTACTTTTAAAATAAGACTGCTAGTAATAGATTGGCACGCGGACATATCGGTATATTTCAACGTACGAACAATTGCTCTACTGATTTCGGGACCTATGGCTACTGGGTCTGAGATAGTACCTTGAAGAACAGATTTTTAATGCTTTAGAATAAACAGACCCGCAAGAATTTATTTTTGTCACCCCAATCCCGATATGTCTGGTCCCGGCAAGTCCGCATACCAAGAGGTCTGTCTAAAGAGTTTTAATATTCTCGCAAATTTTTATTTTATTTTTTTTTGTAATTATTTATTAGTGCACACAATTTTTATTTCCTTTTATTTTCTTTCCCTTTTCCGGTCTGGAAAAAAATTTTTTTAAAGAAATTTTTATTTCCCTCCAAATTTCCCACACTCTCAATTATTATATTTAATTAAAAAATTATTTTTTTCCTCTATTTTTTTAATTTAGATTGAACACGTGAGAAATAAATAAAATTTATTTTTATGGATTTTCTAAACAAAAAAAGTAAAAAAAATTAATTAATTATTTAATTTATTTATTTAAAGTGGAAAAAAAAAATAATTTTTTTTCTGTCAGAAACATTAATTATTTATTAATTATATTAAGGGAGAGTAAGTACTCTTTGAGAAAATTTTTATTTTTTATTTTCTTAAATTCTAAAGAAAAATAAAGGAAAAAAATTATTTTTTGTTTAAATATTTAATGATTTGGAAAATTTATATGTATTGTCTTAATTAAATTATAAATATAATTTTTTTTAAAAATAATGCCGGATCTTGGTGTGGGGACATATCGGGACGGATATATCGGGATTGGGGTGACAAAAATAATTTCTTGCGTGTTTACGTTTGTTCTAAAACATAAAAACTCTTCTACATTAGGACAATATACTATCCAAGACCCAGTGCCGTAGGTCCCGAACTCAGTAGGGTAACTGTTCGTACATTGAGATATCCCGATATGTCCTTCCCGATATGTCTGCGTGCCTCGGATTTATAATTCGAGAAAGTGTATATTTAATAATTTTACAAGGTTAGAAGGTTTATTTAATAATTTTGGCAGTTCGGAATTAATTTAAAAAAAGGGAAGTGGAGTACAAAATTGAGAAGAATAAAAAAAGGAGGAACTTGCAAGAAAATTTTAATCCGGAAATTTTGGGGAGGAGACAACCTATGTAGCAGGCTTTTTAACCTTTGTTCAAAAATTATTTTTTATTCTAGTATTATTATTTTTCTGCAATTTAATTATTTTTTAAAATCAATAATTTAAAAAATTCTTTTTAAAAAATTATATTGGCACTTGTATAGTTTAAAAAAGAAAAAGTGAAAATAATGGTTTGGAGTTTATGGGGGAGGGGGGGGGGGGTAATAATTCGAACTGCCTAAATATTAAGTCTTTGTAAAATTATTAAATAACCAATTGTTCAAAAATATTTCCAAAAATTTTTTGCTCAATTCTACTAAATTTATATGCAATTTTTGAAAGAAAAATAATTTTTTTACTACAAATAATTTAAAAATATAACGTTACTTGTGTAGTTTCCCCCCCCCCTCATAAGCTTCCGCCAACTTATCTTCACTCTACCTTTCCTTAAACTGACCAAAATAAATTTTTAAATTTATTTTTTAAATTCAAAAACCTTCCAATACCCTTCCTTTATTTAAATTTTATATCGATATATAATTTTTATTTTCTGCTTTTTTCTCTCCTAAATTAGAAATTATTTTTATTTTTATTTGGCACTTCAAAAAAATTTTTTTTTAAATTCAAAGAATTGAATTATTCTTTATCACGCATTTTTATTCTTTCAATTTATTATTCAAATAATTTTTATTTTCATTTTAGAAAAATTTTTTTTTCTAAAAAAAATTTTTTATTGGAATTTTTATTTAAAAAAATTTAAATAAATTTTCTAACAACATTTTTTGATAAATTCAAAAAAAAAATTATTTTTATAAAATTAGCTTACTTGGCAACAACAACATATACCTTCACTATATTTAATTAATTTATTTTTTCTTCAACAACATTAAAAATGGTAATTTAACTAATCTTTTAAATATAGTCGGTATTATCTTAACTATTAGAGATCGGTATTTTCAAAAATTCTGGATCTGGATTTAGATTAGTAACCTGGACACGATTCTTGATATGAATACAGGAAAAATCCAGGAGATCAAATAATGCCTGGATCTGGACTTTGGATCCAGGAAAAATTCAGACTTGATCCAGATCCAGACCGATCTCTATTAACTATTACTTGTGTGGGATAAAATAAAAATTTTTGGCGTATTTATCTACATAAATTAAGGATATCCGCAATTTTAATTTTAAAATTCGCAATCCGCGAGTCAAAAAAAGCATACAATTTTACGCTGTCCGCAATCAATTTCGTCCGGTCTAAATCTAAAATTTTTCTAAAACTTCAATTGTAAATTAATTAAAATAAATTTTAATTAATTTTTATTTTAAAATGACTCATCAAAATTTTTTCTTTCTAAAAAAAATTAAATTAGGCAAACAAATAAAGAAAACCTCTCTTTAAAAAAATTTTATTTTCTTACCTTTTCTTTTTAAAGTTTTTATTTAAACAATTATGTATTCTTCTTTAAATTTTTTTTTATTTTTTTTGGTTTCTATTTTTATCTTTTTTCTTTTTTTTTATAATTTAAGCTTTTCCTTTCCCCCCCCCCCCCCCAAAATTTTTCTCAATTTAAATAAAATAGAGATAAACAAACAAAAAACTAAAAATAGGCAAATCAATTTTTTAAAATCTTCAACCACAAAAAAAAATTTTTTTTGTTAATTTAAATAAATAAAAACAAATGTTTTTATTTTTGTGTTTTTAATTAGCTAATTAAAAATAGAAATAAATTTTTTAATTGGTTATTTTCTCAAGAAAAATTTTTATTTTAAGATTTTATTGTTATATTAAGTATTTTTAACAGATGTATGAAAATAAAAATAAAATTTTTATTTGACTAATTATCTCTGTTAAAAAAAATTTTTTTTAATTTTTATTTGTTTGGTCATTGGGTAGGGGAGATGACTAAACGATAGATACCCTTTTATTTAATATACACTCCAATATAAGCTACATCTTTTCAATTCCAAGTTTGTATTTTTACTGACTTCTAGGGTAGCACACCGAGCCTTCGAGGGTGGGATCGTCGGGGATCGGTGTTTGGCGGGGTAGAGCCTTCGGGTCGGGGGTTTTGCCAAAAAAAATTCTGGGTCGGGGTTTCGGTGGACTGGGTGCTACCCTAATATAAACTATCCCTGCTCGCCCACAAAAAATCTAATATTAAAAATGTGGATACATATAATTTAGAGTTAGATTAGGAAAGGTGAACCAAAAATTATAGGAAAAGCACAAGGGAATTGAGGAGATGACATTCAAGTTCGGTGATATTATTAATTTGTAGTTTGTCCGTATTTTTTAAAGGAATCCGAAAAACATTTTGTTTTTTTAATCTTTTTTTGTTTATTCAGTTTTTAAACTTTAAATACTAATTTTTTCTATTTTCGTTTAAACAAAAAAAAAACATTTTTTCTTCTTTTTCAATTTTTATTTGTCAATTCCTTTTATGTTTTTAAAAGAAACAAAAATAAATTTATTTTTATTTTTTGCTATTTTTAGTCTTTGTTCTTTTTTTTTCTTTTAAGAAAAACTTTTTTTTATTAAATGTGAAAGTTTCAAGAATATAAACTTTCATGCTGAGAGAAAATATTATTTTTGTTTTGAATGGCATATTATTGTTAAATGACATAATTTTTTTCAAAAATTTTTTTATTTATTAAATCAATTTATGTATTTGTGTATTTAAAGCTAGGATAGCTCCCCAAACCTTTACGGTGCGTGTCGGGGTTCTTGCCAAAAATATCGTCGGGTTAGGGAGACGGGGAGCTACTCTAATTTAAATCCTATGCTTACAGCTGACGTAGTTTTAACGTTACGGCGGTGGTTACTAAAGATCGAGCAGGGCCAAGGCCCAGGCTTTTCAAAAATCTCGATCTCTAGTGGTTACCACGTGGTTTTCTTATTATACCCGTTTTTACCACTACCACACGTGGTCACCTAACGATGATTAGGTGACCATGTTCATATAACCATCGTTAAGTGACCGAGTTCTTATGTTACGGGCCTTGGTATATATGGTGAGGTTTGACTTCAATTTTTGAAATATCCATCCCATCCCTCTTTGTACTACAATCTTTTCCTATTTTTTCTCTTTAAAATAAATTCCCAAAAACATTTTGCCATTTTTAAATCTTTCAAAATTTAATATAGAATAATATTTTTTAGTTCTTTGCTCATTTAAAGTGTTTTTGGGAAGGGTCTAGGGAAGGAGGGTCGGGAAAAAAGCTTTTTTTGTTGTTAAACAAATGAAGCTAAAAATAAATATTCAAAAAATAAATTTCTTTCTTTTTTTTGCTAAAAATAAGGAGAATTTTTGTGTGTTTAAATTTAATTTCAAGCATTATTTTTTTGTTAATTTTTAGAAGAAAAAAATATAAATTTATGGAATAAAATAAAATATAAATTTATTTTGCAAGAAAATTATTTTTTTTTCTCCAACTTTTTCTTAAATTTATCAAATTTTTTCTTCTGAAAAAAAATTTTTTTACTTACTCTCAGTTTAATGTCAGTTTCTCCTTATATCTTCAACATCCCTTATATCTTATATATTCCTTATATCATTATTCTTATCAGCACCAAAATTTTCGCGTCTCGCGCCAAACGCCATGGCGCGCAGCTCTTATCCTTATATTTTCAAAAAAAATTTTTTTCTGTAAAATTTTTACAAAGATATTTTTTCTCCAAAAATTTTTTGAAAATTTTTGGAAATAGAAATCTTTAAAAAAATTTCAAAAAATTTTTTTTCCTTGGTTTTTACTAGGATTTTATTTTTTTTTTAATATTTTTTAAACTCTTCTACATTCGTTGCTATGGGTTTTATTTTCTAAATAAATTTAATTTCATTTTTTAAAAAAATCTTCTCTCTTTTTCAATTTTAGCTTTTAATTCTTTAAAGTGCTTGTATATTTTTTTTGTTTTTGTGAATTTTTATTTTGACCCTCCAAAAATTTGTAGATTTTTTTTTACTTTTTTGTTTTCTAAAAATCTATTAGTACAAGTAAGATGAGTAAGCTTACTTCAGCCCGAAATTCGAATTCTGAAATTTTTTTGACCCGAAATCCCAATCCAAAAAAAATTTTTTTGAGAAACTGACATGACCTTTTTCTTACAACCCAACCAATCCCCTTAAATATTTTAAATTTATAACAAATAATTTAGTAGAGCCAAGCTTTGGATACTCCGTCCAAACATGTCTTGAGCTCTACTAAATTTACAATAAAAATTTTTTCTGAGTAACTTTGAAAGTAAATTTTTAAAAATCCAAGAAAACAGATTTTTTGGAAAAAAAATTTTTTAATTTAATTTACCCTAAATTTGGACTGAAAAAATGACTTTAAAAAAATTTTAAACTTAGAACTAGACAATTATTTTTTTAGTTTTTTTTACTTCCCTTTTCCTTCTTTAAAAAAATATTTTTCTAACAAAAATACTTTTTTTTTGGCTTCCTCTTTTTTTTGTTAAATTGCGCGTTTAAAAATTATTATATTTTTTAACTTTAAAATTGTGGGAAGACTTTTTAGTATTTATAATTGTCCTTTAAATTCTTTGCGTATTTATTTAATCCTTGTTTAAAAAAAAATTTTTTTAATGGAAAAAGGAAGCCTTTTTAAATCTTTAAATATTTAATTAAAGTAAAAATTATTTTTTTTTATCTTAAATATATTTTATATTTGTTCAATAAGTATAGATATCCCTTATCATAAGAAAAATTTTGTAAAGTCGCAACTTGTTTGTAGCGTACACGAGGGTTGTGCCGACAGAGAACCGAATTCTTGATTCCGTGAATAGGATTGGCACAACCTTGGTATATACACCAGGGCAGTGCCGAAACAGATTCTAAAAAGCAAAAGACGAAAATGCTGCGTACACTAAAAATCCCAAAATTCTGAGAAGACGAACGCCGAAAAACAGCCCTCTGACCCTTAGTCTGAAAAATTGTCCACGAAACTTAGTTAACTACCCAGAATTGTAATAGGTTGAGAAAATAGTTGGGTTTCGCGTCGGTTCGGATTTCGGATAACCCGTGAGACATCCCTGTTACACACTAAAAGTGGACCACCCTAAAAGGGAGTTGCCACTTTGGTGTAGTGGGATAATGCTTAATTTGATGGGGAAGAATGGTAGGAGTTCGATCCTTTTCATTGTTTTTTGTTATTTTTACCTTTGTTTATGCTAGAAATTTATTCACAAACACCCCTTGAGTTTTAGAAAACATTTCTTTCTTTTGGAAATAATTAAAAAAAAATTTTTTTTAAAGGTTTTGATCACTTTAATTAACCACTTACAACAATGTCATCTTCCTCTTCCTCAACAATTATTCTATACAATGAAAATCCAAAAGAAGCATCAAAAACAACAACAATTATTAATTCTTCCCCAATTCAATTATCTAATGGATCTTTTGTTTGGCTTAACCAATTAAATTTTAATTTGGCTGATAATATGGAACAATGTTTTCAAGCTTTAACATCTGCTGGTCTTCCAATATCTCCCAATCAGTCTGCTGATTCCGTGCCTTGGTGTAATGCTACTTGGGATACTGTAAGAATCTGACCTTATATACAGTCGAGCCTACCTTTAAGATACCCACACTTGGGGTTGAAAATCGTCTTATAATAGGCTTGCAAGTAGGGACACGCCTAAATAGGAGCGCGGCCAAGTAGGTGTAAAGTCATTTTAACTTGAAAATTTCTGACCCTTAACAATTTTGGTACCAATCTCTTTAGCTCGATGTGAGTAATCGTTTAATACTGAATTTTGAAAGGGTCGTTACTTTCGAAGCAAGTTATGACTGCCCGTAGCCTGCAAGTACTAGGTCTATTTTATTTTCGGTTGAAACAGACTATGCGTTATCCTCTATTTAAAACACATTTGTTATATGTAAGATACTTTCATCCCTAGATAGGTATCCCCAAATAAGATCCATCCGACTTGTATTTTAGTAAATACAAAAATTTTTTCTTTAAAGGTACTTTGTTGGCCAGCTACACAAGGAGGACAATCAGTTACTTTGCAATGTCCACCATTAAAAGGGCTTGATCCTTCTAGTAAATTTGAAAAAAATTTTACTTAAAAAATTTTAAAATTTTTAAAGAAACGATAACCAAATATTGCCATTCTTCGGGTAATTGGATGGGAAAAACAGAAAATGATTTTTCCCGTCCCCATGGATGGACTAATTTTACAATGTGTTTTACTAGAGAAGTTGTAGCAATAATGCAACAATTAGACAATGGAACTCTTTATGAAGCTCAAGAAGTTGCTAAAAATGCTAGAAAATTGGAATTTGTTGGATTGGGTTTATCCCTAATTTCGTTGCTTTTTTGCGTTGCTATATTTACTAGTTTTCGGTAAGGGAAGAAGAAGAGTTCAGCTGGGTCCAAGCCCTATAATTCAAAAAGGAGTGGATACTTTTTAATGTTTTTGGTACCATTGGATAGCAAATTAAATTCACTACAAGTTACAGAAAAATTAAATTTTCAACTGATTGATAAAAAAAGTTATGATCTAAAGACTAAAATTTTCCAATAAGAAAATGTTATTTTTCGGAACTTTATTGGTCATAACTTTTTTATCAATCAATCAAAAATTTTTATTTTTTGCTATTTTGTAGTGCATTTAATTTTCTATCCAAAAATACCAAGAACACTAAAAAGTGATCATTTCTTGATAAGTTATAGGAGCCGGAAGGGACTCAGTTGACTCAGTTTTGCGGACAAAAATTTGTCCGCAAAAACTTGCGGACATTACGTTTTTTAATTTTTTTTCCATTTTCAAGCCGTCTTCGAGTATTTCGAAACCTTTTACACCTCCATTTAATGATAGCAATACTTGCAATGGTTTTATTACGTTTAGTTCTCTACATTGATTTAATATTTACTGATAGACTTGGACATCAACAATTAGTTAATCCACAGGGGAGAACTATTAACACAATGGTTTTTGTTTGTGAATTGATGTTTTTTCTGTTGGAATATTTTAAATCTGTTGCTTTTTGGTGGATGTTTTTAGAGGTGAATACATGCCAAAATTAATCTTTAAATTTTTTTTTGTCCGCAAAAATTTTTTGCGGACAAAATTTTTGTCCGCAAAACTTTTGCGGACGTCCGCAAATTTTTTGCGGATTTTTTTGAAATTTTTTTTTAATTAATTTTTCTTCAGGGTCTATTTCTTCACAACCAACTAGTATTAGCTGTATTTAATACAACCCCACATTTATGGCCATATTTATTAACTGGTTATGGTGTTCCTTTTATTCACACTCTTGGCTGGTTAATTATACTTTTTATAAAGAAGAATGGAAAATTGGAAAGGTGTTTGGGTAGTTATTATTTGGAGGTTGAATTTTGGATATTGGATGGACCTAGATTGGCACAACTTGTTGTAAGCATAATATTTTTTACTTTGGTTTTGTCCGCAGAACATTTTTTCATTTCAAAAAATTTTTGTTTTTGCGGACGTCCGCAATATTAACCAAGGCTGTGCGCAATTGTTTGCGTTCCTCTGTTTTATTTTATAAGTCCACAATTTTTGCGGATAATATTTTTCTCCGTAGAACTTTAACTATCAAAATTTTCAAAACTTTTTTTAAGAATATCTTTTGGACCGCAAAAAATTGCGGACATCTGCAAAAAAATTTTTTGCGGATTTTTTAAAATCATATACCTATTTTCTCAATTAAAGATCAACACACTTATGCTTATCAATGTTATTAGAGTATTGTGGCTTAAAGTTCGCGATTCACGCTCTAGTAGTGAACTGCAAAGAACAAAGTAAATAATTTAAAAAAATTTTTTTAATTAATTTTTTTATCATTTTTCTAAAGAAAATCTGTCAAAGCAGCTTTAATGCTAATTCCTTTGTTGGGTATTCCCAATATTATGCAAACAATTCCTTTCTCGCCCACACAAGACAATATTACTTATTTTGCCATTTGGACTTATTGTGCTTCTTTTACTTATATGTATCAAGGATTTATGATTGGTGAGGGATTTCTAAAAATCCGCAAAAAAATTTTGTCCGCAAATTTTTTGCGGACGTCCGCAAAAAAATTTGCGGACATCCGCAAAATTTTTTTACGGATTTTTTCTAAATTTTTTTCAAAATATTTTAAAATACAATTTTTTCAGCAATAATTTATTGTTTTACCAATCGCGAAGTACAAACAGTCCTTAAAAATTGTTACAATCGTCACCGTCTAAAGCATTCCCGTCCCTTAGATAGGCATAAAGGTGGAGGTTCTCATTATACTCAAATAGCTTCAAAATACAATAATAACAACAATAGTAGCTCCAATGGAATAAATAATAACAATGATAATGAAAAACAACGTGGAGGGAAACTTGTTAGTGGGGGGCAAATAGCGAGTGTTGATAGTGGAGAAAGATTTTTATTTATTCGGTCAAAAATGATACAAGAATTGGAGGATAGAGAAGGAGGAAACAATAATATTAAACAACTGTATGTTTAATTTTTGATAAGAAAATTTTGGAGGACTGTTTTGTCCGCAAAAATTTTTGTCCGCAAAATATTTGCGGACATCCGCAAATTTTTTGCGGACAAATTTTTTTATTTTTGCGGACAAAAATTTTTCGGACATACCTATAGAATAAATAAGTTTCCTAAAATATAGAAATGAATCCAAAAACAACATTAATAACAATTCAATATCATCAAACCATCAATATACCAAACGTTGTTCTTTACCTATCAATAAACACAAAAGACATCCAATACTTCCCTCTACAAAAATTAAATTAAAAAAGCAATTATCAATTCATCAATATCAAGAAACGAATAATAATATTGAAGAGGAGAATTAAAAAAAACTTTGTATATTTTTTAAAAATTACGGGTAGTGAGGCTGTGCGCCAAGCAAAAATTTTTTGCTTGGAACGCCAGACTAAAATTATTATTTTTTATTTTTGCATAATATATATTTTTTTATTTATTAAAATAAATGCTTCAAATTTATGCAACTTTTAATTTTAAATAAAATCCAGAATAGAAAGAAAAATAGGAGAGAGGTTTAACTTTGGAAATGTGCTTTTTTTAGTTTATTGATAGTTAGTTACATAGGACCTCGGTTTTTCGACACCCTTCAATTCAAGAAAAAAATTTTTTAAGCTTTTTCTTAGGTTATAGGTTGATACGATGTTAAAGGGTATATGCTAGGGAACGAGCCGTCCAGATTTCCCAAAATCTAGAATCTTGTTTTTTGTCAGCTCGTTCCCTTTCCCTGGTTTCCTTCCCTGAACCGAGGCCTTACTGTACGTATGTTAAGTGAATTGGCCGAATATTAAAAATGTGGGAAGATAGAAAATTATTGTAGATGTTGAAGGAATATTCAACCACTTAATCAGCCATTATTAGAAAAAAAAGAGAGAGCGAGTTCACACTCTCTTATATATCAAAAATTAAATAATAAAAATTGCTGTATTTTAATTAAAATTAATTTTTTAATTTTATTCATGGCAACTGTTCATTTGTAGGCACCCAAATATCATTGCTCGATTGTTCATTAATTATACGCAAAACACGCGCATAAATTTCGTCTGCTGTTTGACCAGTTATTATTGCTACAAAATTAATATTTAAATTAATTTTTAAAATTTAAAATTACAAGTAAATAAATCCCCAAAGTTTTGCTCTTGTCGTTGGCAACGTTCATATTGTTTAAGGGCGTCCTCATCTGTTAATTGTTGGTCTGACCAGTCACTGAAAAATTTTTAAAGTTGAAAAAATAAATCAGAGAATATTTTCCCACTCCCAAGGGGTTTGTTAGGAAATATCTAAGAGGACAGAAGTCGGAACTTGGAATTTTAACGACTTCCCCTCCCCATAGCTATTTCGAAATTTCGATTTTCGAGGTTTTTTCCTTTCGATTTTCGAAGATTTTTCTACTTCGAAACAGCTCTGCTCTTCCCTACCCCCTATTGATCTCATGGGGGTATTAATTAAATTGTGTTTAGAGCTGTGCGCCACGGAGTTTTGTGTCGTTTCTGTCCGATTTTGGTGTTTTAGAGTATTCTCTCCTTTGGCGCGCCAGAACGCCATTATTGTTCTGATTTATTCTTGACTCCTTATTCTCCTTTTTCATATTTTGTGACTCGTTTTTTCCTAGCCTCTTTATATAGTTCTAAATTAATTAAAAATCAAACAAATTCACCGCAATTGTTGATAGCTAAAAGGCTTAACAAAAATAGAAATTGGATAAATTCTGGCCGCGTCTTGTAAACGACGTATTGCATTACCAGAAACATCCAAAATACAATGACGTCCCTTTTAAATTAGAAAAAATTTGAATAGAAGAAAAAAGGAATTTTCCTTACAGAATCAGCAACTTCACGTACAGCAGCAATACTTGTTCCATAAAGATTATTTTGAAATTGTCCAGCTTCAATAAATAAATTGTTTTTAATATCTCGTTCCATTTCTGCTTTTGTTACAAAATAATAATCTCTTCTAGAAATTAAAAAATTTTTTAAGTTAAAATAGTAATAATTCAAATATGCCTAGGGAAAAATAAGTTAAGAGCTTTTCAAGAAAAGTTGAGGATTTTTAAGAAAATACGGACTGTATTCTAAAATTTGGGACTTTTAGAAAATTTGCGGACTCTCTGATAAAATTAAAGACCTCCTAAAAAAATTGTAGAATTTTTAAGAAAAGTCCGCGCAAACATTATCCACAATTAATATTTACACAAAAAATTATTTAAAAATAATTAATTTGGAAATCAACTTTTGGATAATATTTGCGGACATTTAATTCTCATTAAAAATTTTGAAATCCTAAAAATTAAAATTTACCCATTAATTTCACCATCTCTAACAGGTCTAGATGTATCTAAAAAAACATCTCTTTTAATTTAAAAAACTTAGAAAATTAATCCTTACGTGGAACACAACTACTAAAACGTTCAGGATTTTGAGTTACCAATTCATCATTTATTCGATCCTTTAAAGCTCCAAGAATAATTACTGGACGAATATAAGAAACTTTAAAAATAAAATTATTTATTAGAAAATTAAATTTAGTATTTTACTTTGTTTCATTTGCACAATTTTGTAGGAATGAATTGGTTCATCAACTAGGGCATCTGAAAAAATTTTTTTTTAAATTTAATTTGATAAAATTCAGGGTTAGTTAAAAAAAACAAAAAATTTTTCAGTCTTTAAAGAAAAAAAGAAAGCAAGAAACGCAGATTTCAAATATACCGTATTTTCTCGATTAATTCCCCTGGGGAATTATTTTTTCAACCAAACTCTAGCATGGAGAATTAATCGAGAGGGGGAATTAATCGAGAAAATACGGTAGGTAGATTTTAATAGAAACGACAAAAACTAAGGTTTTAGAGAAGGTTAAATTATTCTAGCAACAAAGAAGTTAGAAAAAAACAACTCCAAAACAACAGGAAACACAAACAAAAGTACAAAAAAGAGTCCGCAAAATCTGTCCCTAACTCTTCTAAGAGAAACAGCAAAAAACATTAATAAGAACAGCAGAAACACGGATGTTTTATGCTTACAATTCCAATGTTGAGAATGTCTCTTTTTAATTTTTTGTTGATTTTCTTTTGACTTTTCTTCATTTTCTTCCCTTTTATTTCTCCTAGAACGAGTATTCTGATTTGCTTCACTATCACTAACAATATAGGAAGGGTCTGCTGTAGATGTTGATGGATAATTTGTTGCTGATGCTTTTTCCCTAAGTCTGCGATACCTTCCTAATTTTTATTTTATTGGATTAGAAAAGGAGATTTTGTTTTGATTAAGAAAATCTCAAAGAAAGAGCAGTCTACGGAAGGACTGATAAAATAATATATATAGAAAAGAAATCTCAAATAAGAGAAAAAAATTGCTGAAGGTAAAGTTAGAAATGGAGGAAAATTAATAAAAAGTCTTGAATAAGATTGTTGGTTCTAGGAAAGTCTTCGGATATTCGGAGCTGAACTAAGGAACCGAAACAAAAAATTCCCCAGTTATTTTTAATCAGAACCAACAACCATAGTTTCGAAGTATTAGACAAGTGTTAAGATAGATAATCGGAGAAATAGCATGTTATAAATTAATTTGGATAAAAAAATATTTTAAAAACCCACTTTCAGCCCCATCAGAATTGTATTCATTAAGTTTTTCTGTTGATTTAACAAACGGAAATTTTCTTGAAAAGGATAGTTGACTTCGAGAACCTCGACGACCTTTTTAAAAAATTCCTAATTTTAAATAAAATCTTAAAAAAACCTTCCATTCCTCCCATCCCAGCTGCTGATGCTCCCGAAGTTGTGCTGTTACGCCCCAAGCTTTGACTACCAGCATTAAAATTTACTTGTTTTCTTCTTTGCCTTTCACGTTTTTCTACTCTTTTTCTTGAAGGTATAATTCCCTCTGGACCTTCTTCACCACTTAAATTATCCATTACTCTTCTAGCTGTCCACCAATCATCATCTGTTGCATTTAATACATGAAGAATATCGCCATAACGGAAAGATAATGAACGGTGAGGTAATCCTTTTTAAAGAAAAAGATATTTTTTATTTTTTACAGAAAAATAGATTTGTTAATTTTAATGGCCTTTCGGTAGACCAAAACCAAGACCAAAAAACCCACAAGTCTTGAATCAAGACAAAGAGTCTTGAACGTCTCTACAATTATATAGAGGACCCCCAGGGTATATTGCAAAGTGATATAAGTTTTCTAACAAAATGACTCTAGGTAACCAAGTATGGCCTCCCAAAAGTTTGGAATATCTTTCTCTTCAGGTTAAGAAAAAAGAGGATTTGTTTTTCTCGAAAAAATATTTTTAAATAATTATTCTTATTATTTTACCAGTATCTCTAGAAGGTTCATTATCAAAAAGAGCACGAACATAAAAATCAGTTTGCTGTTGTTGTTGTTGAATATACGGCTGTTGTAATTGTTGTTGTTGCATTAAAATCATTTCTGCTTTTAAACGTTCCAATTTTTGTTCAAAATTTTGGAAATCTTTAAAAAAGAAATTTTTAATAAAAATATTAAAAAATTAAACCAATAGGTCTGTATTTAAGCAATAATTGAACTTCAGAATATAGAGGTATAGCTTTAAGAGTTTGTGCAGCTTGAGCATGTGTGGCACGAAACAAATCAACATCATTAACACTTAAAAGAACATCTCCCTGAAAATATTTTTTTTAAAATAAAAATTGAATAGAACAAAATTAGACAAATTTGGCAAATTTTAGTGACATAAAAGATCAATTTTGATAACTTTGTCTTGAGGAAATCGAAAATTTAGTGGCCAACAAGAGGGATGGTCAAAGTTTAGCAAAGCCGAATATAGTTTCGAGTCGAATAAAGTTCGAGTTTTGGGTAACCCGTGCCATCACTATCCAGTCAAACTTCACTATAGTGTCATCCTACTTTGTATGTTACTCTCATTTTATAGGAAGACCCAATGATATTAAACAGGCCCTTAGCAAGGAAAACCTTTTAGGAGTTCCCCCTCATTCCCTGACTACGGGTCTGGTATTAAATATTAGAAAAAACCTTTTTTATATTTCCATTTAGATCTGCAGCTCCGCCAGGAAGTATATGGCTAATATAAATTGGTTCTTCATTTTCTCCACCAACAATATTAAATCCCAATCCCGTATCCAATTTACGTAAACGAACTAAACGAGGGACATCAAATTGTGGTTGTTTTAATTGTTGGGTTGATGAAAAGCCACCACCAATTGAATGGGAATCAGCTGCTGTTGGAGAAGTTATACCACCACCAATAGTTTCAAAAGTCTAAAGGAAAATTTTTTTAATATCAAATACTAAAGGTTATGTAAATTGGTAAAATTAAATACTAAAATTATGTAAATTGGGTTGGAGCAGGAGGTAACCTTGCATTGCTTCATGTAGTCTAGTGAGATGGGTTTGAGGGTGAGAAAAGTCGGGTCGTGTTTCGGGTTTCAAAAATTTTCTCAGAATCAGGTTTTGAGAGGAAAAACCCTACAAATTCTCTGGTAGTCTGTTGCTTACCAAATAGACTACTCGGCCATAAAATAGATCATTTTATAGGTAGACCCTCACTCACTAACCCCAAAATGATTAAACACCCCCCCCCCTCAAAAAATTATTTTATAAACCTGCAAAGATCTAGATCGATCACTTTCATCCAATTGTCTTCCATCTAATGGCAATTCTGGATGTGGATTTTTCATATAAAGAAGACTTGCTCTCTCCCCAGTATTTTTCAAAGTTTGTACCGCAAATTGATGTGTTACATTATTAAATATAATATTATCAACTGCCAATATTTGATCTCCTTTTTGTAAACGACCATCAAAATATGCTGGTGAGCCTTCTATAATACGTGTTACAAATATTCCATCATCCCCTAAAAATTTTCGATTAAGAGACATTTGCGGACATATTTTTGCGGACATTTTTTTAAGATTGGATGAGAAGCAGGACATCAGTTTGACGTCAAATACACCCTCGAAATAATTATACTCGTGGTTTAGGGCGTCATACAGTGACCCCATTTTGCTTCAAATTCAATAGATTTCAGTTTAGACACTTAAGTCAGCAAATTATTGTCCGCAGATTTTTGCAGACGGAGTCCGCAAAATTTTAATTTTATTCGTTTTTAGTAATTTTAAGATTTCATATTTTTTACTAAATTTTAACAAACAAACCAGGAATGTGTTGATTTCCAACACCTCCAGCAATACTAAATCCTAAACCTTTAGAGCGACCATCAGCATTGAGCATCTTAACATTTAAATTTTAAAAATCTTTTTAATTAAAAAAAACCTTAATTAATTCCATTCTTTTAACCCCCGGTTTTCTTTCCAAATCTCGAATAGCTTCACTAATAATTGGTTGTTGATGACTTGGAACAATTGGTGGAGATGTCCCAATATTGAAATTTGAGGCAGAAAGGCTTACTGGAGAAATTCTGGATAATGGCTCGATTGGAGATGAACGAAAAGTTTCTGCTGTAGCCAAGGGAGGTTTTAAACGTTTAACTAACTGAAAAAGAAATTTTTTTCTAGAAAATTAAAAAAACTTTTCTAACCAAACGAACAATACTTCCAGAACTTTTTAATGCGTCAACTGCTACCTAAAATTTAAATTTATCAAGAAAAAATATGTCTGAATTTGTTTTTATTATCATTGAGAATTTCATTTTTGAAGGTCTTTCTTCGATTTTGGTTTTTTGGAAAATTAAAAAAATTAAAAAAAATTTTTCTAAAAAATTTTTTTGTCCGATTTTAGAGTACTTCCTGAATTTCTTTTTTCTCTAAAAATTTTTGAATATTCAAAATCTAAACAAGAAACCCAAAAAATGATAAACAATAGATAAAAGCAAAAATACACAATTTTCGAATTTTAAAGAAATTTTAGAGAAAAAAAATAAAAAAAATATACTTGATGTTGGACATTAACAGTTTCTGTTGTATTTACTTTCAAAATAATATCGCCAACTTGAATACGTCCATCGCGAGCAACTGCTCCCTATAAACAGAAAAATTTCGAAAAATATCAAAAATTTCCCTTACCCCAGGCGAAATATCAGTTACTCGAATCTCTGGCCCTGTGCTGTGATCTTTACCACCAGAAATTGAAAATCCCTTAAAAATAAATTTGAAAACCCATTCTCGAGTTACAAATAAAAAATAAACCAATCCAAATTGATTTTTCTCCAATACAACGTCATCAATTTCCCATTCACGTCCCTGATCGTCTATTAATCCAACATTGCTAACCGTTTCTGTTTGAAAACTGCCTGGTGTATCCAATGTTTTTGTTTTATATTCGGATGTTTGCCAACCATCTTTTGTCTTTAAATTTAAAAAAATATTTTTAAAATATTGATTGTCCGCAAATTTTTTGCGGACAAAAATTTGCGGACTTCTATAACAATTTTTGGTTTAATGCTACAAATTCGTTTATAATTTTTTGAAGGTAGTTTTGTAAAGACAATATCAAGGATAAGTCGGGTTACCCGAACCCCGATTTTAGAGCCAATTTGAACATTTTTTCAACTCAAAATCCGAAACCCAATCCGAAGAAAATTTTGAAACCTAGATCCAAAACTCGACCCAGCTTTTCCCTATCTCCAGCCGTTCCCTAGCCCATGAAAGTTTTATGAATTCATCCGCGTCCGCAAACTTATAATAATTTCCCCTTTAATTTAAACAAAAATCAAAACCCCCCTTACCAAATGCCGACTTTGTTCATGATAAGAGTAGGAATGTTGTGAAGTTGTTTTAGTTATCGGCTCGGTTGTATCCCCTCCTCCAACCCCATTTGTATAAGGCAAACCATTACTTGTTGCAGCATAAGTTGAAGGAAATATTGGAGGGGGAGGGGGTCGGCGTTGTTGTCCTTCTCCAAATAATGACGATTTTCCCGTTGAAAATGGGGGATTTGTTTCCCATTTTTCTGCAAGTTTTTTTGTTTCCAAAGTTTTCAAGTCTAAAGGCACTCTTTCATTTATTAAAGTATTGTCATAAAAATCTTGAATATCTAAAAATTGAAAAAAAAATTTTTTGAAAAATTTTTAAAATTTATTGCGAACCTAAAAGAGCTTGAAACAAATTAGTTTTGAAGAGGCCAATAACCCTTTCAATGGCACAACGCAAATCGGAGTCGGATGGGCGAGTCAAGGCTGCATGAAAGGCTTCGAGTTGTTCTAATGCGCGGTGAGCTTCTGAAAAAAAATTTTTTTGAAAATTTATAGAAAATTTTCCAGAAATTTTTTAAAAATTTTTTAAAAATCTTCTTGAAATTTTTTTTATTTTTTCAAAAAAAAATTCAAAATTTTTTTTTGAAATTTTTAAAAATTAAAAAAAATTACCTGTTGATCTAACCGGCATAATTCTATTAAAATTAGCAATTAATTCATTAAATTAATTAATTAGTATTTAAGTAATTAACGTTAAATATTTGTATATTTACACACACAAAAGTCCGTTGAAAAATCCTCAATTAAAAAGCTTTACGTACATAGTGTAAATTGGCTATTTTATGTAAAATGTCCGTAAAAACGAGGGAATTAAGGGATAAAACAAATAAAAAAATAAAGTTAAAGACTGTCACAATTATTTAAGAAATAAATTGAGAGGGGAGGGGAGGGGGGTTGTTTTGTGAGAATACGGTCAAGGAAAAACAATTTACGGATTAATTAAAAATACGGGCATATTTTTAATTAAAAAAGTGCGCAAATATTTGCGTTTTTTGAGCATTTTTTTTTATTCCAAAAATTGGCTTGAAAAAAAATTTTTTCACATCTAAAAAATTTTTAACAGAAAAATCAAAGAATTTTCAGATATTTTAAGAACGCAAATATTTTTGCGCACACCCATTTTTAATTCTCAGATTTTTTGTCTCAATGAGTCATTAAGTGAGTCATTTTATTTTTAAGGATAATTTCTTAAAATTTTTTGACAGGAAAATAAAAGAAAAAAGAGGTGTTTTAGCCAGTTATTTTGGTAAACAAAAAAATTAAAAAATTTATAAAAAATAGTGACCGGCGCCGGAACGGACCCCGGCCGGATTTTCCGAAGTCTTTGTCCCAAATCCTCGGGTTTTATGAGATTTCCGGACTAAACCCGGATCGGAATGATCCGGAAAAATCTGGCCGGATCCGGTCCAGCACGAGTGTGAAATCCAAAATCCGGTTCCCGGGTCCGGAAAAATGATTTTGCCCGGTCGCTAATAAAAAAAAATGTCTGAGACTCTAATGGCTTAAAAATTAAAATTTTCTGTATTTTTATCAATTTTTGTGCTTAAAAATTGAAAAACAGTCACAAAATAAATAGGCCGAAAAAAAAAGTTCTCTCAAACGAATTACCTAAAAACAATTTTAAATACAAACCGGTTTCTAGGCTTTTATTTCAAAAAAAAAACGTAAAAGAAAATAAAAACGGCGAAAAAGAAAATGTAAAAGAGAGGATAGTTGATATCCCCCCCTTCCCCCTCCCTCTTCCCTTTTCTCATTTTAAAATTGCTTTAAAATGAACAAAAGTTTGAAAATTATTTTAAAAACGTTTAAAAATGTGAGGGAGGAAAATGTCAAAAAATTGAATAAAAAGTGAACACTTTCGAGTCTGAGGAAATTAAATAGTAGAGATCGACACGGGACCCCGCGCGGGATTTTACGGGATCCCGTCCCGGAATCCCGGGTTTTTCGCGGAAAACGGGATTTACGGGATTAATCCCGCGGGATCCAGTCCCGTACAAAATGTTGAAAAAAATCCCGTTACGGGATCCCGGAACTCTAATGTCATAGGGCAGAAAAATACAGGTCAGCTGGACTGAAATGATCAATAATTGGAAGTAAAGCAAAGAAATAAATGCTCAAAGAAATAAAAAAAATCATGAAAAATCAAACGAAGAAGTAAATGAAAGACTAGAGATAGGAACGGGTCCGGGGCGCGTTTCCCGGTTTTCGGGTCCCGGACCCATTTTTTTGAAGCAACCGGGATGAAACCATTAACGGGAATTCCCTGTCCGGGTCCTCTTGGTCAACTTCTGAACCCGTTTCCCGGACCCGGTCTTTTCAAAATTCCGATCTCTGTGTAAAACAAACGCCAAGACTCTAACAGTCCCGAAAATTTTTTGAGAAATAATTTAAATTCTTGGCGTTTTGTAAAAAATGTACAAAATGGTCTGACAGATTTTAATCATTTTTTAAATATTTGTTTACAAATTTTTAAACTTTTAAAAATAGCCAGAAACATACTTAAAAGATTAAAAACAAGAAAAAAATTACAAAAAAGATAACAATCACAGCAAAAATAAATACAAAAAAATTTACAATTTTCGGGCAAAATGTAAAAATAAATATAGGGGAAAATAGTAAATTTATATATTTTTATATTTGGCTAGGTCAGATGTCCAAACTATACCTTTTCCTCTCTTTTCTCCTTTCCTCTACATGCTATCGTCAAAAATAACCATTTTATTTATAACTACCGGTATCTACCCCCCCCCCCCTTCCCCTCTACCCCCCCCTCCCTTCCCTCTCTACCCCCCCCCTTTCCCCCTACTTACCTCGTTTTTAACGACTAGTGTGTGTGTGTTTTTAACTATTACATTCCTTTCTCTCATTTTATTTTTTAATCTCTCTCACTCATCAATGGAGGTTAGACAGTTTTTTTATTTTTAATTTCTCGTCCCTCTTCACTAATTTTCTAAAGTCTCAAAATGCCCAATTTACAAAATGTTCAACCGGAAAAACTTGAAAATTCTCTCTCCAAAATATTGAGCATATTTTGATGTCGAGAGCAATTTACCGTTTTGTCGTTTGGACATTTCACAATTTTGCTTAAAAGATGAGAGGGGCTATAAAACCGTTTTATGTTATCGCTCTGTATATTTATGATGGGGCGAAAAGCGAATGGGGGAAAGAATTTTTGAGGTAAATCGATGGCAAAAAGGGCAAAAATCTAAGATTCACAAAAGTATCAAGAACTAAATATTTCTACAGGAAAATTTTTACTAAAATTCTAGAATTTTCAAATTTGACCGAAATGAGACCCAAACGAAAAAAAATTTTTTTAATAAAAAATTTTATTTTTCATAGGCAAAAAATAGACATTTTTATGTGTTTTTAAAACGCACATTTTTTAAAATTAAATTTTTTAATTATTTTCTGTAGCAATAAATTGACAACCAACAAGTCCAATACCATCCCAAACTTGTGGAGTTAATATTAAACGAAAAACCTTCACCCCACGCAATAAAGTTATTCGGATTGGTTTCTTAAAAATTTAAATAAAAAATAAATTGAGTGAAGAAAAGAGAAAAATCTTTCCGAGGGATGGAAGGCCAAAGAATTCAGAATTTTTGAAATCGTCTCTGTGGTGTAGTGGGAAAAATTTCTGATTCAACAACCAAAGGGACGAAGGTTCGAGTCCCTTAGGCGACAAAACATTTTTGGAAGGTCAAAAATTAGAATTCTAATTTCTAGGGAGGAAAAATCGTCTCTGTGGTGTAGTGGGAAAATATCTAATTCAATATCCAAGGGGTCGGAGGTTCGAGTCCCTTTGGCGGAAAATAATTTTTATTTTGTAAGTATTGTGTCTAAATAAATTTCTCGGTCCCTATTCCCTCTTTTAAATTTAAATTTCTCACATTTTTCGAATTATTCACAACTTCCTTCAATTGATCCAACTTATTGAACACATCAGCATGTAAATTACCAAATTGAATAATTAAATCGCCTTCACGCAAACCCTTAATTTTCTTAAATAAAATTGAGAAAAAATTTTGGATTCCTTTACTTTATGCTTCTAAAAGTCCGCAAATTTTTATATCAAAAAAGAGGATGATGTGGACTTTTGAGAAGAACATTTGATAATTCCCGAGTTCCCCCCCTCTCATCCTATTTTTGTCATCATTCTCCATATGTTTACCTTTGGAAACTATGTCAGTCAAAAGGAACAAAATAGGACATCAAAGAATCATTCGTTTTTAATCCGGTACTTATTTATTAACAAAAAGGAAGTCTGACCATTATGAGTCTATTGAAGAAAAAAAGATGAGGGACAAAACTCGGAAATACCGCATATTTTTTGTTCGACAGCCCTTCCTAGGTTTTGAAGAGCTTATTTTTATATTATAAACAAAATTTAACCGCTTTTTGTGCTGGCGAATTTGGCGACACTTTATCCACTTGCACAATAGGTTTATTACTTGTACGATGCACACTTGGCTCTCCCTCATTATTCTGTTCCGAATTTCCATTTTGCGAAGTTTGGTTGTGTATAGCAACAATAATTCTGTCAATTTCTGCCATTTTTTCTGTTCGATCATTTTGTAAGCCTTAAAAATTTGGAAAATAAAAATTCAAAAAATTCAAAAAAAAAACGTCTAATATTTCCTCTAGCAGAAGTGACCGCATAAATGTCGATTCCAGAAAGTGGAAAGTCTTGGTCATCAACTAAAGGTTCATTCATTCCAATATTATTCTAGAAAAAATATTTAAAAAAATTTAAAAAAAAGAAAACCTCTTTAAGAATTAATTCGTTATCAAAAATTTGCTCGTCAATTGAATCCAATTCCTTCATTAATTTTTTAGCTTGATTCTTCTTTTCGTCCGTCATATTTTTAATTTAAAATTTTTTAATAAAGTCAACTAGAAAACAGAATTCTAAATAGAATTGTGGGAAATTTTAAATAAAATGAAAACCTTTTACTCACATTTGCTAATCATTAAAGCGCTGAGAATGTTGATACAATGAAATTAAAATAAGAAAATATATATAGGTTAAATCAATTAAACCGAATCTCCGAATAATACAAAATTAACAAACATTTATCCAACAAAACATTTAACACCAACAAAACATTTAACACCATTAAACCGTTTTTATTTCTTTATTCAATTTGTTCGTCATACATTCGCTCATTAAAATCTTTATAAGACTTCTCTGCCACTTCAACATATTTTTTGAATGCACTCAACAAAAGATCCAAAAAATTCAAATATTCTAAAAAAATCTTATTAGAGTGAATAACAATCAAACTAAAATTGAACCTTTCAGAAATGGAGTATAAAATAAATTATCAAGCGTAACATGCTTGTCGTCCAAAAACTTAACCATATTCTTGATCATCTGATGTCTCTCCTTGCCTGCTTTCTTCCACTAAATGTTAATATTAAAAGAATATTTTATTTAATTTAATAATTCTAATTAAAAAATAAAAACATTGTCACGATCCGTAAAATGATTAACAATTGGTTGGGCAGGCCAATCTTCATTTTTGAACTCCTAAATTATATAAATTAAATTCCTATAAAAAATTTTTCAATAACCTCATCAATCCCAGCAAAACACGCATATTTTCCCGAAAAAGTTTTAATTTGACGAAAAATCCCTTAAAATATTATAAAATATGATTATTTAATCATAAATAACATCAATTTTTCCAAAATTTAAATTAAATTTCACAATAAATTGATGTTATTTTAATTTATAAATACCCCCAAATTGACATGATATTTGCATGCATTCTTCAGCACGTGATCCATCTTTAACAAAGAAAGCCAACTTTTTTAAGCACAAATTAATATTGCTAGTTGTGACCTCGATCTCATCCTTCAACTAAAAATTAAATTTTTTAAATTATCTTCATAGAATTAAAATTAAGTTTCAAAAACTCACTATTTTTAGACTAATTTTTAAATTAATTATATATTTTTTTCGAAGCTTAACAACAATAATGTCAACTAATTTCGAAATTCGAATATTTTCCCACTTGTAACGGAAAGGAATAAATGTTATTATTTCAAAGATTAATTCAGTTGGGAAATCTAGTTTTTTAATTTTCACTGCTGAATGACTCATTTTCATGTTTTAGATCCTGATCTGGCTAACAAAAACTGCAGTAAACCAACGTTTTTTAGATTTGAACAATTTATGTGTCATTTGAAAGAGCTCGCCGAGCTGAGTCGAATGACACCAAAATTAGTACTACAAAATAGATGTATCTCGTTTTTTAGCGTTTTTTACCTATTTGTCTCCGCGCGTAAAAAAAAAAAACTACCCTAATTAAAAATATGCCCTAAATTAGTGATTTATTGAGAACGACATTTGATCCCAAGAGAACATTAGTGTGATTCCAAATTTTGCCAACTATGTAATAATACCACATTTTGCCAAACTACAGTTTGCCAATAAGGTTGGAATTCAATTTGCCAGTAATGCCAAAAACCCATATTTTTCCCTTTTCAATCAAAAAAAAAAATTTTTTAAGAATTTTTAGATTACAAAAAATGAATTTTGTAATAAATACAAACAAATTTAATTTATGCTATTTGCCCATCACAAATTCACATTTCACAACAACAACATTATTATATTTTTCTACTGCTTCTAAAACTCGAAAGGATTATTATAAAATTCTTGGAGTGTCTAGAGGTTCTTCACCTGAACAAATTAAAGAAGCTTTTTATAAACTTTCAAAGGTTTTTTTTAATTTTTACCAAAATAGTTTGGGGAAGTTTTCATTATTTTGTGCAATAGAAATTTTGGGCGATAAGAGAGAAAAAAAGACAAGAATACAATTTTAAATCATAAAATTAATTAGAGATCGAGATTTTTGAAAAGCCTGGGCTTGTTCCTGGGTTCTGGGTTTGATTTATTGACCTGGGCCGGATCCTGGACTTGTAGTCTAGGAAAAGCCCAGGCCCAGGAAAAAACCCAGGAAGGTCAAAAAATGCCTGGGCCTGGACTCTGCCTACAGCAAAAACCTAGGCCTTGGTCCAGGACCAGATCGATCTCCAAAAATAATTACAAAATTTGCTTATATATTTAGATTTTTTAGAAATATCATCCAGATGTGAACCAAGACAAGGAGAAAGCTTCCAAAAATTTTCACAAAGTAAATTTTGAATTTTAAAGGGATTAGTGATTGTCCCCTCCTTAATTTTAAATTTTCTATAGGTTTCTGAAGCTTATGAAGTTCTTGGATCAAAAGAAAAAAGGCTAGCTTATGATTCATTAAATGCGGAAATGCCGTCAACAAGAATATACAAAACTACTCATCCTCAAAAAACAAAAACAGAAAAATGGGAAAAAGATTGGAGTGAATTTCAAAATATGAGCAGGTTTATTTTGAATTTAGTTTGGGAAACCCTCTCAAAAAGTTTGATAATATAAGCAAAATATGTGAGAATTTGTTGGTGCTTTCCTGTTTGTGTTAAGGTTGTTTCGAAACGGGCCAGTTCCAAACATCAAAAAAAAATTTTCCAAGCACCAACAACCCTCTATTCCTGTTATCATTACTACCAGGCCCGTAACTAGAATTTTTTATGGACCCCCCCCCCCCCCTTCTCCCATTCCTAGTTGCTGGCCTGATTACCTAGCAAGGGCGTAGCCAGTGGTCTATTTCATGGGGCTATCATCTTTCTCCCAATATTTTTCCGTTTTCTCTATCTCAGGAGAGGGCTATAGCCCCAGAAGCTCCCCTATGGCTACGCCTTTGCTACCTAGCAGAAATCAATTTGAATTCCGATTTCCAACAGTTTCGTCATTTCCAACCAACCCTGCTAACCTAAATAATTTTCTATTTTAAGTAAAAGAAACCATTTTGACCGGCAACAAAGACAACAAAATTCTCACCAACAACAAATGGGATCAGAAAGGAGGAGATTATTTTCGTTTTTATCAACAAAACAAAGCAATCCATTTTTTGATAAAATATATCGAGAAGATGCTTGGAAAAATGTTAAAAGAATTGGGGCAGGTTTTGTTGTTACAACTTTAGTTTATTATATTTTTGTAAATTATTATTATCTTAAAAAGTGGAGATAATTTTTATGGATAGGAATAAAATTAGATTTTTAAAATTTCTGGTTATTTCTATTAGGGCAGCACCCGACCCTACCCCCGAAACCCTGAATTTTTAGGCCCCCCGAACGTCGAAGGCTCTACTCCGGCAAACCCCGAAATTCCCGCCCTCGGAGGAGATAATTTATAGATAGGAATAAAATTAGATTTTTAAAATTTTTGGTTGTTTTTATTGGGGTAGCACCCGTCCGAATTTTTAGGCCCGACCCGAAGGCTATACCCTGAACCTGACACTCCCGCCCCGGAAGAGAGCGGGGTGCTAACCTAGTTTCTATAATTAAATAGGGAGCCGTCCTATTTAATCATCAAACGGATTTGCGTTCCAATAGGCACTGAGAGCGAGTAGGGTTAATCGAAATCCGTCGATCGTTTGTGCAAGCCTAGGTTGATCGAACACAAAAGGATAGAGAAAGCCAATTCATAATTGGCTTTTGGTCTCTTCATAATAGAGACCGGACTGGTAGTATCGTACGAGAATCGAGATATCGAAAAATATCGATAACCAAGATTTTTGATCGAAATCTCGACTCGGTCTGTCTCTAATTCATAACTGATTCCTTGTCCCTTCTCCCTAGTTTCCTTTCGATTTTATAGTCAGCTGGCAGGAGCTTACTTAATTTTCCATGAATTTCATTTTAAAGTCTACTATTATATAAATCCTCCCCTAATTTTCTTTAAAAAAATAAAAATACCCACATATATTTTATTTATTCTCTTCATTAGAATTATCAACACAATTTAATTTATGATTTATTGTAAACATAAAATTTGTCATAACCTCTTTAGGATCAGCTACTATATTCCTAAAATGTTCGTTTATTCCATCGAGAAGCTTAAATTTAAATTTTTTAAAAATTTAAAAGGATTTTTTAAAAGCCAAAACCTGCTGTTTAGAAATTGCCCCGGACCTATTCGGCAATTTAAAGAATTTTTTATATCTTCGCAAAGCTGTTGTTGACAGGGAATCGAATCTGTTCCTCTGAAAATTTAAAAAATGTTTTAAAAAAATAAAAAAACCGTTGATTCATTCATTTGTGCATAATTTACTGGCTGAAAAATGTTTTTATATTTTTGGAATTTTACTTATGTTAAGGGTCCAATATAAGGATGACGGTTCCTGGGAAATCTCCGGATATCAGGGGTTTTTTCGGTCCCGGATACCCGAAACAGCCAACCTTAGTCCACAGCTAAAATTGGATTAAATTCCAGAATGTATTTGGGAAAATCAAAAAAAACCATGTCATCATTAAATAAAAAATGATCCCTTTTAATTTTGCGGACCAGAAAGTCCGTAAGTTTTTTTTGAGCAAAATACTTGCGGACAAAACTTGCGGACTTTTTAGCCGCATAATTAAAAAATTCTCCAAAATTTAATTAAAAAAACCTTGCGATATTTTTCTAATAAATTTTTTGTAATCAATTGACTTTTTAAATATTCCTCGGACTGATTAAAATTAATTTGTTTTTTGTTGGAAATTTGCTGGACAAAATTTGTAAATTCTTCAATAAAATCTTCCTCTTCTTTTTGACTATTTATTTGAGTATTTAAATTATTAAATTCTGATGGATTTTGAATTAATAAATAATGGGAACGGCAAATAAAGAGTGTTGAAATGTCTGTCTAAAAATTAGGGGTAATTAAGGGGAATTTTAAAATCAGAATTTTAAAAAAATCAGAAAACAGAATTTGTAAAAATCAGAACTTCAAAAAACAGAACTTATAGAAATCAGAATTTTCAAAGATCAGAATTCTGAAAAACTAAATTCTTAAAGATAAGAATTTTTAAAATCAGAATTAAAAATCAGAATTTCAAAAAAAAAACCAGAATTTTGACAAATCCAGAAATTATTAAAATCAGAATTTTAAGAAATCAGAACTTAGAAACCAGAATTTTCAAAAAAATCAGAATTTCTAAAAATCAGAAATTACAAAATCAGAATCTTTAAAAATTCTGATTTTTTAAAAATCATAATTTTAAAACCAAAATTCTGAAAAAATCAGAATTTAGAAAACTTAGAATTTTCATAAAACCAGAATTAAAAAAATCAGAATTTACTCTTTACCTCCTCCACAAAAAAGGGAATATTTTTATCAAATTGTATTCCTCCATTTATCGGCGTAAACGCAAAATTTTCACATTGAGTAAATGTCCCATCTTGTTGTTTTGTGTATATTGCACATCTTGTACTTAAATCTTGCAACATTTAACTGGTAAATTAATTTTTAAAATTTTAGGAAAAATTTAAAAAAAATAAAAAACGAAAATAAAAGTCGTTTAAAAAATTAAAAAAAAACGAAAATTTTTTTTAATTTTTACAAAATAAAATTTAAAATACAAAAAAAACTTTTGGAGCTTTCCTGAAATATTCTAGGGAAAAAAACCTCAGAAATTCTGATTTTTGCTGACACAATTTTGCGGTCAATAAGAACAAGTAGATTAGAATATTCCCACTTATTAAATGAACTGTCCGAAAATTCTTGCGGACAAAAAAAGAATTTTTGCGGACATCCGCAAGTATAGTCCGCAAATTAAAAAAATTTTCTTTGTGAATATCCACAAAATTTGTCCGCAAAAATATAAAAAATAAATAAATTTCTATTCAGCTGCAATTTTGTCATAATCCGCTAATCTTTTCATTGCTTCACTTCTAGAGATTGTCAATTTTCCGTTTCTAATGGTCTTTGAGGAGGCAAAGAAGTTTTCCTATCACTATTACGCCAAGAAAACCAACCAACATCCTTTAAAAAAAATTTTTTAAATTTTTAAATAAAGGTTAGTTTTTGCGGACACAATTTTGCGGTCAAATAACAAATAGAACATTCCAACCTTTAAATAAAGTATCCGCAAAAATTTGCGGATAATCCGCAAATTATTTGCGAACAAAAAATTTTTATACAGAAATCCGCAAAATTTGTCCGCAAAAAAATTTATTAAAAATAAAAAAACCTTCTCATTTTTCTTTAAATTATCAATTTCTTTTTGTAAAATTTCAAATCTTTCTTCAATTTTCTCAACAATTTCATTCAAGTCATCATGTGAAACAGAATGTTTTTCGTTTGCTTTAGAAATGTAATAATACAGAGAAAATATTGCAATTCCATAAATATAGAGAACTGCTTCTTGCAAAATATCTGAGGCCTAAAAAATATTTTTTGGAGTAAAAAATTGCGGACTTTCCCATTACTTAATTAACATCCCCCCCCCCCCTATTTTGTCAATAAAAAAAAAAGAAAATTAATTTGAAACACAAATAGGGGTGGGCGGGATACTAATAAAATACCCTTTTCCCCTCAATTTTCTTTTGAAAGCTCTTAATCCCCCAAAATCTCAAGTTATCCTTCCTAATCCCACAAACTAGCCAGACCCTATATCCGGACCCTTTTCAAACCCAAATCCGATCGAAACCCGGCCCAGACTTTTTCTCTGGTTCTAAATACTTAATGGGTCGAATAATCGAATATAATAATGAGAGTTCTAATTCGGGGCGAGTTTTTGTTTTGTCGAGATGGGGAAAATGTAAGCAAAAAGTCTAAACTTAACACTAAAAAATTAAAAAAAAGAAGTAAACCTGCTCTAACGCTGCTTCATCAGATAATTGCACTAAAGTCTGTGGTTTTCCAAGTCCTAAATCCCGCATTCGAAGGCGTGTTGTAATGTTCGTTATACCTAAAAAAATTGAGAATTTGTTCTAAAATCAAGAAAAATTTTTAAAAAAATTAAAATATTTTTCCCTCCCAAAATTTCCCTCTCAAAAATTTTTTCAAAAAAATTTCAAAAAAAAACCTCTCCCAGCCGGAATAAGTATTTTATTGCGAAAAAATGGATGTTTTCTTCCATAAGTCATAATTCTGTTACTAACTAAAAATTTAAATTTATTTAAAAATTAATTTTAAAAAACCTGGTTTAGCCATTTGACGTGCGAAAATTAAAAAAAGCTGGATTGCAGGTATTCCCATTTACATATGTTAAATTACACAATTAATTAAATCTTAAAGAAAAATGGGAAAATAAAAAAAAAGAAAAAAAACTTTCAAGATAAGATAAAAAAAATAAGATAACTTTTAAGACGAGACTCAAAAGTCAAAATTAAAATATAAAATTATTTCACTTCGGTCAATAGTGAAAAAATTTCACTTCGGTCAACAACGAAAAATTTTTCATTTTGGTCAGTCTAACAATACTCACTTCGGTCAGTAGTGTAAAATTCTTTATTTTGGTCAATAACAAACAAATGCTTCATTTCGGTTCATTGTCAAAAAACTATCTCATTTTATCACTAACCAAAAATTTGTTTCATTTCGGTCAGTCATTAAAATAATCTCACTTTGCCACAATTAATTATTTAATTTTTTATTTTCACTCCAAATGTTCCTTCAATTCCCCTTTAATTACTCTTCACACACAATCAGTCAGGCCACAAAAGATTTTTATACGTTCGTCTACTCTCGCTATGTTCTCGATATATTGATTTATTTAAATAAATGTTAAAAATTGGAGGAAGATTTAAAAATTAAACTTTAAAAATTTAATTTTTGTTCTTTAATTTTTAAAAAATTCTTCGTTATTGGTTAAAAATAATTTTCAATTAAAAAAATATTTTTTTTGAACATATTCCCTCTCCCTCCTCTTTTAATGTTCCTCCTCCCGATTTAAAATTGCGCAGCCATTTAATTTTTATTTTTAAATTTATACATGCCTGACGCATCTTTATTTACCTTATTTTTGTTTAAAAATTTTTGACAATTTTTAAAGACACGAGAAAAATTATTTTAAACCAAAAATAAAAAATTTTCTTAAAGAAAAAATAATTTTTTTCTCGTAATAGTATTTAATTAAAAATTATTTTCCACGCCAGGCATCGAACCTTGGACCCCTAAACATTAAAGTCGGGAACGTTAACCACTACACTACCGCAGCAACATAACGGAAACCTTTAGAACACAATTTTGTCTTCCGGAAAAGTTTACTTTAACAATTAAAAACAATTAAATGAACGAAGACTTGAATAACAACAATAATATTAAAATTGATAATATTCCTCTACCCCCACCCCCACAACTACCCCCAACATCCCCACCAAGTTATTATTTGCCCAGTTCCCCAGCAGAAGTATTCGTTGCTTATTCTTTGGGGGAAAATAAAGCAAATTCAAAAATTATTGAGAAAGAAAAACAACAAAATATTATAAATGAATTGAAGGTAAATAAAAAATAGTTTTTTAATTCTAATAGAAAGGACAGGGAAGTTTCTCTCTCTTTTTTCTAAATGTACTACACGCTTCTTTAAATTAATCATAACTTTTTTTAGCCTCATTTAATTTCGGTGTTTTTGGCACCGTTCGATTCAGCTCGAGGAGCTCTTTCGAATGAGCTATCATTTGAATTATAATTATAATTTTTATGAAAATACAATTTTGGGGGATTTACAGTAACCAACAAAAATTTCATTTATTTTTTTCTCTTAAAGCAAATTAACGAAAAAGAAGAAAATGAGCAAGACGACGAAGTTATCGTTGTTGAAAGCCCACAGGAAGAACAAAAATATGCCTTGCTAAAAAGTCGAACAAGGCTGTACAGAACACTTGTTTGGCTACAATTCTCAATGACTGTGTTCACTTGTATTTTTATTATGGCAATAATGGTGCTAGTTGCTTTAATTTTGATTGTGCTTCAAAGAACTATAGATAGGGCAGATACTGGTAGAGAAATGGAAAATTTTTAACTAAAAAAATTATTTTAGCAATACGAGATAATCCAGTCAGCCAACTTTACACAAAAATAAGAAGTGCTGTTGACAAAATACATATGTGAGTAAACATTTCCGGAAAGAGTTTATTTCCGGAAAAATAATCTAAATATTATACTTAAATATTATGTACTATTTTATCCGGAAAATGTAATTCCGGAAGCATTTAAACATTTAGGTATTTATAAGAGGGTATTGCTTGTATTTTATTTTCCGGAAAAAGTTTAATTCCGGAAAAGAGAATATATAATTTATATTTTTCCGGAGAGTTTATTTCTCTACTCAAGTTTTCTTCTTACACTATCTTTTCCGGAAAAAGTTTATTTCCGGAAAAATAATCTAAATATTATACTTAAATATTATATATATATTTTATACTATTTTATCCGGAAAATATAATTCCGGAAGCATGTAAACATTTAGGTATTTATAAGAGGGTATTGCTTGTATTTTATTTCCGGAAAAAGTTTAATTCCGGAAAAATTAAAAATAAATACATGTTATAATTAACTATTTTGCACTTATACTAACTTAATATTCATAACTCTAAAAACAAAAAATAATTATTTATCTACCGGTGATTGCCTATGCTTATTTTTTATACTTATTTTTATTCTCGAAATAAAATTTTTATATTTATTTTTTTTTAATATTTTTTAAATTTATGCAAATCTATTTTTTATTCATTTTTATCAAAAATAAAATTTTTTCAAGTAAACGGCCCTCCAAATGTTCGATAAGGATAAGAGATGCTATTCTGTCCTCTATAATACGGAAAATAATTGTTGTATGGATTATATCCATTTATTGGTGGTATTGAATTTCTGCCATAGAATGGATTGTTTAGACCTGAAAATGAATTTTTGTATTTTTCCGGAAAGCTTCTATTCTCCTAATCGTTATGTATTTATTATTTATAGAATGGTAACTTGTATTTTCGGATATAGTGTAGTGTACCGGTGGTAAAAGTTCGGGATGTGACATATGTCATTCGATTCGTCTCGACGAGCTGAGTCGAATGGTACCACTCCCTATTTTAGGAAATGATTCTGGACCGAGTTATAGGTCCCGAAAAATTGAAAAACCATAGGGGGGAGTAAGCTCGATTTTGGGGCGAAAAATTCGAATATGCAAATAATACCTCATTCGAAAGAGCTCGTCGAGCTGAGTAGAATGACACCAAAATCAACGAAATCCGACTTGATTGGACCGAGATATAGACCCCTAAAAATCGAAGATCCAAAGGGGCGATTTTTGGAATAAAAATTTTTTTATACAATTAATTCCTCATTCGAAAGAGCTTGTCGAGCTGAGTCGAATGACATCAAAATCAGCTCGATATCTTGATTTTGAGCCAAGATAAAGAGGTTCAAAATGGTCAACGTAAACCTATGGGGCGTCAGCGAGGCGCTTGTGCAAAACCCCGCGCTTCGCGCGGGGTTTTGCGGCACGCGCCTCGCGGGGAGTCTACGGGCGCTGGGTCTGGGCTCGTAACATAAACCTATTCCTATCTCCCTTGCTCTGAACGTATTTGGGGCCTCCGTAGCAGCAAAAATCTCCACAGATCCCATAGGTAAGGAGCTAAAATAAAAGATCATAACTTTGTCCAATCAAGTCGGATTTTGTTGATTTTGGTGTCATTCGACTCAGCTCGACGAGCTCTTTCGAATGAGGTATTATTTGCATATTCGAATTTTTCACCCCAAAAAAGTGCTTGGTCCCCCCTTTGGTTTTTCAATTTTTCGGGACCTATAACTCGGTCCAGAATCATTTCCTAAAGTAGTGAGTGGTACCGTTCGACTCAGCTCGCCGAGACGAATCGAATGACATATGTCACGTCCCGAACTTTTACCACCGGTACACTACACTACAGCCGTATTTTCTTTCCGGAAAGTTGTTATTCCGGAAATATTAAAATACTTGTAACAACTAGGAAAATATTTTTTTCCGGAAAAAGTTTAATTCCGGAAATTATAATTATAGGAGGGTAATTTATATTTTTCCGGAAATTATACCATTTACGGAATGAGTATAATTTGTATTTTATTTCCGGAAAGTTTTAATTAATTAACCTTGCATCCCTCCATTACCATAAAATCTATTGCCATATTGTCCATACGGATTCATCATAGAAGGAGATATTCGATTCCAATATTGAGGATAACCTTGATTCATTCCATAAGGGTTATTGTAGGCTGACCAAGGAGATGAATTACACAATTTAATTGTTAAAATGAGAATAAAAAATTTTAATATAAATTTAATTTTTAACATTTAAGAGAATTTTGATTTTATTTAAAAAATATTTTTGATTCAGGAAAAAAATATTGTGAACAAAAATAATTATAATACAAAAGGAGAACGAAATAATTTGTTTTTAAGGGCAAAAAGTGTCAATCCGGTAAATAAGAGAGGGCGGTCACCCATTTTTTTCTCTTCACTTTTTTCACATCTATTAAAATCCATCAACCCAAAAACGTACAATTTTCTACACAAACAAAATCATCTCACCTGAACACAAATGCACGAAAAAAAAATTTTTTTACGCGGCATCAGATTAAAAATAAAAATATACAAACATAAAAACAACATTTATTTTTTGTTACTATTTTATTGCTTTTTAATTCCTCCTGAAACTTGGAGAGGGGAAAGGAAAAAATAAATTTATTTTATTATTTTCCTACCGAAAAATTTTTTTTTAATTATTACGTATAAGGACACATCAAAACAGTCAAAAAACAGACGCCAGGGATCGAACCTGAGACCCTCCAAAGATTAAAGCCTGAAGCGTTAACCACTACACCACTGCAGTAATAACATAAGAAACTTTTTTACCAATAATTAGTCTTCCGGAAAAGTTTATTTAAAAAATAAAATTAAAAACATCTATGAAACAATTAAAAAATAATTATAAAAATAAGTATTATTGAAACAATTAAATAAAAATAAAATATTAATTGACGTAAAAACATCAATTCTTTTTCTAAAATTGATTTTTCTTCCTCTTTATTTTCTACCTTTTTTTCTTCCAAAATATTTTTTCTTCTTCCATCATCTTCTTCCAATTTTTCTTCCTTATTTATTAAAATTTGTTGATCATCCTCCTCTTCTTTTTCTTCAGAATTTTCAATTTTTTTCTCTCCTTCAAAATTTAAATTAATAGAAAAAGGGGCATCAATACGCTTTTCATTTTTAGCTTCTTTATTACTTTTAAATACACCACTTCCAAAGGATAATAAACTCTTTTTTGAATTTGAAGTTCTTTTTAATGTTTTTGAAGAAGCTGTGGTTGAAGGAGGAGGAGGATTTTCTATTGTTTTTTGTTGTTGAGGAATTTCTTAAAAAAAATTTTTTTTTAATATTTAAAAATAGATTTTTAATTTTAAAAAATTCTCTCAAAGACCAGTTGATTAATGAAAAATTGAAGTCCCGAAAAACTCTCAAGTTTGAAAATGCTATTAACCGAATACTCGGCTTGTATCGGTTTTATTAACCAATAGATCATGGAGGGGATCACCTGTTCCAATAGATCACCTGTTCTTAAGGAGGGGTTCTTAACTCTAGCTAGCATTTTTAAAATTTTTCCTATTAAAAATTAACAAAGAAAACCTTCAAGTTCAACAGCTTCAAACTGTGCAGCAGAAGTTGAAGGTTGTTGTTGTAATTTTAATTGTGAGTTACTAGAAGAATCAGTTTCAATAATTATAGGATCCATCTCAATAATAAATTGCTGGGGGGATTGATTTAAATCGGAAGTATCTTCTAAAGGAATTTGTGGATTTGAAAGAGAAAATTCATTGTTTGAACTAAAATTAAAAAAATAAATTTAAAAAAATATTTAAAAAAACCCAAGTGTTTGTGGATCAAATGAAAGAACAAACAATTCTTTAGCTTGAAAACGGTTCAAGATTGAAGACAAATTTTTTAACTAAATTAAAAAAAATTTTTTGAAGATACTTTGCATGTTTAAAATTATTAACGCTCATTTTTTCGAGCATAAAAGGGGAGAGAAGCACAGAGTCTTGAGATTTTTCATCAAAACTTTGTCGGGTTCCCCTGTCTTAATTTGCGTCCCGAGAATGTGCTTTGCTCATTATTGGGGTCCAAGGGCGTATCCAGGGGGACGATTTCGGGAGAAGGCTCTATCCCCCTAGACACACCCTCGTTGGGGCCCAATAAAAAGCTCATGTCAGGTTTAATATTAAAAAAATTTTTTTGGAGAAAAATAAAAAAAAACTAAGAAAAACCTGTTCAGGTAAACATTTTGTATCTGGTAATAATATTGTAATCAAAAAATGGAAAATGCAATGTAAACATAGAGCAAATAAAGTTAACATCAAATTCCAACAATAAACAGTTCCAATTGTTGGCATAACACCATCACCGGGAGGTATTTGTTGTAATAAATTGAGACATAAAAATGAAAATAATTAATTTTAAAAATTATTTTTTAAAGTTTTTACCACAAACTGATTCCAAAAATAAATTAAAAATACAAAGAAATATGGCCATAGGTAAACTATCCAACCAAAAAACAAAAAGTGTGAGAAGTATTGTTATAATCTTAAATTTTTTTGATAATTATTCTCGAATATATGGGTATATAAAATTGATGTTAAAAGATTCTCAAGGAATTAGATAATATACACAAGTGTCACCCCGATTTCGGGCATTTCTTTGGTACCATTCGATAGAGAACCACAGGCTTCCTATTGCAAGTGATATCCGTTTTCTAGCAAAAATGATTCTGGGACTAGTTGTGACCATTCAAACCGCTAGTCTGAATTATAGTGGTAAATGAGTATTTTCTTTCTTTTTTCTTCTCAAAAAAGAAAAATTTTGGTTTGCTTAAAAATTTTGTCTGCCTTTATAAAAAATAAAAAGTTTACAATCGGAAGAACCAAAGTAAGTCCATAATACGGAGCATGCCTTTTAATTCGAATTCCAAATTCCATTAAAGACCAATAATTATCCAACTAGAAAAAATTTTCTTAACAAATTTTAAAATTAAAAATAATACAGGTCCAATAGGAGACGAATCAACACAATAACCAGTAGGTCCTAAATTTAAAAAAAATTATAGAAAATTTAACAAAATATTAAAATACCCCAATAACAAAGTCTTTGCCATGTGTCAATTATTTCCCAACCTTTATTTAAAAAAAATTTTCTTTGAAAAAACTTTCTATCAAAAAATACCAGCAACATGTTTTTTAACATTTTCAGATAACGGATCAAAGCTTAGACGAATTGCAGGTTTTGCCAAACTGTTTAGACCAGAACGAGCACTGACAGCTTCAGATAAATTGACTTTTGATGCATCATACCTCAAAAATAAATAAAAATTAAAAAAATTTAAATCAAAAAATTAACTGCCAATCAGCAAGAACAATTGGACATTCTTGTATATCATATGGATAAGCAGCAAAATTGAATTGGCAAGTAACTTGGAAAGAAAAGGCTCCTGCTGCAAATACACGCCCATCATTTGAAACAGTTGCAGGGACCTGTTAAATTTTTTTAGATTAAAAAAAAAGATTTTAGAAAAGCCAAAGAAGCATAGTCCATAATACGGGTCCTAACTACGCCTTTGTTTTCATTGTGAACTGATGATGGGACATTCTTTATTATCAACCAGAACGTATTCTTGGGCAACATTCGATAGCGGCCCTCTACCTTTCTATTGCGAAGTGAGTTTTTTCTTTTAAAAACCAGTGGACCGTGTTTATGGCTAATTTTTGTGGACGTTTTATTGAGGAAAGAAATATTTAATTTCTCTTTTTTGGCCAAAAAATAATTTTAAAAAAATTTTTATACCCCACTCATGTAGACAAACCAGCTATTACTTCTTGCAGAATTGTATAGAGCAAATGTTGGCTGCCAAATTTTCCACGCTTCCATAGAAATAACAAAAGTATTATTGTGTTCTGAAGGTGTCCATTTTAAATAATCATCATTCCACGCTGCCCTAAAAGAGAAAAATTAAATTAAAAATTATTTCACAAGTCACCATAAAATTCCATGTAAAAGCATTGTTCCTTCATGCTCATCTACTTTTTCAATATGATTTACAGTTAGGAAAAGTTGAACGCGTATAATGGTAGATTCGACTTTTACAGGCCTAAATTTGATATTAAAAATTTCTAAAAATTTTTTTTGAAATTTTCAAAAATTTTTCTAAAAAATTTCTAAAATTTTTTTTAATTTTCAAAAAATTTTGAAATTTCAGAAAATTTCAGAATTTTTAAATAAAAAATATACCTATGCCTTTTATCATAATTACGAAGAATTTCTTGTTCAATTCGCCTATTTTCACTTATCCAGGCTTTGGTAGCAAAAGGAATAAAAATAAAAAGGAAAATAAATAAGGGAAAATTTGAGCAAAACATTGAGAGGTTTTTAGTCTATAAATTAACAAAATAAATTAGAAAAATTTATTTAATTCTCTGACTAATTTGCAAAGTTCAACAGAATATTATTTGTTTATTAAATTAAAGTTTTTCCACTTTTTCTTCTCTACCCCCCTCCCCCCACTCATGGAACATAAACACACATATAAATTCAACACCCCCCCTCCCTATCAATTTTAAATGAATATATACTAGTTTCAGAATAAACAAACATATAATATATATTTAATAGAATATATTAAATTACAAATAAAAAAGATGAAAAAGAATTTGATAAGGAAATAAAGTTTTGACGAGAAATTAATTTCCCAAAAGTCATCCAAAAGATTTAATAAAAATTTTTTTGGAAAGTTCCAAACTTTATTAATAAAATTTCTTCAAGTTTACAAGAAAATTAAAAATCACCCTCATAACGTTTCATTAAACGGTCCTTTTTCTTTCCAAGCATAGCATTTGCCACTCTAGACTGATTTTCACGTCCCATTTCTGTGCATATCCAATCGGAAGTTTCAACAAGTTTTTCCAAATTTACACCCTAAAATTTAAAAAAATTCAAGTTAAAATTTCAAAAAAATTTTACAGTGGAGAATCCACATCCTTCAAGCATATAAACAAGATCTTCTGTGGCTAAATTCCCTGTAGCGCCTTTTGCAAATGGACAACCTCCAAGCCCGGCAATACTGCTGTCTGCAACTCTGATACCTTTCTGAATTTACAAAATAAAAAATATTCTAGTTTAGAAAAAACCTCAATAGAAATAAGAACATTGCTTAAAGCTTGTCCATAAGTATCATGAAAATGAACGGCAATTTTTGAAAATGGAATAGAAGCTAACGACAATTCATCCAACAGATTAGCAACACTACCCGCAGTTCCAACGCCGATTGTATCACCGAGGCTTACTGAAAATAGAAAAATTTTGAATTAAAAATTCCTATTTTTAAGGTACTCCCAAGGTTGAAAAATCACAAATTTATAATGAAGTGTATCGTAATCTTATAGTGAGGTCCAGAGCTGGGCGAAAATAAAATTTTGCCCTCAACAAAACAAATTTAATTTTTGCGAAATGAAACGAAAATTTTGCCCAGCTCTGGTGAGGGCTGACTTTATTCAATAAAAACCAAGAATAAATTTTAAAATCCAACCTTCATAACAACCATAATCAAGCAACTTTTCAGTCATTTTCGTAACCAGAATAGGATCCACATGTCCCTCATAGGGACAGCCAAAAACTGTGCTTATATAACCCCGGACTTTTAAGCCTGTAATCAACGCCTCTTCTGTAACTTCTTTAAGACGCTTTTCGCCTTCCTTGAGTGAACAATTTAAATTTTTCCTTTAAAAACTGATAATTAAATTTTTAGAAAATTAAAAAAAAACCTGTTAAAAGTATTCGATGCTGCAATAAAAACCGCAATTTCCTTAACATTCCCATTCTTCAGCTTAACTTGAAATGAGTTGCTTAGAAATTTTAAAAGTATAAACTAACAGCATTTGTAAGGCCTTCCAAATTAGGAACAAGAACAGGATATGAAACACCTCGAATCTTTTTACAAGCGCTAATAACTTCATTACAATCCTCAAACTAAAGAAAATAATTTTTTTTAAATAAATAAATGATGAAAATTCGTGACGGGCTAACTCACGAAACAGACAAGTCGCGGAACGACAAGTCACGGAATGAACAAAGCACGGAATATTTTAAAAATCTGATGTGAATATTTTTTTAAATGAGACTTTTTTGAAAAATTAAAATACTTTAAAAAACAGAAGTTTAAAAAATTCTGAAGAATTCCGATTCTAAAATTATTCTGATCTTTAAAATATTCCGAGTTGGTCACTCCGTGAGTTGATCGAATCCCGTAAATTGTCGTTCCGTGACCTGTCTGTTCCGTGATTTGAAATTCTTCGAGTTAGCTCCCACCCAAAAAATTAACCTGTGGAACCCATTTTGGTAAAACAAAGCTGGTTGCCTCAACAGTTTTAAGTCCGCATTCAACTAGTCGATTAATCAATTCAATTTTTGTGCTTGTTAGTACCATCTGCTAAAAACAAAAAATTTAAGTTAATTAAGTAAAATAAACCCTTTTTTCGTTTTGCAACCCATCTCTAGGCCCAACTTCCACAATACGAAAGGGGCCAGAAGAAAATGAATAAATTTGTCTATTAAATGTAGAATTTGAAAGTATAAATTTTAAAAATTTGTTGATTGAAGATGTGCTAATTGGACGAAACATTTAAAAAGAAAAACTAAAAATAAAAATTGCTTGAAGAAAGAAATAAAAATTCAAGGCAAAAATTCAGCTGACAAAAAAGATTAAAAATTAGAGAACATACCTAACTGTATTTTAGGTGTTATGTAATTTTTAGAAAGAAAAGTATTTTAGAAAGTTAGACAATTTTCTACACTTTTTCTTATTTATTTTTCTCTAACTATCATTTGTTTTTTGTGTCTAACTTTTAAGGAGGATTACAAAACGTCTACAAACTAAACGCCAAAGGAATTTCTATTTTAATCTTTTTGTGTTAGTCATCTTGTTTTAACACATGTTTTTGTGTTGATAAATTATTTTGATTATTTTTTTTCCGATAACGACAGACCTTTAATCTTAAATTTTTCTTTATTTGACAACAAAAAATGGCTACTATTCGTCGAAAGCTGGTAATTGTCGGCGACGGTGCTTGTGGAAAGACGTGCCTTTTAATTGTTTGTTTTTCCTTAAAAAGTCAAAAAATAATTTTTAAATAGGTATTTAGCAAGGATGATTTTCCTGAAGTTTATGTTCCTACTGTTTTTGAGAATTATGTGGCTGATATTGAGGTTGATCAACGGCAGGTCAACAAATATTTAATTTTTTGATTGGTATGAAATTTTTTTGAAGGTTGAACTTGCTTTGTGGGATACTGCTGGACAGGAGGATTATGACCGTCTTCGTCCTTTGAGTTATCCTGATACCAATGTCATCCTCATGTGCTTTAGGTTGTAAATTAAATTTTTTAGAGATCGGCCTGGATCCAGACCTTGATTTTTCCTAGATCCAGAGTTTTCGACCCTGACTCAAGGAAAAATCAGGGAACACTGAAAAATGCCTTGATTTTTACTCTGTATCCAGGCCTTTCTCTAAAATTTTCTGACCAAATAATTTTAATTTTAGCATCGATTCGCCAGACTCTCTTGAGAATATTATTGAGAAGTGGACTCCGGAGGTATACAAAATTCTAAAGTTAAAAATAAATTTAATTCAAAAAAATTTTTCAGGTTCGTCATTTCTGTCCGAACGTCCCAATTATTCTTGTTGGAAATAAGAAGGTTTTTTAAATTTTAATTATTAACAAAAATTTCTGAAGGATCTTCGAAACGATCCGCAGACTTTGAAGGAATTGGCTAAAAGCAAGCAGGAGCCTGTGACTAGTGAAGCAGCGCAAGCTGTTGCTCAGCAAATTGGAGCGTAATAATTTTTTAATTATTTTTTTAATTTTTTAATATTGCCTGGATTATGAAAAATTTTAAAAGTCTTCAAAATTTTCAAAATTAAAAATTTTTCTAGGTATGCATATTTGGAATGTTCGGCTAAATATAAGGAGGTATATAAATTTTTATTTTTTTACATAAAATGAATTTCTGGAACAAATTACATATAAGTACGCTAGTGTTATAAAATTTTCCAGTTTTTATTTTCATCTATTTTTAGTTTCCATAAAACGAATTTCTGGAATTTTTAGAATTCTAACTCTTAGGAAATTTTCAGAAGAAAAGGAAATAGGAGGAAACACAAATGACAATAATATTCTAATTTTTAATTATTTGTAAGGGAGTTCAAGAAGTTTTTGAAACTGCTACACGCGCAGCTCTTCAACAAAAGAGTAAAAAGTGAAAGGGATGTTCTGCTCTTTAGAGAAAAATTTTAAAAAATATAAATTAAATAAACTTAAAAAAGTATTTACGAAGCAATTTTATTGTATTCTTTCCTTTTTCTTTAAAAAAACGCTCATATTTTCTGCATAATATTTTTTGCTTTTTTTTGGATTACTCCATATAAATAAATTAATAAAATATACATAATTAATTTTTATTTAATCGTAATTGTATATTAACGAGCATTTATTTTATTTTTTGATGGGTTTTTGACGGGTTCGACTTAGAGATCGGCAAAATTGCATTCCCTGGATTTTTTCGAGATTCTTTTCAAAATGTCGAAAGTTTCGGTATCCCGCGCGGATAATCCCGGTAGTTCCATTTGTTGCCTAAAACTCGTGATTTCGGGACAGGATCCAGTAAAATCCCGTACAGGATCCCTCCATTGCCGATCTCTAGTTTTAAATGACTCATTTGGTCATTTGAACTATTTTTAGCTGGTTAACATTTTGATATATTTTTTCAGAATTGGCTAGAGATTGAGTTTTTTACAGGAGAGTTAGTCATTGAATTATACAAATTTTTTGTGAAATTATACAAAGTTTTTTCTTTTATTGACGTGAGGTTACATTTTTTTAATTTCAATTAAATTTTAGATTCCTTAAGAAAAATATGGATTTTAACGATGCTACAACATTTAAAGATGTTATGGGTTTCAATATAGCTAGTAATGATGTATTTTATGAAGATGATGCTGCTGATACTTCAATTCCTGATATTCAGGTTTATATAATTTTTAACGATTTTTTAGAATTTTTTTCTCTTTTTTAAAGAAAATTACCCGAAAAAACAATATTTTACCAATATGGGGCAATGTCCAAACAATGAACTTAAATACTCTTGTGCTTGAAAATATAGTCCAAAGTACTTATTGGAAAAATTTTCTTCTTGAAGTTAGCACTTATCAACAAGTTTGTGATGAAGTTTTTATTCATGTATGTTGTTATGTTTAAATGAAAGTTGTGAATTTTTAATAATTTTTGAAGGTAAGGCATCTTGAGCCGTGGGAACGTGGAACTCGTAAAATTACTGGAATGACTGGCATGTGTGGCGGGTAAGTCATTGTGGTATGTCAGTTTATCAAAAAAAGGGGGTTGGGTCTCTTTTTCTATTTTTCTTAAATAGGGGTCAAATTGGTAACTTTTCTTTCCTTATAGCGTTCGTGGAGTGGGTGCTGGCGGTGTTATCTCCACAGCTTTTTGTTTGCTCTATAAACTTTTTACTGTTCGTGTGACTCGAAAACAATTGGTTGCAATGATGAATAGTAGACAATCAGTTTATTTGAGAGGACTTGCTTTTATGTTTATTCGATATACACAACCACCTGGGGATCTATGGGCGTGGATGGAGCCTTATTTGGATGATGAAACTGAAATTGATCCCCGTTCTGGAGGTGGCGACAAAATGCAGTTTGGGCAATTAATTAGGATGATGTTAACTAAGGTTTTGTTTAATTTTATAAATTCTATCAAAGAGGACTTTCTAGCTTGACTTCTATGGAACACTATTTCCTCGAATTCCTATCCCAATCCAAAAGGAAATGGAGACAAAATTTCGTGAACGTGCCAAACTTTATGGATACGAAGATGATCGTTATAGTGATCGTAGACGTTCAAGAAGTAGGGAACGCAGTCCGCGTGGCCGTGATGTTGATTCTGGAGCTGGTATCTTTTAAAAGATTTTTGAGAATATTTTACCTTGTTATCTAGACTCTGAAAAACGTTCCCGTCATCGTAGTCGAGACCGCAGTCGTGAGCGCCAACATGGTAGCCGTGAACGTAGTCGTGATCGTCATCGAAATAGCCGTGACCGGAGCCGTGACAGACATCGTACAAGCCGTGAACGTAGAGAAAGTAAACAGAGACGTCGATCTCGAAGTCGAGAACGAAATAAGTATATTTAAATTTTTGTTTGATTTTTTATAAAAAAATTATTTTTAGAAGCCGTGAACATGAAAATACTTCAATTGATACGTCCACTACTACCCCTGTTGCAATCAAGTCGAGTGAGGTTGAAATTTCCTCAAGTAAGCGTCGTCATCGACAAAAATGTCATCACCATCTGCGTCATCATCATTGTATAAAGCATCGACGAATATGTCCATCAAAGGCAAAAAAGCAGCATCAACAACAGTAAAAATTATTTTTTTATTTGATCTTGGGTACTTTTTTGTATATCCCTTCTACCTAGTTTGAGTATCAGTTATACCTTCCTTCATGCCTTCATTTTTTTCTCAAGCAATAAAGGAGATAAAATGCAAGTAATAAATAATTGTTATTGCTTGACAACAAAAAATGTAGAAGGAGAGAATAACTGATACAGGAAAGGGGCAGGATATCTAAAGAATATTTTTAAAGAAAAAATTTGGATGATGAGAAAGAGGAAGAAGAGGATGGTCAAAAGATTAATAAAAATGATGATGCTGAAGTAAAAGAAGAATTAATTGATGAAAAAATTGATGAGGATAATATTTCAAATGATTTTATTAAAAATGAAGAAGAAGAAACTGAAGAAATTAGCTGAACAAAAAAATTTTCAAAAAATATTTTAAAATATTTTTTTTCTCAATTTTATTAAATGTGTAAAAATGTTATTTTAATTTTTTAAAATTTTAAAAATTTTTTAATTTTGATTTTAATTCAGAATTATTTTTTAAATATTTCTCTTCTTTATTTTCTGAATTTTATTTTTTCAGTTTTTGAAAAATGAAATCCTTAACGGGATCCTCTGACTTTTTAATTGATGTTGAAAAACAAGAAAGTCTTCTAGATTCTGCATTAAAAATAGTTAAAAATGAATCTTTTGAAATGAAAAGGTCTTTGGATCAAAATGAATTAATGGATGCACTCAAACATGCTGTGCAGATGATTTGTGAATTGAGAACTTCAATTTTAATGCCAAAATTCTACTATAGACTTTGTAAGAAAATTTTTTAAAGCTTTGAATTTTGGGAAGATTGACTGGGAATTAGGGATGAGACGTGTTACCCGGAGAACCATAAACTGGGACATTTTCGACCCTAATTGTAAGTCGGACCTTAAATTTGAAGAAAAATTTAAGAATCTGGCCCGGCTTCTTTTCAACCAGTCCCATCCCTGCCGTCAATCGAAAAATATTAAAACCCTTAAAAAATGATGTTATACAGATATTGACGTTACTAACGAACTTCAACACTTTTTAACATTTTTAACGGATCGTTATTTGGGTGAAGAACAAAAATTTTCTGTTGCAGAATTATACGAGACTGTTCAATATACAGGGAATATTGTTCCAAGATTGTAAGGGGTTTCTTATTATTTTTTAAAATTTTCCTCTTCAGATATCTTTTAATAACTGTTGGGGTTGTTTACATAAAATCAGGCGAGTCTCCTTCCACAGACATTCTTCACGATTTGGTGGAAATGTGTAGAGGAGTTCAACACCCTTTGAGAGGACTATTTCTTCGTAATTATTTATTGACTTCCACAAAAGAATTTATACCCGACAAACCTCCACCTACCCTTTCTCTTTTACAAAATAAAAATAGAAATTCAATGAATGAAGATTTTGGTGAGGATGAGGAAGAAAAATTGGGAGACGAAGTTGAGGATGAAACGACTACTTGTGGTGATGTTCGTAATGCAATAGATTTTATTATGGTTAATTTTGCTGAAATGAACAAACTTTGGGTTCGAATGCAACATCAGGTTTTTTATTTTCTTGTTTTTAACAAAATTTTTTAACTGCATTAGGGATAGGATAGTTACCTGAAACTCGACTTTTTTCGATACAAAACCCGATTTGAGAATTTTTTGTAACCAGAAACCAAATACGACTTTTCCCTCATATTTCCTAACTGACCCGAGCCGGACTTTTTTCTCTTCCTGTCTCACCCATCTCTGATTGCCTTAAAATGGTTTTTCAAAAAAAGATTTTAGGGCCCTAGCCGTGAAAGTGAAAAACGTGAACGTGAACGTCGTGAATTGCGTATTCTTGTTGGAACTAATTTAGTTCGTCTATCACAACTACAAAATCTTGAATTGAGTCTATACCGTCAAATTGTACTTCCCGGCATTTTAGAACAATCAGTTTCTTGTAGAGAGCCAATTTCTCAAGAATATTTAATGGAATGTGTTATACAGGTTTTTTGGGGGTTTTCAATTGAAAAAAATTTTTCTTCAGGTTTTTCCAGATAATTTTCATTTGGCAACTTTAAACGAATTTTTGGATGCTTGTGGAGAATTACATTCAAATGTTAAAATAAAAAATATTTTGGGACCACTTATAGAACATTTAACATCTTTTGCAATGACAGAAGAAAATAGCTTGCCCCAAGATAATAATCTCTTTAATTTATTTTCTAAACATATTGACAAAATGGTTGAATCTCGTAGTCAAATGCCTTTTGATGAAATTATTTCTATTCAGGTTTTTTTCTCTTTGATTTTTGTGGATTTTTTTATTTTTTCTTAAAGATTGCCCTTTTGAGTTTGGCTTTGAATTGTTATAGAGATCGTCCAGAATTGGCTGACACTGTTTACTCAACAACAATTCAAATTGTGGAAAGACGAAATATTCAAAAGTTTGTTTTATTTTATTAAAATTTTTAATTTTTCTATTTGGGACCCTCGTTTCTTGTGAGTGCGAATTTGATATATTTTTTGGTACCTTTCGATAGAGCACCCCGACTTCCTGTTGTGAAGTGATGTTTCATTAGAAAATGACTTACAATTAGACGGGTCCATAATTCGCCCCAAATTCATTTTTGCAAGAAAACGAATTTTATTTTGCATTAAGCCGGCGGTATCAAGAACAACAAGAATATAAAGAACAATACAGCAAATTAAATTTATTTTTTTATTTTTTAAAGTATTTTGGCCAATTCTTTAATCGGACGTGAATTAACAAAATTACTTAAATTACCTATTGAAAATTATAATAATATTATTGAATTGTTGGCTTTGGAATCTTATTCAAATATTTTACAATTACTAGACATTTATGGACAAAGGAAAATTGCTGCATTTATTATTGAAAATGCTTTAGAAAATAACACGTTAATTGAATGTGAAGATCATTTGGATAAGGTTTTTTCTATTTTTAAAATTTAATTTTAGATTCGTTTTTTAATTTTAAAATTTTCGGGAGCTAGGATTTTTCTAAGGAGACTAAGATTTCTAGAAAAAATCCTAAATTATGGCTAGGATTTTTCGAAAGCCATATCCTTAACCCTGCCATTTGAAGAAAATTATGGGTTTTCAGAATTCTTTCTAATTTTTTAGTTCAATTTATTTACTGAAAAGGCTACTAACAATAAGGTAAATAAGTTTCAGAAAAAAATGAAAACTTTTCAATCTAAAATCTATTTTTGATTCTTTCTTTAAAAATTTTTAAATATTTTTATAGTTATTCTCTTTAATTGAATCTCTTTTAATTGATACACCAACAACAAATAACGATGATATTATTCAACAAAAAACTTCTTTATTAAAATTAAATGGTGGAGGAGGACAAAACAATAATGATGAAATTAATAATTTTAATTTAAATGAACAAAAAGATTTTGAAGAACAACAAATTTTGGTAGCCCGATTAATTCATTTAATACAAAGTGAACATGTTGAAATACATTTTAAGGTTTTTTTTTGCATTTTTAAAAATTTTTGAAAATTAATTTAGTTGCTCAATAAAATTCGTAAAGTATTTGGATCTGGTGGAAATGCTCGGCTTCGTTATACTTTGCCTCCAACAATTTTTGTTGCTCATAAATTTGTGCTTAAAATTGAAGAAATGAGAGAACAAATTGTATATTTTTAAATTTTTTACAAAAATTTTTTTAAAAATTTAAGGAGAATTTTGATTCAAGATGTTCAAAAATTTTCCATTTTTGTATTAATACAATAAATGCTTTGAGACAACAAGCGGAAAGGCCAGCATTAGCTCTCAGATTTTATTTACAAGTTTATTTGATTTATTTTTTTTTCAATTTTATTTTAAGAGTGCAATTATTGCTGACAGAATAAATTTTGATAAAACATCTGAAACAACTTATGAATTTATTTCAAAGGTTTGTGAACACTTAATTTTTGAAGACCCGTTAAAATTAAATACTCATCATTTATGATAGGATTTTTTAAATTTGATTACTCGATAGACGGATTAAGGGATTAACCGCCTAACACGTAACCCGCTCGTATTAATTTTCTATTTTTTGGTCTTATCGAGCAGAGCATGGTCATTTCTCCTATAGCCAATTTTTTGGCTTTTCCCCTACGAGGCCATTTTTGCATAATTTTGTGCCTTCAAAATTTGGTATTTTTGGAGTGGCTGAGACCTCTTTAGCATGCCCCCCCCCTATTTTAAGACTCGTCCTCATTATCGTGAATGATTTTAAGCCCAGAGGATGTCTTAAAACGTGGTTCATCAAAAATTATTTTTCTATAAAAATTCGTTTTTTAAAGGCGTTTTCTGTTTATGAAGAAGAAATATCAGAAAGTAGAGAACAAGTACAATCACTTACATTACTTATTGCTACAATTACACAAGTTTGTTAAATAAAAAGTTTTTTTAAATAAAAATTCCTTTTCAGATAAAAAGTTTAGTTGATGAATCACATGAACCTTTAAGAAATCAATGTGCTTTATACGCTTCTAAATTATTAAAAAGGCCTGATCAAGCACAAATGATATGTCTTGTTGCGAGGGTTTTTTGGTATTCTAGAGTAGGTTTTTTGGAATTTTTTTGGAAAAATTTTTTTGAAATTTTTTGGGAATTTTTTAAAAAAATTTTCGGATATTTTTGAATTTAAAAAATTTTTTTTGGAAAAAATTTTTCCTTTCTTTAAAGGTGTCCGATTTGGGCGGTGAATGTAAAAAAGATGGTGTACGTACAGCAGAATGTTTAAAAAAGGCGACCAAAATTGCATCACAATGTATGGAAGAATTAATGCAGTGTAGCTTATTTATGCATATTTTGCTTGTTAAAATACACTTTTTTGAAGAAAAATGTTTGGAGGTTAGAATTAAATTTTTTTGGATTTTTATAGAATTTTTTAGGTTACCCGTCAAAGTATAGAAGAATTAATTTTGCGTTTGAGAGAAGCACTTGTTCAAATGGATCCACAAAATGAAGTTGACCAAATATCTGAGAAATTGGAGGTTTTTTTTTGAATAAATTTAAAATTTTTTTAATTAAAAAAAATTTTTTAAAAGATGGCAATTGAACATTTTAAACATTTGTGTAAACAAAGAGAAGAAACCGAGGAAGATTAAGTCAGAAAATATACAAAAGAATGCTTCAAACTCCTATAAGTTTATTATTCTAAATTTTATTTAAAACACCCAAGAAATGTTTTTTTTTTCATACAAAAACCTCACTTTTCGACATCCACTTGGAAGATAATTAACTTTATAAAACTCACTTGTGACGAAAAGTCTTTATAATAAAGCTAGGCCCTCTTAAATTTTGAGTATTTTGTGGGTATGTTTAATTGGCCTCCTTGACTTTCCGTTCCTGCCCGATGCTGGGGGTTTTTTGTGGACTACTCCCCGTTTCCTGACATCCCAGTTCCAAGGAAAAAGTTCTCTCCGATAGATCAGGGACCATAATTTTACCTTGAGGTTATCTGAAAATGAGGTTCAGATGTTAATATACCTATATAATAATTGGACAGAAATAGTGCCTTTTGACTTAAATATGTATTTTAGGTATTTTATATTTTAAAAAATGTGTACGTGTTTTCTATGAATGAAAAGGGGTAATGAAAAACACGTGCATATTATTGACCATTTTTTTATTATTCTTTTTAAAACATTAATTTTTAATTGTTTTTTGTTGATATTTTTTATGTGATTTTTCCTCTTCTAATTAAAATTTTGTATTTAAAAAATTATTTTTTTAATTAATTAATTTTTATATTCAATTAAAATATTTTTCTTTTTCTTTTAAAAAATTCCAAAAATTATTTAGAGGAAAAAATGTCTAATAAATTTTATGGACAATTAGTAATCGGAGCACCTGGAGCAGGAAAGACAACTTACTGCAACGCCCTTCAACAAATATTTAAAGCAATTAAAAGGCCTTTTATTTTGGTTAATTTGGATCCGGCAAATGAAAATATACCTTTTGAGGTTCATGTGGACATTAATGAATTAATTTGTGTTGGGGATGTTATGGAGAAATTCAATTTGGGACCTAATGGAGCGCTTCTTTATTGTATGCAAACTTTGGCTGCTAATCTTGATTGGTTTGAGATTTTTTTATTAATTAATTTTGGTTAAAATAAATATTGGCTAATTATTTGCTCCTAAATCTTGGTCCCAGAAAATGTCCGCAACTTTTTGTTCGCAAATTTTTCCCATCTATAATTTTTGAAAACAATTCTTTAATCCAGAGAATGACGTATAAAGTTAAAAAATAAATCCAAATTGTAAAAATCTGGAAAAAATAATGTCTAGAAAATATTTGGCCACGATAGGAATCGAACTTCCATCGAAAAAAGGGTGTAGTCAGCAACACTACCACTACACTACAAAAAATATTTTGTCAAGTTTTTTCCCTTTATCCCTCCTTTACCTTTATCCACCCAAAATAGTCCTTTTGAGAAATTTAAAGAAATACAACTTGGTGACAAAAGGTTGCAACCTTTCTTTATAATCTTTTTATTTAATTTTTATTAAAAATTTTTTAGGTTAGAAGAACGTCTCGAAAAATTTAAAGGTTTTTACCTTATAATTGATATGCCTGGACAAATGGAGCTTTATTGTAGTGATGATTCTATTCGGAAAATTATTAATAGGTTCAATACATTACAATGGCAAATTTGTGCTATTTGTCTAAATGATTCTACACATATGTTTGTTTTTCTTTATTTTATTCTTTTATTTTTTCTTATGTTAGAAACTCAGGATTCTTGGGAAATATCTTAGAAATCTTGGAGAAATTTTAAAAAATTTTTGGAACCCCAAATTAATTTTAAACATCTTTTCCCTTCAATTTGAATAAAAATTAAAAAAAATTTTTTTCAGTAATGATCCAGGAAAATTTATTTCCGTAATTCTTTCCTCTTTAATGGCCATGATAAATTTAGAAATTACACAAATTAATGTTCTTTCAAAAGTTGATTTACTTTCAACAAAAGATTTGCCTTTTAGTTTAGATTATTTTGAAGAATTGCCTAATCTTAATTATTTGGTTGATTTACTTGATGTAAGAGGGGGTTTTTTTCTTAATTTTTTAAATTTTTTAAAAAAACATTGGGGCCGTAGGGATGGGCTGGAATTTTTTGTTTTTTATCTAAGGGGCTCGAAAAAAATTCTAAAAATACCCTATAGAAGTTAAAAAATAAATCTAACTTGTTAAAATCCAAAAAATAAAGTTTAGAAAATATTTGACCCCAAGAGGAATCGAACCTCCATCCTAAAAATTTGTGTAGTCACCAACACTAACCACTACACCACAAAAAATATTTTTCCAAATTTTTTTAAATTTAAAGGACCACCCAGCATTATCAATTTACAAAAATCTAAACAAACAACTTTGCCAATTAATTGAAGATTATGGACTAATTGGTTTTGTATTGTTAAATATACAAGAAAAAGAATCTATACTAAATTTAATAAAAATGGCAGATGATGCAAATGGATTTACTATAGCTTCTTCAAATTGTGAAGATTTTAGAAATTTGGTTTTGAAAAGTTGAATAAATTTTTTTAATATTTTTTTATAATTTTTAAATTTGTTTTTAATCAAATTTTTATTTTTAGTATAATGCCGTAGTGCTAAGCGCCGAAATACCAAACCCCCCAAAAATGTGTCGAAATACCAAAAAAATGTGGATTGTTAACAACCTTCCGTGTTTAACTAGCAACTTTCACGCGCGTGATTAGAATATATTTGTATGTTTTTTGTTTTTCCAGTTTGGTATTTTGACATCTTTTTGGGGGCTTGGTTTACGGCACGCTCCCTTTCTCAAGAAATTTTTTAAAATTTTATTTAATCAGTTTTATTTAAAAAAAGAAAATGTTAAATAGATCTTCTTCAAGTATTAAAAGTGACAGAAATGTTTTTGCTACACCTAGAAGTGGAACACCAAGCTCAGTTTCTAGTCAAATTCCGAGTGCCAAATTAACGTTTATTTTTCTTTTTATTTTTTTTTAATTAAAAAAAATTTTTTCAGCGTTGGAATTGGTAAAAGAGTTCGTGATATTGTTGCTATATTTCCTCAAGGAGAGCCAGTTGAGCCTTCAAAGCTGTGTTTTTCTGAACAATTGAATCGGGCCGACAAAAAAGTTTTTACAATGACGAGTTTAGCTAATACTGAATTTTCTTCAAAGGTTTTTAATTTATTATTTTTTATTTGAAAATTAATTTTGGGGGGTTTTGAATGATACTCCTATTTTAGGGGCTTTCCTACGGACTAATTTCTTGTCCTACTTGAACTTCAGTAAAACTCATTGGGTCAAAATACTCAATTTTTAGCTACCGGCCAGAGAAAATCAGGCCTGGCCTACTATAGTTTGGTCTTATTTTCAAAGCTTTCTCGAAATTTCGCTTTCTTTAATTTCAAAATTTCGATTTTTTATCTGAACATCTCCAGTCTAACCTTTAAACTTTTTAAAAATTTAGCCTTTACATATTGACCATGTTGGCATTGAAGAACCACCAGGGAATGGTTTTGAATATGTTTTGGCTATAGTTGATAGAAGAACAGGGCGCCCAATTGAATTTAAACCTGCTGCATTAGTTAGTTTTCAACCGCGATTTCAACCTGGGGAAGAATTGTTAAATGGACGAAAGTTTGTTTTTAGAAGATTTTCAAAAAAATTTTATTTTTTCAGACGTAAAAGTGTTACCAATTATTCCCAAGATTTTTCAATGTCTTTTGATGAAATGAGAACTGAACGTAATAATTTGACAAAAAGTTTTGGAAGTGCAAAAAATGTTAAAAAATTGGAAGCAAATATTAGAAGGAGCATTACAAATGTTTTTTTCTTTTAAATATTTTTTTAAAAAAGTTTGAAAAGAAAAATTTTTAATTTTCTGTTTCTTATAAATTTTCGATTGTCAAAATGTTTATCGGAAATCAGAATTTCGATTATTTTTCAAAAGCAAAATTTCGAAAAATCGAAAGAAAAATTTTGAAATTCGGAAAAAATTACCCGAAATCTTCCAAAAAAATTTAAATAAAAATTTTTTATTTTAAGGAAACACTAGACGCAATGTCAACAACAGCTTTTTCTTCCCCAAATACTTCAATTAAGAAAGAAGAATTTGATGATAGTATTGATTCTTTTTCTACTACTACAACTTTAGACGATGACAAATCTAAATTATTGTCTATTTTGGAAAAGGTTTTTTCTGATATTTTTTGGAAACATTTTTAGTCAGAATTCCTACCAGGGATGTTTTGGATAGACAAAAAAGTCCCGGTAGGAGTTTGGATAGGATTTTCGAAAAATTTTTAGGATCAGGTATCGAATTTCGGATTGAAAAAGTGTCAGGTTTATGGATAACCCCTGGCATTTCTGATTTCTAAGGATCAAAAAAAAAGAAAAAAAATCATTCCTATTATCAATAAATTCCATGGTTCTGGCTTATGGGGGATTAATTTATTTGAAAATTTAATTAAAAAATTTTAAAGGGTACAAGTGGAATGTTACCAAAACCAAATTATGACGCTAAAGTACCTTCTGACGTCTATAAACTTGATCAATTTTTGCCTGATAATTTTGACCAATTTAAATCTGGATATGAACAAGAATCTTTAAAATATTTTACATCTGTGGATTCTTTTCAATATTTAATTAATTTTGGTAAGGAGGGAAGGGGGAGGGAAGGGGGTTGAAAAAATAATTTTTTTTTCAAATTTTTAGGTGTATCCCCTCTAGTTGCCAAAAGAGTTGGTATTCCTTCACGGCATGCAAATCCAGGAATTCGATGTACTATTGCATTAAAAATGGTTGTCTTGTCAAAATTTGTTCAGGTTTTATTTTTAATTTTTTGAGGAAAAAATTTTTTCTTAGGGGTCAAAAAAAATTTCAAAAAATTTCAAAAATTTTTAAAAATTAAATTTTTTACTTTTTTTTCAAGTATTGTTTCAAAAAGAAATCTAGAGCTTTGTCTATATCGCTTGGTGATGTTGAAGCTTTTCAATTACCTTCTTTAATGAGTGAATATTTTAGAAAAAAATATTTGGGTTTGTTTATTTTTTTTTATGATTTTTTAAATTTATATTGGTGAGGGAAGGATGGGATAAAATGTCTCACAAAAATAAAAAAAATTTTTGCGGCCATTTTAAAATTTTTCCAAAAATTTTTTTATTTTTTTAGGAGAAGGAACAGGCAAAAATGCAATAAAATTCCAGATTCCGGTAGATAAGAAAAACCGTGCTTTAGTAGACCTTTTATGTTTATTACTTCTTTTTGATGGTATTTAATTTTAAAAATTCTAAAACATTTTATTTCTTTTTTAGAGCCCGATTTTATGTTACCCTTATCCCCGTTGGTACAAGAACTTGGGGTTAATGAAACTATGTTAAAGAATTATTTGACAGGATTGGGTTGTATGTAAGTTTTTTTTGGAAAATTAATTAAATTGGGGATATGTTTAGCGGACAGTTTTTTTCTGCTGATTTTTGGAAATTTTTTTTATTTTGACACACTTTTTTTTATAACAAAAAAATTCGAAAAAGTGTCCGGTCTTTTCATATTTCACTCTACAGGGAATTAGGTATTTTGGAATTTAAGAAACCCATTTTGGAATTACTTAACCTAGATGTAGGATCATCCAATATATGATTGAGGGTAAAAAAAGACTCGGTCGGGCCGGCCCGAAAAAAATGACTTGGACGTCAGCCCGACTTGAAAACTCCAATCCTAATCCAATAGACATCTCAATTTACATATGATACGTTTTTTTAAGATTTTGGGTTGACTACCGGGTAGATTGGGCTATTATTTTTCACCCCCAAAAAGGGGTATTTGGAGTCCGATTTTCTTAATAAAGCAAATCTTTTTTTAATTTTTCAGTGTTTCTTCAGCTACTGAAGCCCAAGCACTTACTATGAATACGGCAAGTTTTTTTTAAACTTATACAATAATTTCTAATATTTTTTAGTTACGTATAGCTAAACTTGTGGGACCTCCAAGTAAAGATTCAGCTTTAGTTTCATCATTAACCAAAAAGGGGGGTTATAAAAGAAGAAGGAATTGATAAAAGTAATTTTAGATTTTTATAATATTTGCGGACAAAACTTGCAGATATCCGCAAAATTTCAGATGTCTAAAAAACATTTTTATATTAGAATACATACGAAACTCGAAACAAAAATTTGTCTAAACGAAATTTTACGAAATACGAAATTTCGCAATACGAAACAAAAATTTTTTACGAAACAAAAATTTGACTAAACGAAATTTTACGAAATACGAAATTTCGCGATACGAAACAAAAATTTTTTACGAAACAAAAATTTGTCTAAACGAAATTTTACGAAATACGAAATTTCGCAAGTACAGAACGAAATTTTATTTGTTTTCGCTGGGTCAGTCCTTACGAATTTTTTTACGAAACACAAAAAATTTCGTGTTTCGTAAATTTTCGTTTTGTCCGCAAATGTCCAATGAGATTAAAAAAATATTTTTGATGTTCTTTCTTTGTTAATTTAATAATTTATCAAGAAATTTATTTACAAAAAAATAAAATTTAGAAAAAAATACCCGTATTAAAAATAATTTTTTTGGTTCTATTTCTTTTTTGACGGTTTAGCAACAAAATGCACACATCTACACAAAGGAATAACACATTTTGTAAAAAACAGAATGCTCGAAAGTAAAAAAGCCAAGCACAAAACTAGCTCTAATGTACAAGTAAATAATTCTGCTGGGGTATTTAAACCGTCTAACCATTGTCGAGGGTCTAAACTTGCGAGGAATGAGTCGACTGAAATTAAGGAATTTTTTTGATTTTTAAAAAATATTTTTTAAATAAACCTCCCCTTTCATTACATCCAATACATTCGGTTTGTGCTAATTGCCATTGATCAGCAAAATGTTTTTCCTGAAAACGAAGACATTTAAAAAGACGAAGTTAACGAAAAACGAAATAGAAAGTTAGACGAAATTTCGCGAAACATTGAATTTCGCGAAGCAAGAAAATTTACGAAATGAAATTTTTCGAAACCCGAAATTTTACGAAAAGCGAAATAAAATTCACGAAACAAAATTTCACAAAACACGAACTTTGCGAAACACGAAATTTCGTAATTACAAAAATAATTTTAAAATTTAAAACCTTGATAGGTTCATAAATCAATTCAAGTCTTTGACATATTCGACTGTCAGTATCACCAATAGGGTAAAAACAAACTAGTTTGGGGGAATGCACAGAGGTTGCCACAACTCTTTGGAATTTTTCCTTTGTAAATTTCCCAATATCGATACTAAAAATAATTTTAAAATAAATTAAAAAATTTGTGTTTTTCACCTGAAAATACTTTCCATAACAGAAAGGGAATCTGCACTTGAAAATATTTGGCCGATTAAAGTCCCTCTGGCATTCTGAAAAGATTTGGATTTTTTAAAATATTTTTTAAGTATTTAAAATTTACATAAAATGTCAAATTCAAATATCTGTTGGATTCTTTATCAAGAACTAAAAAATTCAAAAAGATTAAAAACTATATTAAATTTTGCAAGTCGGATCCTTCCCCGAAAAGCGAGTAGAATATTGGTCAGTCCCCGATAGCCTAAGAACGTTTAACCATTGGATTTTTCAACTCCCCTGATGCTGACCCCATGAAAATTTTTCTAGAAATTCATATAGGGAACCGACTAAGCTAATAACAGGACTCGCGAAACACGAAATTTCGCAATCCATATATCGTCACTTATACATATCACTTTAGCCTTAAATCCGAGGAAAAACATTTTCTTGAAAACCAAGGACTAAAAAACCCTGAGGACTTATATAGCTGGAGTCAACCTTTTTTAAAAAATATTACCAATTGTGCCAGTAAAATTACTAAATTTCGAAATATGTCGAACAACATTGGGTTTTGTTTCTGTTCTTATAGTTAACTTTAAAAAAACAATTATTTTTTCAATTTAATTAAAAAATTTACAGTTAAAGCAGCCCCTTCGGCATGTTCCATAATTGCTTCTCTATCTCCTATTTTTATTGAATTTACCCAAGTTTCGTCATTTACTAGTGTTCCCAAATCAAAATTAATTAATTCTTCAATTTGTGATTCTTCCCCCAAATTCCTCCCATTTTTTAATACAAATTGTTCTACGTTAAATGTTGTTCTATAACGTTGTGCTTTACAGTCATCTACTCGAATATGCTTTAAAAAGATTTTGAAAAAAATTTTTTAATGATTTTTAAGTCGAACCCCACTATTAGTATAACTCTTTAAAATTGAGACATTGTGCCTTATAATGAGATGTCTGTTAAATAGAGGGTGGCTTATAATGAGGGGTATATTAAATAGAGTTCCCATAATAGAGCGTCACTTAAATGGAAAGTACCTTATAATGGGGTGTCTCTTAAATAGAGGGTGGCTTATAATGAGATTTTAGAAGACTGCCTTAAATCGAGGTTATCTTATATTGGGTGTATCCTATAAAGAGGTCTGACTTTTTTATTCAAATTAAAAACCTGTGCCTGTGTTATTTTCTCCAACCCTTTTCTAACAATCCATCCACCACTTTTCTCATCCAAGCGTAACCAACCAAACTTTTCCAAGCTATTTTCCCCTGGTCCATTTAGCGGCACCCCTTCTCTAAGTTGGGGAGGACTGTCATTAATAATTTGATAAAAATACATTCCCGGCTCTATTTGTCTGTGAGGACGACCACCAACTTGAAAAATTTTTTCTTTGAAATTTTTTAGAAAATTTTTTAAAATACCCGCATTAATCTCAATTTTGTGTTGACTATTACTGCCTGTTATTTGATTGTGTAATTCTTGACTAACCGCATTTAATTCGAATTTTGTTGTTCCTTTGTTTAATGGAATTCGTAAAATTTCGTCAAAACTATGAAAAAATTTTTTTTTTAATTTTTAAAAAAAAATTTTTAATTTACGTGTTAGTCCAATGAACCCCTTTTGAAGGCATTTTCCGTTCAAATATTTTGTATCTGAGAACAACCACTGTATTTGGTTGTTTTAAACGAATAGCTTGAAATGTCCAATCCTTATAGGGAGTTATATCTATCTAAAAATTAAATTAATTAAAAAATAAATTTAAAAATAATTAAAATTGCCTGGCAACAAATTTCTGCTTTGCCCGAAGTCAAACAACCCGTATTTGCTTGCCCGCCTCTATGCGTTCTATAACAAAGGGAGGAAGTACCGCCGTTATTGTTCGAACAGTTGCTAGAGAAAAAAAAGATTATTAAATACATTCCGGAATGTATAGAAGTATATGATATTTCCGGAAAGTATTATTTAATTGTTTCCGGAATATGTATATTTCCTTCCGGAAATATTATGTATATTTCCGGAATATATAATTTAATTAATATTTCCGGAAACATTATTTATGTATATTTCCGGAAAGTATTGTTCTTCCGGAAACATTATTTATGTATATTTCCGGAAAGTATTGTTTTTCTGGAACTCATAATTGTAATATATATTTATCCGGAAATTATATTTCCTATGAAAATACAATTTCCGGAAAACACATTTTCCGGATATGGGTGTATTACATCTAAATTTCCGGAAAATACAATTATTTGATTTAAATTAAATTATTAGTATTTCTACCGGTATTGATATTTTTCCACACTACAAATTGTCTCGCCACCAACACAGTCACATTTACAACGAGGGGATAGAACAGGAACACCAAATTTGTATTTTCCAGTAATTGCGTGATGTAATTCTAAACTGACTTTAAAATAAATTTTTTTTAAAATTTTTTTTAATTTTTAAAATTTACTATATTCGATAGTATGTAATATTGAAAATTGTTTGTCGGAAGTTGAAGAATCTGATTTTTCATTAATTCTTCCATCATCGATTTCGTCTTCATTTGAATTTTGTAAGTCTTCCAGAGATTTATTTGCCTAAAAAAATATTTTTGGAGGGTTGAAAAAATTTTTTTCTGGAGGGCTAAAAAAATCACCGTTATCATCATACAAAAAGTATCCCCTAAAGCAACCGTTGCCAATTGTAAATGAACAGTCACATTATTATTTAAATTATTTTGTTGTTGTTTCTCCTCTTGTATTTTCATTGACATTTCTGACGCTATTACAAAATTGTCTGTACATTGGGGAAGTAATGATAATTTTTGTTGTTGAGTATTTTGTTGTTGTTTTGTTCTTAAAGTTGTTGTAAATACAAAAATATTAATTTTGAGAAAATTTTGAAAAAAATTAAAAAATAAAAGAAATAAAAAATAAATTAAACATTTTGCCAATTTTTTATTTTTTAGCAACATTCTTAAATTTAAATTTAAAAATATTAATGAAGAAAATTATTTAAAATTTAATATCAAATACAGAATTAATTTACATATAAAATATTTCAGGAATTATAATCTATTTATTAACTTTTCAGGAAAATTATAACACAATTCCGGAAAAAATACAATTAAATGTATTCCGGAAAATTACAAAGCAAAACACACTTACAAAAATCAGAATTTACAGTCAAAACACATTTTTATTTTTTGACTGATAGTAAAATGTATTTTTTTCAGAATTAAACTGAAATACAAAAATAAAATCAGAATTTACAATTTATAATGTATTTTCTGTTGTATATTAATTTACATCCGTAAAAATGCAACATTAAGGGATGTAGAATAAAATCCGTTGAAATTAATAAATTAATTTAACATAAATTTTAAAATTACAAAAAAGGATAATGAAGCGTGAAATTTTTTCCCTTCCAAAAAGCAGCTTTTTCTAATTAAATAACACAAAACGTTCCTTTAACAAAATATATAAAATGTGTTCATCAAGGTCGTAAATCGGATGATGTATTCTCTCTTCTATTTATTTACTCAATCCAGAAAAGTACATTATTATAAACTCTTAAATGCGCGAACATTTTAATAAATAAAGGTTTTTAAATAAACACATATTTAGGTATAAAACTCTTCAACTTGACAAAACATAATGGAAGAAAATACAAACAAAAATAAAATCAGAATTTATAATAAATTATAATCACAAAGAAAAATACAAAAACCAGAATTTGTAATGAAAACACAAAAAATCAGAATTTGTAATAAAAGAAATATCAGAATTTGTAATGAAAACACAAAAAATCAGAATTTGTAATAAAAATAGAAATATCAGAATTTGTAATGAAAATACAAAAATCAAAATAAAATACAAAAATCAGAATTTGTAAAGAAAATACAAAAATCAGAATTTGTAATAAAAATACAAAAATCAAAATAAAATACAAAAATCAGAATTTGTAAAGAAAATACAAAAATCAGAATTTGTAATAAAAATACAAAAATCAGAATTTGTAATAAAAATACAAAAATTAGAATTTGTAAAGAAAATACAAAAATCAGAATTTGTAAAAAAATACAAAAATCAGAATTTGTAATAATTTACAATCAAACATGAAAATACAAATTCTGATTTTAGAAATTTTAATTTTACAAATAAATAACACAATATACTCAAGAAAATAAACAATTTGACAACAATATATAAAGATTAATTTAATATAGGTTGGATAACGGAAATTGCTAAGAAAATCATGCTAGATATTTGAATAAAGAAAGGAAAATTCATTGAAGGAGAAAAGCGGCCAATCAAAAATGTAGTTAATTTAAAGGCCACGTCAAGGTCAAAAAGGATTAATGAAAGCCAATGAGGAATTTTATAATACGAAAAAAAAGAGAGAAATGGTGGCATTTTGCGGGTAAATTGTGTGAAATAAAAAATGTTAAAAAATCAAGAGCTATTTTTAGAATAAAAATATTTTGTCCTCAAAATATACTTGACTATTCATCTATTTTAATGCAAATTTTATTCGCTACAATTTTAACTAAACAACAGACTGAAAAGGACAAAATATTGGGTAGTAGTTTTTAATCTAAAATACAATAGGTAAAGAATAAGAAAATTCTCAAGAAAATACAAATTTATTTTGGTTGGGAAAATACAAAAATAAAATCAGAATTTGTAAAAAATACTTACATCAGAATTTGTAAAATACACAAATCAGAATTTGTAAAAAATAAATCAGAAAAAATACAGAATCGAATTTATAAAAAATACATAAATCAGAAAAAATACACAATCAGAATTTGTAATTATTAAAGAAAAATACACAATCAGAATTTGTAATTTTAAGGAAAAATACAAAAATCAGAATTTGTAATTTTAAGGAAAAATACAAAAATCAGAATTTGTAATTTTAAGGAAAAATACAAAAATCAGAATTTGTAATTATTAAAAGAAAAACACAAAAATCAGAATTTGTAATTACTCAAGGAAAAATACAAAAATCAGAATTTGTAATTTTAAGGAAAAATACAAAAATCAGAATTTGTAATTTTAAGGAAAAATACAAAAATTAGAATTTGTAATTTTAAGGAAAAATACAAAAATCAGAATTTGTAATTTCAAGGAAAAATACAAAAATCAGAATTTGTAATTATTTAAGGAAAAATACAAAAATCAGAATCTGTAACTTTAAGGAAAAATACAAAAATCAGAATTTGTAATTTTAAGGAAAAATACAAAAATCAGAATTTGTAATTATTTAAGGAAAAATACAAAAATCAGAATCTGTAACTTTAAGGAAAAATACAAAAATCAGAATTTGTAATTATTAAAGAAAAAACACAAAAATCAGAATTTGTAATTACTCAAGGAAAAATTCAAAAATCAGAATTTACAATCAAAACCACAACCAACTGTTCAAGATAAATCAAAAATACAAAAATACTTTCCGGAAATACAATCCAGAAAATACATGAAAACAGAATTTACTTTTAAATTGCGCAATGCAAATACATAAATAAATAATAACAAAGAAATACAAAATAATGCATGCTATTATTTCAAGAGTCTTCTTTTAATACTTGAGATTTTCATCCTTTTAAAAATTATCCATATTTGTATTTAAAAATATTGAGAAAATAATTGCCAAATAATATTCAAAATTTTTAAATAACTTTTTTTAAATAAAATAAAAATAAAATTATATTTATTTATTTTCCAACAATTAAAATAAAATAAAATCCTCTCATTGTTCCCGCAACCGTTCCACACTAATAAATTTTGAAATTTGGTTAGTTCAGTATATTATTATTTAATAGAACAAAAATAAAATTGAAAAAGAGTGAATGATGTAATAAATATAAAATCCGGCATATCCAAAAATAATAAAAAAATAATAAATAGTTATACATATGATTATTCATGCATTTCTATAAATATACTTAAATTCCATTTTTGATTGCCAAAAAATCATTTTTAAATTTTATTTACAACAAAATTAAATTAAATATAATTTAAAAAATATTAGAATATAATAAAAAAAAATAAAATTAAAAAAATCAGAACAGAATAAATAAATTAAAAACAAAGACATTGCCGTCTACAAAATAACCACTTTGTGGCCGGGTGTGTTTTACAAAAACCAGCACGTTGCCATTCCACACACTTATCAAAACCTTCAGAATCGTCCTGTTATAAAAATAATTCTGATTAAAATATAATGAAGAAAATAATAATTCTGATGTAATTATAATTATAGGTACACGTTTCCGGAATTATAATTTCCGTAAAAATAAAATATACATATGTATAATAAATAACTATATTCTGAATGATAAGGGAAACTTTCCGGAAACTATAATTATATTTTCTATATTATATCCTTCCGGAATTATGTTATGTTTTCCGGAAATATAATAAGTAAACTATAATTCCGGAAATATATACATAACTTGAAATATTCCCGATTGTAAATACAATGTATACTAATTATAATTCTGATTTTACTTATAATTCTGATTTATATAATTCTGATTTCACATAATACTCCATGATTTAATTAAAAATTAATTAAATCACCTCAGTCGTACAATCAAGCAAGTACTGTCTATTTGATTGAATAGATTTTGGTGTTTTTAAAAGGTCAAAATCAGAATCTAATGGAGGAAATGTTGATGTAATACAATTAAAATTATTTATTAATTGTTGTTTAGTAGATAAATAAATTATTTTATTTTCAATAGGTTCTTTCAAAATATTAAATTTTGCCTTATAAAAATATTTTTTATATTATAAATTTATATAAATTCAAAAAATTTAGAGGACCTTTTCTAGCTGAGCATTAGTCAAATTATTATTGTCTACTTTATCCTCTAATATAATATTTGTATTATTTTCTTTATCCTCTTTTTGTTCCAAAAAATATTTATCACTAAAATATGTTGATAAAAAAAATTTTTTACCCTATATTTTCACCTTTTCTGACTTCTCATGCGCGATATTTGTTTATTCTCAATGGGGGTATTATTATTTCCTTGTAGTGCCAGAAAGCTTTCATTAATTTTTGAATTATTGTAGTTACTATTAGCAGGATAAATTACTTAAAAACATCAGAATTTTCAGAATATGTATTTTTAAAATTAACTCTGAAGCATCAGAATTTTATTTCAGAATTATAAATGAAAAATACAAAAAATTCTGATTAAGGAATTCTGATTTTTAAATTCTGATTGCAAAATTCTGAGTAAAGAATTCTGATTAATAAATTCTGATTATTAAAATTCTGATTAATGAATTCTGATTGTAAATTTCTGTGTTTTAAATTCCAATTGCAAAATTCTGATTACTAAATTCTGATTTTAAAATTACAAATTCTGATTTTAAAATTACAAATTCTGATTTCTTTTTTTTTCAGAATATTTTAAATTAAACATACAAACAAGTCTGAAATGCACCAGACAAAGCAAAATAATTAAATTAAATAGAGTAATACACAGAATTAAATAAATTGTATGAATATGTATTTTTGCATTAATATTATTTTTAATATTTTCAGAATTTAACCATTCTTTAGGGGAAAATTTGATTTTTTGTTGTTTTTTATTTTTAATATTTTTATTGTTTTCGAAAGAAAAAGCATCTGGCCAACAATAAGAATTATTATTATTGTCTTCTTTATTGAATGAGACAGCAAATGTGTGGTCAAAACGTCTAAAAATTGAAAAAAACATTTTTCTGATTTTTTAGAAATCAGAAAAAGATTTTTCTGATTTTTTCAGAATTTTTCTGATTTTTCTGGTTTTTCTTCTGAAATTTTTCAGAATTTTCTGAAATTTTTCTAAATTTTTTTTTCTCAATTTTTCTGTTTTCTGAACTCAGAAAAAATTTTTCTTTAAATTTTTATTTTAATTTTACCTTTTATTTGTTTTAATATTTGAATTAATTATATTTTTGCTTTGTCGCATAAAATAATAAGCCCCACCACTTTTGGGCCAAAAATTCAAAAAAATTAATTTTCTCAAAGAAAGACGAATTTTGATATTTTAACAAATAAAAATAAATCCAAGTAAATCCTCATCCAGAAAATTGGAAAGTGAAAAAATATGAAGAAAACTTTTCACATTCCCAGTCAATTACAAACCGAAGAACTTCCGCTTTTAAAATGTATTTTTGATGAGGGTAAAGCTAATATATTTTTTATAAATTTGTTTTGGGCGTTAATTTAATTCTCATATTAATATGAGAAAATCATTGAAAATTATTTTTAATTTATTTTTTAAATTAAGTTAAAATTCTCCTTAACCCTCCCCTACAGTCAACTCTATTCTAGTGGTCAGTAAAAATTAATTTATACATTTTTAAATTAATTTATCCAATAAAAAACTAATTTATAAATATTTATAATGCTCAAAATATATTATAAAATTTTTTATATTTATTTAAAAAATAAAATTCATTTTGATTTTATTCTCATTGAATTTTGAAGACTGCACAAGTTATTGCCTAAAATTGTTAATAAAAATTTTTTTTAATTTTTAGAATTTTTAAAAATAAAAAGCTATCCAAAGGGTTGTCTTAAAAAGACAATCTTTGAATTTTCTCAAAAAAAATTTTTTTCCAAAAAATACCTGATGTCCATCCACACAATAATCAATTACTGAATCACCAGAATACGCAAATGATGGACTATGAGCACAATTAATTATATAATTCCCCCCTAATTTAGCCCTTAATTCTGAATGTATTGCATTTCTTGTACCAACCAAATCTCCAATAATTAAATTCTAAAAAATAATTTTTTTTTCAATTTTCCCCCCAAATCACCTTTAAAATAATTCTTTTAATGTGTGGATTATTACAATGATTTTTTTCTTCTCCAATTCTTTTAATTCCCGACTTTGTTGAAACTGGTGTTAATAATGCTGAAGCTCCACTTTCTCTTTTCCTTCTACCGCAACATCCACAAGAAGGAGGGGGACAGGGCAATTGGATTTGTGGGAAACATAGAGAAGGTAACTGGGGAAAAGATAGTTTTAAAAATGTGAAAAACACAAATAAGCTTGGCTAAAAAATTTTTTAGGTACCCTACCAGATATTCGACCCAAAGAAAATTTTGAAAACTTGACTCAAACCCAAATACGGATTTTTCCCTGGTGGTGAATAACTGACAGCTTCTACTAAAAATGAAATCCTATTATGGAAGTCCCACAGTAACTATATTTTCTTAGCTTAAATCCTGGATCGTGTCGACATCAAAAATAAATTTTCAAGGGAATGAGGAATCGAAACGGCAAGATCCTTGACCCACATACAATATAAAGGAAGCAGTTGAATTTTTAAAAATTAATTAAAAAAATATAATTAAATTACAGCAATTGGAGGTGGCTGTGGAATACATGGTTGCGGCATACATGGACCTAAATTAAAAAAATATTTTTTCCTAAAGAGTTGGAAAATAAATAAATTTTTAAGTCTATTTTCCTTATTTAAAATTAATAAAATTAGAAAAAAATTTAAAACAAAAATTAAAATTAACATCCACATCCTCCACCAAACCCAAACCCTTCACTTAAAGTAGTTAACAATAAAATTCCATAAATAATTAAATAAAATAATAAAATTAATTTTGGCATTAATAATCAAGCAAATTTGTTTAAATAAACAAAAAGGGGCATAAAATAAATTTTAAAAATTAAAAAAAAATTTTTTTTATTTGGATGTTTATTGCGCTTTATAAAATAATTTTAAAAATAATTTTAAAAATTATTTTTATATATTTCGGATTTTTTTTATTTTTATTTAAAGGCGTTTTATTGTTAGCTAGTAACATTGAACGCGGTTTTTTGTTTAGCTTAAAGCCGGTTGTTTAATAAAATAAATAAATAATAAATTTGTTTTGAAGTATATATTAATAACAAACAAATAAAAAAAATTTTTTTTCTTTTCTTTACCCTCTATTATAATTCAACACTTTTAAAAAAAGCGAAAAGAAAAAAAATTATTTTTTGTTTGTTGACCAATGGAAAGGAACAGAAAATAAAACTTGTTTTTTAATTATTTTAATTAAATTAACAAAAAAATTAAATAAAAAACAGACACATATTTAATTAATTTCCGTCGTTCCCTAATTTTATTAAACCAAAAAAAATTATAATTAATTTATTTGTTACTATAATTTTATTTATCGCAACTTTGTGCGCAAATACAAAAAATAAACAAGTAAATTATAAGGGGGAAAAATACAAGTGTATTTTTGTTCTACCCATTTCCGGTTTAATAAATACATTTAAATTACAAGTGTTTTCTTTCCGGAATGTGTTTTAGGTTCCGGAACGTGTTTTTAAAAAACACATATGAACGATATCAGAATTATTTGTATTTTAAATGTATTTTCTTTTTTTCAGAATTGTGTTTTGTTTGTGTTTTTGTTTGTGTTTTCTACAACAAAAACAGAATTGTGTTTTGTTGTGTTTCTGTTTTGGTGTTTCAGAATTAGTGTTTGTTTCGGTGTTTTCAGAATTATGTTTGTATTGTGTTTTCTTTTTTTTTATCAGAATTAATTCTATGTTTCAGTTTTCAGAATTATTTTTTGTATTTTCCGGTTTCAGAACTACTCTCCTTTTAAAAAATGTATTTTCTTATTTCAGAATTATGTTTGTATTTTCTTTTTTTCTGCAGTAATTATTTTTGTATTTTCTTGTATTTTCTTGTATTTTTCTGAGAAGTATTTTAACACTTTATTATATAAACACATTTTAACTAAAAATATAAAAAATAGAAATTTGTGATTTTCATGACAATTCTTCTCTAGACTATCACATTTTAATTAAAAAATAAATTATAATTGAACTGCTGACAATTTAGCAATAATATCTTCTGATAATACAAGGGTTTTTGGTTTTTCCCCTAAAATTAAAATTTTTTAAATTTTATTTTTAAAAATTTATATTTTTACAAGGGAAGTCAGGATTGCCAAAATGTCCATTAGCTGCAGTTTGTCGATAAATTGGCTCTCTAAGGCCGAGTTGACTAAAAGAATAAATTTTTCTAATTTTAATATTCTTTGTTTTTTCTTGCCTGATAATCGCCCCAGGCCGTAAATCAAAATTTTGTTTAACAACTCGAAGCAAATCGAATTCGCTAATTGGAGACGTCCCAAAATGAGTGACCATTATCTTTATTAATTTTGAAATTAATTTCAAAAAAATATTTATTTATTACAGAAAGGGGTTCGGCAATTCCAATAGCATAAGAAATTTGAACTAGGCAACGACGGCAAAGACCCTTTAAGAAGGGAATTTTTTTAAGTAAAAAATTTTTTTTTAATAAATTACCGCTTTAACCAAACTTTTAGAGACCCAACGAGCAGCATAAGCAGCAGAGCGATCAACTTTTGTTGGGTCTTTGCCGGAAAAGGCACCTCCTCCGTGGGCTCCCCAGCCTCCATAAGTATCAACCTTGAGGAAAATAAAATAATTTTTTTTATTAAAAAATTATTAACAATTATTTTGCGTCCGGTAAGTCCAGCATCCCCCATGGGCCCACCAATGACAAAAGAACCGCAAGGATTTAAATGAAGTTTGGTTTCTTTAGTGTAGAGATTGGGAGGAATCACCTTTAATAAAAATTAATATTATTATTAATTGACGAAAAATACAAAATATTTTAAAAAAACAAAATCAGAATTTAAAAATAATGTTAAAAAAATCAGAATATATCAAAAAATTTAATTTTAGTAATTCTGATTTGTGTTTTATATTTTTTGTGTTTTCTGATTTGTATTTTTATTTGAAATTCTGATTTTTGTATTTTCTGATTTTAATTAATATTATTAATTCTGATTTGTAATGTATTTTTCTAATTTGTAATTTTATATTACAATTCTGATTTGTATTTTAAATTTATTTTTTTGTATTTTTGTTTGTAATTCTCTCTCTATTAATTCTGATTTGTAATTTATACATATTTTTGTATTTTTCCAAGTTTATTTTACAATTTAATTTATTCTGATGAAAATACATTACATATATTCTGATTTTTTAAACATTATTAATTTAATAGTTGTATACATTTTCCCTTTAAAAATTAAATATTACCTCTTTAATTACCAGATTTTCAACTTGTTCCCTTACTTTCTCCAAAGAGATATCTGGAGCATGTTGAACAGACATTACTATCTTTATTAGAAAATATTTTTAATTTTTTCTAAATTTTATTATTTACAGTGTGAACTCGCAAAGCCACACAAGCTCCATTTTCATAGGCATATTCTATAGTAACTTGAGATTTAGAATCTGGCCGTGCCCATGGCAAGCTTCCATCACGACGTCTTTCGTGATACTTGGCATTTAATTGATGAGAAAGTAAAAGGGTTAAAGGCATAGTTTCTTTACTTTCGTCGGAGGCATAACCGAACATTATACCCTTTAAATTAAATTAAAATTTTTTCCCTAAAATTTTTACTTGATCCCCAGCACCCAAATTCTCTTCATTTTTATTTTGGTGTACTCCCGCTGCAATTTCTGGTGATTGTTCTTCTATTGCAACTAATACATTGCAGGTTTTATAATCAAAACCTGTAAATTTAAAAATCAGAATTTTTTTGAAAATCAGAATTTTTTTAAAAAATCAGAATTTTTTTAAAAAATCAGAATAATTTTAAAAATACAAAGAATATACAAAATACCTTTACTAGAATCATCATAACCAATCTTTTTTATCGTCTCTCTAACAATTGCTTGATAATCTACCTTTGCTTTTGATGTAATTTCCTATAAAAAGGATAAAATTAATTAAAAGAAAATAAATAAAAAACACACCCCACAAACTAAAACCATCCCTGTTTTGGTAACGGTCTCTGAAAAAATATAGTTTTTAAATAAATATTAAGATTAAAATTATTACCACATGCAACTTTTGCATGAGGATCAATTGCTAAATGTGCATCTAATATTGCATCAGAAATCTAAAAAATTAATTAATGTATTTTCCATAAAAATTATTAAGAAATACAAATCAGAAAAATATTAAAACAAAAACACAAATCAGAATAACCAGAATTATTTTACACACAGACGAAAACACAAAATATTAAAATCAGAATTTTTTAAAAATACAAATCAGAATTTAATTTGTGTTTTTCTGTGCGGACAAAAACACAAAATATTAAAATCAGAATTTTTTAAAAATACAAATCAGAATTTAATTTGTGTTTTTTTTTCTGATTTGTAATTTAATTTTCAGAATATGTATTTTTGTATTTTCTGATTTGTAATTAATATTTATTCTGATTTTTTGTATTTTTATCTTCTGATTTTTAATTTAATTGTATTTTTGTATTTTAAATATTTCTGAGTTGTATTTTTTGTTTTTATTTTTTGTATTTTTCATATAATTTTTTAATTTATATTTATTTGCACAAAATATACTTAATAATCGTTCTATTAAAATTTCAATGAAATATTAAAACTGATAACAACCAAAAATTTTATAAAATTAATTTTAAAGGGTATTTCTCGTTTTTATGTGAATTTAGAAAAATTAAAAAATTGTTTATAATAAAATATGTATTTAATTAAAAAATAAATAAATGGGTAGACTTACTTGATCGCACATTTCTAAATTTAAAAAAAATTAAAAAAAAAATTGAAAAATTAAATTTTTATTGGAATAAAGAAAGTGATTTCATAAAAAATCAAAAATTAATTTTCAGAAAAAAAATTTTCAAAAAATTTTCTGGGAATAAAAAGATAACTAAGGTATGATTTAATAATATAATTATCTCTTCGAAAAAATATTTTTTTTAATTTTCAGAAAATTTTTCAAAAAATCATGAATTATTTTTCAGAAAAAATTTTTCAGAAAAAAAATATTTTTTTTTTCAAATAAAATTCCAAAAAACGCTCACTGTCAGGATGTCCTTCCCCAACAGATTCAGAAGTAAACAAAAATGTATTATTATTATTATAAAAATTATTATTATTATTATTATTTAATTCAATTATCGAATCAACAATTAAATTATTAGCTTTATTATTGCCATTTAATAAGGAATTGTTTTTTAAAATATTATTGGAATTAGTATTAAAATGATGAGAATTTGTGTTTGTTGAAGGGGTTACTGTTTGGGCTAATAATTCTGTTGTTAGCATTTTTTTGAATTAAAAAAAATTTTTTTAATTTTTAAGTGAATATTTGAATAAGAATTAAGGCAAAATTAAATATTTTTTAAAAATATCTAAAAATTATTATCATTTTAAAAATTAATTTTTGTAAAAATTATGGTAAGGAAATGAATGAAGACAATTTTTAGAAGAAATAAAAATTTATGAGGAGTTTTCTAATTTTTTTAAATTCCTCCACAAATTTATAAAATAATTAAAAAATAAAAAATATTAATAAAAAAGGGCAAAAGATTATTTATGATAACAAAATAAATAAAATATTTTGTGCTGAAGTAGAAGTTTTTTTAAATAAAGAAATTTTTATTTTAAAAATAATCGCAATTATTTTAAAATAATTCTTCAATTAGGAAACCCAAATTTTGATTATTAAAAAAATTAAAATAAATATTAATTTTACCAGTTAAAGCAACACTTTACCAATTAAAAAATTTAATTGTTTGTAAAGAAAAGGGTAAATTAAAAGCCTATTTATATGCTGATACTTTTAACGGGAATTTTCTGTTTGGGAAATTTATTTTTTGTTAAATTAGGAAAAATATAGAAATATGTGTAGTTTAGCAGTATATGTATTTAATGAGGTGATTTTACAAATTTTGAAAATTAAAAATAATATGTAGCAGAATCAAAAAATATATAGAATAGTTGTATTTTCCGGAACAATAGTTGTATTAATATTCCGGAAAAAGTTGTGATTTCTATTATTAGCGAAGAATATATCAATTCCGGAAACAAATAATTGTATTTTCCGGAAAAATAATAAATAGAATAATCAATTCCGGAAAAATATATTCTTTCCGGAATTGATATATTCATTCTTTAATAATAGAAAATACAACTAATATGTATAATTCCGGAATAGTCTTACTTAAATTGTATTCTTCCGGAAAAACTCATAATTAATACGTATAGAATTATTGTATTTTCCGGAAATACTTGTATTATTCCGGAAAAGTATTTATATTATTAGGGAAAGGTTATATTAATTCCGGAAACAAATATACAACTTTTTCCGGAAAAAGTATAGATATTTATTGGATATTTTCCGGAAAAATAATAAGTAGAATAATCACTTCCGGAAAAATATATTCTTTCCGGAATTGATATATTCATTCTTTAATAATAGAAAATACAACTAATAATTCCGGATTAGTATTATTTTAATTTAGAGAAACAAGTTGTATTGTTCCGGAGAAACTATACATAATTAATGGTATAGAATTATGGTATTTTCCGGAAATAATTGTAATATTATTCCGGAAAAGTATTTTTATTATTAAGGGGAGAATTATTAATTCCGGAAACAACTTGTATTATTCCGGAAACAAATAATTGTATTTTCCGGAAAATATAATTTAAAGAAACAAAGCTCTAATATAAGTACAACACATTATTAATTTCAACACCAATTAGTATTTTAAAATTAACAGAAAAAGTTTATATATTTTTTGAAACAATGGGATAATCATTTAATTTATAAGAAATAAAGTTTTTAAATTTATATATTTATATACAACCTTAAATAAAAATAAAGAGCAAAAATTTAAATTAATTACATCATCAACTAACTAAATTTACTTAAAATGATTAAATAAATATAAATTTCGTCATTGAAAATATTTAAATAAATAGACAAAAAATATGGGAAATGTTTTTTAATAATGAGTTAATATTAATGTTAAGTTGCATCATTATTTTATCATTTATTATGCGAGAAAGAAAAGGAAAGAGAAAATTGCGAGATTAATAAATAAATCAAAGTAAATATTCAAAAATCGAGATTTTTGTTTTGGTTATTAAATTTTTATTTCTGGTTGAATTTTAGAAAATAAAATAAAAAATTAAATTAATTCAGAAAATATAGGTACCTATTTTTTAGAGCTGTTCGAGACCAGACCTGGTCACGGATACTGATTTTGGTTTCGTATCCGGATATTTACGGCGGATACAGGCGGATATCCGCAGTCATTTTGGTATTATCTGTATCCATATCCGTATCCATGACCAGGTCTGTTCGAGACTATTGGTCTTGAGTCTTGACCCTAAAATTTTTTGGGCTTTTTTCGGTCATAGTTTTGGATCGAAGTCTCGAGTCTTGGAAGATTTTCGGTTTCGGACAGCTCTTCTATTTTTTGTTCTTTATATTGTAACACAAACTTAAAAGACTTAAAAATGAAGAACAAAAAGAGAGAACAAATGGAAACAAGTTTTATTACCTAAATATGTACCTACAAAATTGAAACAGGAAATAAAATAATTTATAAAAAAATTAGTTTCCTCTTAAAAACTTTTTTTTAATTTTTTAAAGATTAAATATTGTAAAATTTAATTAAATTAAAAAATTAATCATTCAAAAATCATTCAAAAAAAATTCTGAGTAAAAAATATAATTAAAATTAATTTTAGTTCATTTATATATACTCAATTTAATTTTTAATTTCCTTCTTATCAGACGATTAATATTTAATTAAAATATAATTAAAATCATAGGGTACACGCACAAAAGATATTTAGTAGTTGGTTGTATGTATACGCGTGTGGTGTGTCACACGAGGTTTGTGTGTTTGTTTTAAGTTTAATTAATTAGTAAAAATGTGATTTTGTATTTTGTAAATAAATATTGTGATTAGAAAATAAGAGAAGAGGAGCTTAAAGAAATTATTTAAAATTGGTGGGGCTTTCAAGAGATCTCTGAGGAAAAAAATTTTTGGATAAATAAAATAATCAAAATTTTAAGGAATGATAAGATTGAATCAGTCTCTCGGATTTGACCAGTAAATAGGAATAAAATTTGTGTCTTTCAAGCTTTTAAAATCCAAATACACATATTCATCCCAATCCTCCCAAGCAGTGATTGGAATCTTAAAATTTGCTCCTACTCGTACTTACTCGTATAAGATACGAGTACGAGTAGGTACAAATTTTGGTACGAGCTTCCAATATTGCTCCAAGTCTTGTCTTTATTTAGTTCCAAGACAAAAGGGAAAAAAGGGAACAAAGGGAGACAAAACAGCGCAAAGGAGCGAACGAAACGAAATTTCGGCCATCTCTGATCTCGAATAGTACAAGCTTTATTCAATTTGATTCAAAACTAAAGAAATTTCAAGTTAATGACTTTATCAGAAGGAAGACAAACAAATATATACTGTCGCCTTGCACTCAACTGGCGTCTTTCTTACATTGGCACTCAACTGCCCTTGACTTTTGATTTTCCTGAATTTCGAAAAAATTTTCTGAAATTTTTTAAAGTTTTCAAAAATACTTTTCAAAATTTTTTTATTTTGCATAATTTTATTGTTTATTCTATACAATTGTAATATATATTTGGACTTGAATTTTAAATGGCCTCTTTAATAAAGAATCAAATTGTAAAGCATTTGTCAACGTAAAATTTTTTTATTTTTTAAATTTTAATTACAAATTTTTTATATCAAAAAAGTCAAAGAAAAATTTTTTTAAAGATCAAAATTTGACAGAAAAAATTCAGAAATTAATCAAAATTAATTTAATAAAAAAATATTTTTTCATTTTTAACAGATTTGCTCGAAATTTAAAACCTGAACAAATTTCGTTAGAAGTACTTCGAGGAAAGGGACAATTGAGAAATCTGGAGCTGAATGAAGAAGTTATTTCTGAACGGTTGGAATTTCCGCCTTGGTTGAAAATTGTGAAGGCGCATTGTTCGAGGTTTTTTTTTAATTTTTTGGGAATTTTCCCCTTCTGTGTTTTTGACGGCTATTTTATTTGCCTTATTTTTAGTATTTCTATTTTTGTGTAGTTTTCCGTAAAAATTAGAATTTATTATAAACAAAACTGGGTCCATTCCAGAAACTGGGTCCACCTCTTCTGGGAGTCGACCTTCCTGATTGATTTCATAAAATTAATTTTTCTGATGAATATTGGATTAAAAATTCCGAAAATTAATTAATTTCTCAAAAATTTTAATTTTTTCCCCACAATTTTTAAATTTAATTTTAGTGTGACTGTTAAAATCCCCTGGACACAAATTAAATCTGCTCCGGTTCAACTGGTTTGGATTTTTTTTAATTAAAATAAATTTTATTTTTTTATTTTTTAGTATGTTGAGGAACTACAGGTTTTCTCTTTCTAAAATTAAAAAAAATTTAATTTTTTTAAAAAGGTTGTTATTCGCCTAGTTACTCCAACTTGTCCAAATATTTCAAAAAAGACGAGCCCCACACAGTTTATTTTTAATTTTAAAAAATAAAAAAAAATTTTTAAAAAAGTAATAAATCCTATGATTTGCCTGAGCGTGTATTGGAATGTCTTTCTTTGTATGTCCAATCTATTGAAATTTATTTTGAGACGGAGAGTAATTCTACAATTAATTTTGGAGGGTCAATTATGGTAAGAAATAATTTAAAAATAATTCTGATTTTTAAATTATTTGTTTTTGTGTTTTTCCGGAAACAATTAATTGTTTTTAATTCTGATATTTTTCCGGAAAACATGTCTTTTTTAAATACTTGTGTTTTCTCGGAAAACTTTTTTATAAACTTCTGCTTACGTGTTTTTCCGGGAACAATTAATTGTTTTTATTTAATTCTGATTTTTCCGGAAAGCTTTCTTAAACAAATATTTACGAGTTTTCTGGAAACACTTAATTGTTTTTATCTAATTCTGGTTTTTCCGGAAAACATTTCTTTAAATGTTTGTCCTTTTCCGGAAAACTTTGCTTCGTAAACAGTTGTTTACATGTTTTTCCGGAAACAATTGTTTTTAATCTTTCCGGAAAACATTTTCCTTTTTATAGTAAATATTTGTGTTTTTCCGGAAAACTTTGTTTCATAAACATTTGTGTTTTCCGGAAACATTTAAATGTTTTTAATTAATTCTGGTATTTTTCCGGAAAAATCAGAATTAATTAAAAACAATTAATTGTTTCTTCTTTTTAAACTGGGTTTCCAGAAAACTTTGCTTTTTAAATAATCATTTATAAAAACATTTTCCGGAAGCATTCAAATGTTTCTAATAAATTCTGATTTTCCTATTTTTTTGGAAACATTTGTTTTTATGTTTTCCCGAAATCTTTTAATTTTAATATTTTTCAAAGCTTTCTCATTTGGTGCTAGAAAGTCGTATGCCTAATTTTCATGAATGGCCTAATGGACAAATTCCAAAAATAAATATGACTAGTAAATATATTTTATTTTTTTTTTATTAAATAATATTTTATTTTAAAGGAATTCATGAACGAACTTTAGGTCAAGTCCTTTTCTTTAAACATGTCAGTTGGAGAGTTTTAAAAATTGAAGCAAGTCACAATAACAACAACAATTTAAATAAAAAACAAACTCGAAGAGGAAGTGCTTTAAATTCTCCTTTACGTTTACTTACAGAAAATGGACGTTGTCGAATTACTATAAAGAAAAATACTGCAGGTAATTTTATTAAAATATTTTTGTTTTTTCGGCAGCTGTTTTTAATAAATTCTGATTTTTCCGGACTTTTTTTATGTTGCTGAAAACAATTGTTTTATGGTTTTTTAGGAACATTCATTTGTTTTTAACAGGCCCGTAGCCAGGAAAAATTTTCGGTTTGGGGGCTACATAGAAAAAATTATTTTTGGCGCCGAATTCCCCCTCCTCCCCCCTCCTATCCCCTAGCTACGGGCCTGGTTTTTAATTCAAGTATAATTCCATAGCAGGGTTGCCACGGGTACAAAAAATCTTCGGGTACGGGTATCGGGTTTTGGATACAAAAAAGACCGGATTTCGAGCGGCAACCCTGTTCCATAAAACATTTATTTTTCAAACATTCTCCGAAAATTCTGATTTTTATTCAAATTAAATAGATTGTTCTCTCATTGCTGGCCGAATGGAATTATTATTTGACGAAATACATTGGCTCGCCTATATGGCGCATTTACGTTCTGCTATAGACTTTTACCAGCATATTATGTATCTAGCAAATTTATCTTCTAATATTTTACCAAAACAATTAAGTGTACATCAATTTGTGGTTTATTTAAATTTTTTAATTTTAAATTAATTTTTTTAGGACCAGCAAAAGAATGCAACAGTTTCTGCTTCTTCAGCTCCCCATGTCTCTAGTAGTAACATTAATGTTTTTCGTCAACACGATATTACTCAATCCTCACATCATTTATTAATTTCACGTATTGATTTACATTTGTGTGATGATTCTTCTGCTGAAGGTTTTTTTGAGGGAAAAATTTTTTTTGGGAAATTTAAAAAGAATTTCACAAGGGGCCAAACTTTGAAGCCTTATAACTTTCAGATTTTTGGAGGTGAGGGATGGGTGTAGGGCAAAATAAAGCCAAAAATTGGCAATAATAAATCGACTTTGGGCTATCCAATGGTATAAAAATTATTAAAGAATTTTTGGTCATAGTTCGGGAGTATCTTTTGTAAGAACTTTTTTTTCATTAAAATTTTTAGATCTCCCTCCTGATTGGAATATTGATAGTGGAGCAATGCAAGCCACTATACTCAAACTTCGTGTCGACTTTTATCCACAACACAAAGTTTTTGAAGCTGATGGAAAACAATCTTCACGTTCTAATTGGTTGCGTTATGTGGCACCCAATACTTTTACTGATTTAGCTACTCGGCAGTTGGATCATCACTTTGGCCTTATTAACAGCAAAATGGGTTTCTTATTTTTTATAAAATTTATGAAATGAATACATGAGGGAAGGTATTCTTGTAGCTAGGCTTTCACGTAGTCGCGTTAACAAAAGACTATCCGCATACAGAAATGGTTGTTGGTTTAGGAGAAGAATGAAGAGGGGGAAGAGAGTCGGAGAATTAAGTAGCTATTGACTAGTTTTATATTTATCCACTTAAGGGCTTACGACCATACATAACAGGTGTTCAAGCAAATTTTAGGGGGCGGCCATGGAGAGGATGGCTTTCCATTCGTTATTTTTTCCCGAAAAATTTTTCGGGGTTTCAGGATCGAAATAATAAATCAAAGTGTAATATTATTTTTCAGACTCCAACACACGTTTGCGTTTTGAACGTATATGGCCTCAATTAGTTTCTGCAAATGTAGTCATTCGTATTGAGGATTTAATTATTCAGGTAAAATTTTAGAAAATTTATTTAAAAAAAATTTTTTAAAGGCAATTTCTGAACGTAATACAAAAAAAGATGATATTAGTTATCTTATAGAAGTAAATACAAGTTTAAAAAATAGAATGCCTCAACCTTTATCTTTTGCACATTTGGAGATTACTAGCTACAACTTTCCTGCAACTGACAGTTATCCAGGTTTATTTTCTTGAACATAAAATTTATTTTAGAAGATTCTAGTGTAAGGAAGAGAAAGATCCAGCTTCTCATTTAAATTTAAGAATTTATTGAAAAATTATTTTTAGAATTTATTACCTTTTTTTCATCGATTACCGATGAGTCGAGTGGATTTCCAAAATTTTGGATCGTGGTTTCAGTCCAGAAAGAGCATTGATTTTGGGTTTAAGGTCGGGTCAATTAGGGAATTAAGGGGGAATTATGCCATGTTCTGGAAAATTTATTGGATCTGGTTTTGGGTCCAATCTGGTTTCGCATATAGAGTTTCGGATAAAACCTTGTATCCCTGTCATCGATTCCCTTAAAATAAGGCAAAAAATTTTTTTGATGAATAATTTTTATTTATTTTTCACAGTTCCACCAAATTCTGTTTATTTAATGTTGGCACCTTTTGTATTAATTCCGGATACAAAATCTATTCGTTGGTTGATTTATGCATTTGAAAATATTTTAAATTCTTTTGTATGTTTTTTTTATTTTTAAAATTTTTTTATATTATTTAGGAAGCTCCTCAACATTCTATTATTAAACAAGATAATTCTAACGACGATAAACAAGTTGAAATTAGAATTGAAATGATTATGCCTAAAGTATGAATTTTAGTTTTTTTTCTCTATATTGGTGTTTTTTTTTGTTAAAAAAGCCCCCAAAAAATTTTTTACGTTAAGCTTTGTTGGGATAAGTTTTGGATTTCCAATAGTCTTAAAAGTCTTTAATATCTAGTGTTTTTTTCTTACTAATATTTTTCTTGAATTTATTTTTTAAATTCCTAACAAATTTTTTTATACCACTCGATAGGTGAAGTGAAGTGATCATTTTGCAAAAAAAAAACGGATTTCTTCACAATAGGAAGCCAAGGGTCCTCTATCGAATATAAAAAAGTTATCAAATTTGCACTGACATTAAACGATGTTCCCTTGTTAGAATAATTTTTTAAATTTTACATTTTTTTTTAGATTATGCTCAATCCAGATAATTTAACATTAACTACACCAACATTATTAAATAAAAAAGAAGAAGAAGAACCAACCCGAAAATCTTCTTCGATTACAAATAATCAAGACAAACAGCAACTACCAACAATTAATAACAACCAAAATTCTCCAATTTTTCCAAAAAGATTTTTTATTCATTTAACAACAATTTTATTCTCAAATTATACATTGCTCAGCGATACAGACATTAATATTCAACTTAAATTTCCTTTAGTGCTAAAATCTAAAGCTCAACGTTATTCTACTTTAAATTTTATTAAATTTGTTGAAAATTTGTGTTTTAATAATTCTATTGGAGAAGAAAAAGAAGAGGATAAATACCTCATGTTACAAACAATTTTGAGAAGAATAGGTTTTTTTTTTTAATTTTTTAAAAATATTTTTCGTTTTTAGATAAACACAAAATTAAATAAGTCTCAATTTAAGATAGGGTTTTTTCTGTAATTTAGTTAACCATTGGGGGTGGGCTAGGGATGGACTCTCCTTCATTTTTAAAGACGGAAGCGGATGACAGCTGATCCCTGGTCGAGCCTAATAAGGAAACCTTGCAAACTGTGGCCAAAAATCATAGTATAGCGAGCAATGGTCGATAGCTTATTGGCAATTTTTTGGCTTTTTTCAACTACGACTCTAAATCGAAACGTTGTAGCTGATCAAGACAATATCCTCTCTCATTTTAAAATAAGAATTTTTCACCTAAGACTCCTAAAAACGAGTAACTAAATTAATTTTTCAGAAGAATCTGACAAAATCAAAAACTTAATTTGTGATAATAAAAACGAGGAATGGTATTTTTCTGTGCCAACATTATGGGTAGATTGTGATTTTGGTCCAAATACTTGGGAACTTCCATTAATTAATGATTTGAATATTTTTGGTTCATTAAATTGTTTAATTGATAGAGAAGGAAAAATTAAAGGTTTTTTTAGATTTTAAAATTTTTCTAAAAAATTCCAAGGAAATTGTGTACAAATTGAACCTCGTTCAAATATTGATGTAGTTCTTGATCATTTTCAATATGTTCAAATTGAAAAACTTGGAGATTTAATTACTGAATTAATTGATCAGATAAATTCAGGTTTTATTTTTTTAATAATTTTTGACTAAAAAAGGGACCCACTCGAATTGTATTAAATTATTTTGTATTCTTTTGGCATTAGTTGATTGAGCTGGGTACCTTTTCCTATTGCCATTTTTGGCATTTTTCCCCACGGATCCATTTTAGGATAGTTATGGGCCTTTGAATTGTCATTAAAAATGATTTGTGGAGTCACTAGCAGTGACAAAAGAAATTTTTTTCTAATTTTATCTTTTTACAGATCGTCAATTTTTTGCCAAACACCAAATTGATAATTTTCACAATTCCATTCCAATATCAATTTATTTGCATTGTAAAAAGGTTAAAAATATTTATTTTTCTTTAAAAAATAAATTATTTTATAATTTTTAAGATTAATTTACATCTAGTCCTTCCACAAGGGCTATCACCTTCACCTTATGATAATAATTACAATTTTGAATTTTTTACACCTTTAGAAGTTTATCAAAGTTCTTCTGGTATGCTTTTATTATTTAAAATAAATTTTTCTTGTATACAAGCTCAATTTTAAGTACACCAGGGATGGGTTGAGAAGAGGTCGGGCCGGGTTTCGGATCGAAAAATACCCGAGTTTAGATTATCGAGTAATCCGTCCCATCCCTGGGTAGACACTCAGGCACACCTCAATTTTAGGCTTCAATTTTAGGCTAAAGCATACCTCAAATAATGGATAGGTACACTTGACTTTTGGCACAATTTTTTCAGCCCCAGAGGATTAAGGCCCTACAAAGGGGATCCAACTATGATATTTTATTTTTTATGTGTTATATTTTTAAAATTTTTATTTTTTAATTAGAAACATCATCTCGTGCCATAAATTATGAAACACCAAATTCCCCATCATTATCTCAACAAACTACAAATACTAAATTATTAATTTATCCCCAACAAATGTCAACAACAAAAAGTGCAACTTCACTTGTTAATTCTTTAAATGAAAAACAAACACCAAAATCCGTTCAGCAACAACAACTTCATCCAAAATCTGCACGTGGAAGTTTAACAATGACAGAAACTTCTTTAGGAAATTATGGAAAGGTGAAGGTTTTTTTTGAAAATTTTTAAAAAATTTTTCATTCAGGGTATTAAAACAGTTTCAAGTTTGCCTAGAGTTTGTGATGTTTTAAATGAAAATGTTGTACAATCTGATAAAAAACAACAACAAAAAATAATTAATTATATGGGGCAGACGATTAGTAGTCCTTCATCTGATTTTTGTAGAATGTCAACAACAACACCTGGAGATTTAGGTTTGTTTTTATTATTTTATTTTATTCGATTCTTTACTCCTTTATGTAACTAATGTCCGTAAATTTTATTCTTAGGGGGTGTATTTTTAACTCCGAAAACCCGGTCGGATTTTTTCACAGATTTATGGTTATAGCCACCTTTTGATCCGGATTTGGATTTTTGGTTAGCCTTAAGTTTAGGAAAAAAAATTTTTTGAAACAAATACGGTAGCAGTCCTTCATCTGATTTTCTTTTTTTTCCGGTTTTTCGGAGTTAAAAATACACACCTTATTTTTTAATCTTCTGTTCTTATTTTCCACCTAAAATACCTCAATTTTCTCATTTTATTTTTTCTTTTTAAAATTTTAAAAATTTTATTTTAAAGAAAGCAATTTTGACGAAACAATATCAATTACATCAGTCTCTACAGAACAAATATGTTATGATAGTGTGTTAAATGATAGAGAAGAAAGTGAAATATTTGATGAAGATGAAGAAGGGATTGTAGAAGCTGAAGAAGCTAATGAAGAAGAAGAAAATTTTTGTGAAAATAATAAACAACAATTAAAACAACAAAATACTAAAAATAATTTACAAATTTTAAGACTTAAAGAAAAATTTTTTGGAAGGGAAATTAATTGTTTTGATGTAATTATTGAAGATTTTAATTTTTATTTAAATTTGAATGATGGAAATACTAAAGCTTTTGGATATGCTAAAAGGTTTGAAAATTAAAAAAAATTTTTTTTGATAATTATTTTAAGAAGGGAGGGGGAAGGGGTTATTAAAAAAATTTTTTTGATGAGGATATCTAAATAATATATGTGTTTACAATAGAGATAGATATCTTCAAAAATCCTGGATCTGGATTTAGGTTAGTAGTATGGATAGGATTCTTTATCTGGATCCAGGAAAAAATCCAGACTGAATCCAGATCCAGACCGATCTCTAGTTTACAAGGTATATGTATTTGGAATTGGGTGGGTTATACGAAATTCTGACTTTTTTTTCGATTCACAATCAGAACCTAACCTGACTTTTCTTAACGTGTCTCATCACCAGTGTGTTATGGGCATGCCAAGAATTTTTAAAAAAGCGAAATTGAGACATAGACTCTTACAGAGCGTAGCCATAATTTAAAAGATGTGTGCCTTAAATTAATTTTTTTCTAAAATTTTAATTTATTTTTTAAATAGTTTAAATGTTGATGAACGTTTACACGTTGTTTGTGGAAAAATTTATAATGAAAGAAAAGAAAGTAGTTCTTCCAATACAATTGATGAAACACTTTCACCAACTAAAATAAATGATGAATCTGAAGAGTTTTTTGAATTAATAAATCCAATGGATTATGCTCAACTTAAAATTGAATTAAATTCTGTTGGAAAAGAAAGTAATTTGAAGGTTTATTTTAATTAATTTTTAATTAGAAAAAATTTTTTTTTAAAGTTAAATATAGATGGAATAAATATACATCTTGAAAAAGAAATTGTTTCTCAATTGGGACCGTTTTTTGAAAATCAGGAAGTTTTAAATGACTCGTCTAAAGCAGCGATTGAATTGATTTTACAAAATTGTAATATTGAAATAAAGGTTTGTTTGGGGGAATTTTAAAAATATTTTTTTCTTGGGGAATTTAAAAAATACTTGGGGGACATCCCATTTTATCCCCTTAAACAATTTCTTTTGATACCTTAATGAATCTTAATTTGGATATCTTAATTCCTTGTAAACTAGAATTAAAAAAATATTTTTAAAATTCCCCAAGAATAAAATTTTTTTTAATTCTAGTTTACAAGGAATTAAGATATCCAAATTACGATTCATTAAGGTATCAAAAAGAAATTGTTTAAAGGGGATAAACATGGGATGTCCAACAAGTCTCCTTTGGGGCCTCTACTTTAGCCGTCTTTTCCTAAATTGTTGCACATCCATAATTTTGCCTTTTTTTTAAACAAAAATCCAATGATGGAGAATCTGAACAACAAAAATTCCCTTTTACTTTTTAAATAATTTTCTAAACTAAAATTTATTTTTGAGATTTCTCACAAATTTTAAACCTAATAATTACTAATTTTTAAGGAACCTACAAAACGTTGTCCTATTAAAATTCGTCTTGGAGAAGTATTTATTGAGAAAGGTACTAATTCAATTAATGGTGAATAAAACTGCGGGTAATAAAAAGTATATATTTGTTTTAAATACATATATGACAAAACAAAAACATGTTATTGTTTATATAAGGGGGGAAGTTTTAAAATAATAATCTTAAAAGTCTTAACCCTATTGCTTAAAAATTTTTTTTTTGTAATCCAAAAAGTCTTAACCCTTTTGCTTAAAAAAAATTTTTTTTGGAGATGAAAAAATTATAAAAAAGGAGGTTTTTTAAATTCTACTTTGGACTTTTTGGATTAAACTTTTAAATACATATCTTTCTCTGTCTGTCCTGGACTGATTATGTATAGTACATTAGAAATCGGACTGGGAGGGTTGTACAAGAAATCTCTCGATATCTGAGAGATTTTGGTTCTACTTGACTTTATTAGTCCAATCAAAAATTGGATTTTTCTTGCTGTTACAAAGTACCCACCTTTGCAACACCAAGAAAAATCCAATTATTTTTTTATTGGACTAATAAAGTCAAGTAAAACCGAGATTTTTTCCGAGTCTTTTTTTTGTTGGAATCGTCTTGGTCCGATTTCTATACTCTATACTTGATTATTGTTGTTGTAGAGAAAATTAAATATTTATTCTTTCAAATTATATTTTGTAAATTTTTTCAATTTAAATAGAGAAATTAAAAAATATATATATTTTAATAAAATTAAAAAATAATTTTTTCTTTAGTCTAATAAACACACAAACTTAACTAGAACCAAAAAAAGTCAATTTAAGATTATTAAAAATTATTTCCCACCAAATGGGGTCGAACCCCTTCCATTTTCCCAATAGAAACTGAACACTATCCCACTACACCAAAATGACAATTTTTATGGAAGGGGTTGTGTTGACTAGGAGGAGGGGATAGTTAAGTTGTTTGTGTGTTAAAGAGTAAGTTTAAAATTAAAAATTTATTAAAAAATTTCTTAGCCCGTATATATTATTTTAAAGACCTTTAGATTCAATTTCAATAGTTAAAAACATTCGAAGATTCTCGTCTTCAACATTTTTTTCTAGTTCATCCCGAATATGTCTTTTTTGCTCTTCAATAACTTTTTCATCAAGTGGCAGGCTCTAATAAATTTTAAAAAGGTTTTTTAAATTTTTTTAAAATTTAAATTTAAACCTTAACATAATCCAAAACATTGTCTACATATTGTAGCCAGACACCTAGAAAAATAATTTTGAAAATTATTTAAAATTTAATTCGAACAATTTGGACATCCAGACCCGCAACACATTTCTTTTTGTGGAGCTTTTGGGAATTTTGCTGCTTTCACAAAATGGAGGTTTTTCTAAAAAATTTTTTTAAAAATTCTCCAAAAATTTCAAAAAACCTCCTTTAATTTATTTTTACTTTCGTCACAAGTTAATTTACTTGTTGATTGAATTAAACAATTATTTGGGTGAATTAATAAAGTATATTGTTGTGTACAGACTAAATTGTTGCTTGTTTTATTAATCAAACTTGTTGGCATGTTCAATGTATTTTTGGTTGGGGTAAAACAATTTTTATAGAAAATATTTTTGAGCATAAAACTTTCCGGAAACTAAATATAAAGGAAGATAAAACTTTACGGAAAAGAAATAGAAGAGAAGAAAAATAAACTTTCCGGAAAATACAAGAACTTCTGGAAAATACAAAACTTTCCGGAAAAGAAATATAAAGAAAAATAAACTTTCCGGAGTAAAAATAGAGAAGAAAAATAACTCTTTCCGGAAATAGAAATATATATTTATAATTAAACTTGTTGGCATGTTCAATGTATATTTATAAAGGAACTAAACTTTCCGGAAACAAAATAAGCAGTAAATAAACAATTTTCGGAAAAATAAACAATAGTGGGTGGGGAGGTGTACAGTAGAGTCTAATAATATAGAGGGGAGGGCATAAATTTTGAGAAAAAAATTTTTTTAGATAAAAAATTGGAATTGAACTAATAAAAAATAAAATAATATTATTTAAGTGCAATAATTATAAATTCATTTAAATATTTTTAAAAAAATTCATTAAAAGTATCCGGAAAAAAATATATTAAATTTCAGTTAAAAGGGTAGTGGAAAAAATAAAAAATATTTTTATTAAAAAATGTTTCCAACAAAATTTTTTTTTATTAAAAAAATAAGCACAATTTTTACCAAAAATAAATAAAAATGAATAATACTTCATCAGAAAAAATTCGTGTTGTATTTGCTAGGAACCCTCCAGATGCTTTTCCTACTTGCAACACTTTCCCAACTTTAGTACCTAATATTAAATGTCCTTTTCCTGGGTGGATGGTGGAGGTATTTTTTATTCGAGAATTGAAAAAAATTCCAGAAATTTCTAAAAAAAATTCCGGAAGTAGTTAACCCAACGTTTTGCGCACAAAGGGATGCCGCCATCCTTTTGGATGGGTGGTTAACCGCAATTAATTATGATTTATGTTCGCGCACTAGCCTAAACCTATTGACAGCTTTGGTGGGGGAGGGGTCCGCGCGAGCTATCCTAATCCTATTGAGTGAGTGGGTGGTAGGAGGGGGGAGGATTTTCAAATTAGTGGTTGGGGAGGGGTAGGAGGAAGGGGGTTTTTAAGGAGTAATTTGTTGACCCTTCCCATTTAACCGCAATCTTTTGACAGTATTGGTGTGTGGTGGGGAGGGGATTTTTTAAGTTGTTGACCCTTACCCTAACCGCAATCTTTTAACAGTTTTGGTGTGTAGTGGGGTCCGTGCGAGCAATTAACAACCTATTGAGCTGGTAGGGATAGGTAAGGGAGGATTTTTCAGATTAGCAATTAGTTCTCGGGGGAGGGGTAGGAGAAAGGGGGGGTTAAAAATTTCTCTTTCCAACTACTATATTGAGTTGTTTTTTCTTTTTCTTCCCAAATATTATTTTTCAAGGGCATTGACAATACTAGTAGTAAAGGAAAACCCCACTCCTCACCCCACTCCCCACACTGTCCACTCATCACCCTGTCTGACCGATTGTGTTTCTTAACCTTGTCTCTCTCTCTCTTTTAATTTTGCAACAAAACCAGACACTGTTGCATTGATTGTTTTTTACACTCCACACAACCCAAGCCAAACCCTTCTTTATTTTAACCAAATCTAAGCAACTATATATTTCTTATTAAAATTTTTTTTTCCTATTTCTGATGTTGTATGGAAATTTAGGGTATGGAAATTTTTTTTTTGGGGTATGGAAATTTTAAAGATTAATAAATTAAAATTTTTTAATTTTAATTTATTATGTGGATGCTTACACAGAATTAGAAGACCCTACAGAAGACCTGCTTTCTGCGAATTCATATGCTCGTTACTGTGAAACGGTTGCACCAAATGTTCGAATAAGGTAGTATTTTATTGGGTCTGATTAAAAAAATTTTTTTTGAATTTTTAGCTTGCACCAAGTTCTTGTTCTTGTACTTCTACTGCCCCAACATTTTTGGCAGAAATGTGTGCTTATCTAGGTACAACTGATTTGACTTTTGGCCTTTTTTATCTTTCTATTATTTATAGACGAATCGTTCTCTACTTAATGTTATTTTGGGAGGAGTTGGAACAATATCAGAATCGGGTCCTGTTCAACAAATTACTGGAACTGCTCAATTTACTAATGGGTAATAAACTCTTTAAAATAATTTGAATATTTTTATTATTTAGCCAGCAGATTATGGTTATGGATTTTGTGTTCGATGGATGACATATAAAGATAAGTTTAAAATATCAGGGGGATCCAAAATGGGGACCAAACTGGAAACCTGGGAGTGATTCTATCGGATACTGGGGACCAGACTGGATAATCAGGACCGATCTATCGGATACCGGGGACCATACTGGATACTCGGGACCGATCTATCGGATACCGGGGACCAGACTGGATACTCGGGACCGATCTATCGGATACCGGGGACCAGTTTGTATACCTGGGACCGTCTTATTGGATACCGGGGACCAGACTGGATACTCGGGACCGATCTATCGGATACCGGGGACCAGACTGGATACTTGGGACCGATTCCTCGGATACTGGGGACCAAACTGGATACTCGGGACTGATCTATCGGATACTGGGGACCATACTGGATACCATGGACCAAACTGGATACCAGGGACCGATCTATCGGATACCGGGGACCAGATTGGATACTTGGGACCAATTCTTCGGATACTGGGGACCAAACTGGATACTCGGGACTGATCTATCGGATACCGTGGACCAGGTTGGATACTCGGGACCGGTATATCGGATACCGTGGACCAAGTTTGATACTCAGGACCGATCTATCGGATACTGGGGACCAGTCTGGATACCTGGATGAATCTATAATGGGGATTGATTTAATATAAAAATGTTCCTTAATACAATAAATTGTAGTTCGATCGGACAAATCATGAATGTGCAAATGTGTTCTTCAACTGTTTTGGGGATGAGTGATGGCTTATGGCATTGAAGGACGATATGAATAAAAAAAATTTTAAATTTAATAAAAATTTGTTTAAATTTATTTATAAAATTCAAGACTGTATTATTTAAAAATTTTTTTAATAAAATGTTTTTTCTTTTAATTTTTTATCAATTAAGTAATTAATAACAAGGCATATGATTAACATTGTTAACAGAAAATTATTAAAATACTTAAATCATTTTTTTTAAATTAACAAATCAAAAATTTCTTTATTTTCCATTCTTTTGAAATTTCGAGGATAATCTTCTAGTCCTCTTTTTCAACCTTTACCTTCTTTGGATCGAACACCAAAGGTTTAATATTAGCATGTATGATTTGAATTTCCTCTTAAATTATTTAATTGAAGATAATTGGGGAAATTTTTGCTTTGTCTCCCTATTGTTTTTTTTAATTTCTGGTGTATGTATCTCATTCTTAGTTGAGACCGCGAGCTCTTTTTCGACTGTTCGTCGAGCTCTGTCGAATGATATATCTAGACTAATCGAAAGGGCCTCAAAACAGGTTTTACCCATAAAGGACTTAAACTGAAACAGCAAGTGCCACTAAATATTTTTTCTTATGGATCTTACACCCCTCATAAAAATTTAAAAATATTTTCTTAAAATACAATATATTAAAAGAACATACCGTCTTTGATACAATTCTTCTCAGCTTCTTTCTTCTTTACGATCTTATTATGATTGGCCTTCTTCAACAAAATATTTTTCTTAATCAAAAGCGCTTTGTATAAGCGCTCTCTACGTTGAAGTAGGATTATTTGTCGTTTGATGAAAATATTTTGATTTTTATAAAAAATCAAATCACTTTTAATATTTTTCATATTCATTTATAAGGTGGAAGGAATATATTTATTTTGAATTTTATAATGAATAAGAGCGAGAAATGTTTCTTGAAGTATGCCATTATAATATAAAAACATAAATTATACAACAGATGGCAGTTCTTCCAAATTTTTAAATATTTATAAATCAAAGATAAATCAAGATTTTTTACTCACACTAAAAAACACGAGTGCCAAAAGAACAACGATAATTAATTATCCTATTCGAGAGGGAAAGGAAAGGATAAAGTAAAAAGGGCAAATACCTAGGGAGCATATGATTTAATAAAAATTTAAGATTTTTTACTTTAAAATTTTATCTTTAAAAAATTTTTAACATATTTCAATTTTAAAAAATTTTTCAAAATTTAAATTTCCTCTTCTGACTTTAGTTCGTAACATCTTGGTGAATTTAATTGATCGCTTCCACAATGAATGCACCTTTCTGATCGTACATTTTCTGTTTAAAAATGATTTTTATTCTAGAGTTAAAATTTAAATTAGAACCATTCTCTTCTGATTGTCCATCTGCACGAGCTCTTATACGCTGCACGAGCCCAACTGCACGAGCTCTTATACGAGCTAACAATTCAGCCGCTTCTTCTCTCAACGGAAACAAGGGGTGTGGGAAGTTATGCTGAAAATAGACCTTAATAAGAAAATTTAAAAAAGCAAGACCTCCCGTTCTGCCCAATTTTCAATATCACCAACACGCAGAAGTGTGATTCCCAATCGTCGCATAACCATGTCGACGTCTACGTGAAAATTACGCAAAGAATATCGAATTGAGCGCAATTCGGCTTTAATTTCGTCAATATCGCTCATTTTTGCTAAATTAATACAAAAATATTAGAAAATAAAAATTATAGATAAAAAAATCCAGTTACAAATAATAAAATATAAAGAATAATTAGCAAAGTTTGCTTTACAAAAGAATTTGAAAAATAAAATCAGGTCAATACGACTTGTTTTGAAATAAATTAATAACCACTTCTTTTATCCATTTCCTTTGACTGGTAGCAGTAGCGACTGTCGCTACCCATCGCTCATTAAGGTAATATTTTTGAACGCTCATAAATATAAAACAGTAAATTCAAATAATAAAAAGGGACTTTTTCACTAAATTAAATTTTCTAAAAGGGACTATATAATAATATTTTTAATAAATATTTCTATTTTATAAAAAGCCATTTTTTAATATTTTAAATTACGAGAGATAAGTTCAAGGAGTATAAAAGCTGAAAATTTTTCAAATTATCTCATTTCATTTCTAAATCTTCAAAATGCTCTTCCTTATCGATGAATGCGCTAAAATTTTACACTGTCACCCTAAATCATTGCGTGATCAGATACATCACCCATCAAAGCGAGCATTACTCGTATCAAAACTTAAAGGAAGAAAAGTGCGCACCCTCTACTCAGATAGGAACGGATTTCGCAAGACTTTCACTATTAACGGTCTTACTTACAAAGGAGCACATTGTACTATGGCCTACGGGGCTTTGTCTCGTCCTTTCAATGTTTCTGTTGCAGCACATTTCTATTCACGGCATCGGATTCGTCTGCAATATCCTTATCTACAATGTGTAATTGAACACTTCCCGCGCCGTTGCGAAGATCGATTCTATCCTCTAGAATTATTGGAGTTTGTTGATGAAAAAGAGGAAGACTACATTGGTTTTCAACTTG